TCAATTTATCTCCAAAGGATGGTATTTCGATGTTAATTCATTATCAGATGTGCAGAAAAGAAAGCAAACAAAATTAGCTATATACCTGATCCAAAGCAGAGTACATAAAAAAATTACCATCTGAAAATCTCAGCTTATTATGTACATATATAGGAATAAAGCTTAGTCAAATTTGATTTACATACCCGCAAGCTTATGTACATTTTTTTCACCCAAAGCTACATTCATACACACATAGAACATATCATTCCGTTTCGTGTTATTCCGTTGCATTCTGTTGATTTATGTTCGTCTTCATTCGACCAATTTTCCCGCTGTCGCTGTTGCCGTTGGTTTTTCTTTTGGCTTTCAATTTGTAAAAGCAGATTTTAATTTTAGTTTTTGTGCACTTCTAAATCAAAAAATGCTACGAAATACTCTTATTTGATCCCTTGATGAGCTGCCAATCTCATTGCAGAATTTTTTTAATTTCACACATCGCATGAAATGAGTCTTCCCCCCTGTGGGATACTCGTACCGTACTGCCCGTGGGTCAGTAAATCCTATGTAAATGAAATTCCTCTATTTCGATGGTGGCCAAGCGCATTATCCTGTGGATGCAATGCAGATTAATTTATGGCATTCCATGTGCAGCACAGCAACAACATCTGAACTAGCATTAACAATGTGCAATTATTGCCACGTAAATGATGTTGCATAAATACCTCTCGCCTGCGCTCTCTCTCGGTCAAGGCTCCCCTTTGGTCCATTAAATGCAGTTGCTGCCAGTCCAGTCCCCACCCTCTTTGGGAAAACCATAGAATAGCAGCCAATCTGCTGCAATCGCATTGCATATCCGGAGATATTTGGCATTGTTTTGCTGGGGCGAACGGTTTGGCTGGAGCGGTTGCCACCACCACAAAGCTTGGCAGCAGTTTGCATTTACGAGCATGAGCATGTTCATTTAATTAATAACACAACAAATTGAAGCCGAGCATATGCCCAAAATCCCCCCCATCAAATGGGCATACTCGAATTGATATTTAATTAAGAACCAAGCATTGTGGGCACACATTAGAGGAGGCTTCAGTTAGATAAAAGATAAGATATATAAGTTGTGTTCTAGTTTGGTTCTAGATTGCGGCATTAAGAAGCTTTCCAGCCTTTGTGCAGATCAAATTATTCACTTTCTGTAGATCATATCTATATATTCTATATGCTTTAATATTCCAATTGACAAGCTCTACATACGTTAGTTGCTGACTCTTAATGGCATCCCGGTGGCAATCAAATAATCCATCTGTGCATTTCACACCGCATTGAGCCGAAGCTTTCACGATATGTTTGCCAAACTGTACGCTCAGCTTCGAGGCGGCCCTTAGGTATATATACACACATGCATACATGTACCTACATATAGATGTCTGTGTATTCGGCGGCGAACATAATCCAGAATGACAGGAGCAATGCAGTGATTATGTTATTAATTACGAATGCGAATGCGAATGCCATTGCCATGCGTATATTTGCCAAGAGCAAAGTGTCTCTTTACACATCAGGAAACGGCAGAGTTAGCCGCAAAATGGATTTTAGGCTCGTGGCAGCTCACTTGCGGGGGGAGTGAGGCGGATAAACATATTTCGAATTGCCAGAATTGCATATTAATGTGTGTATTTGATGAAGGCTTGCACAATGATTACCCAACAAAGAGAGAGAGGTAATCATTAGCCAAGTAGCTCAAGTCGAATAGATAGCTCTTTTATATCCAGTTCAAATGAGTTATAATCATGTCTAATAGGGGTTTCCTGCTATTTCAGCATTCCACATTCCACCAGAACCGATGGACCGCCCCTAAAGCAATTATCATAATTTTTTCAACACCCAAAAACAAACAAACAAACAAACAACAAAAATATGCTAAATTACACATTAAAACATTATTTGTGAAGAGGAAATAAGTGAATGTTGAACTTTTCTTGGCACCCCAGGAGAATTATGTACAGCAGCCGCTGCGGCCGCCGCCATTACAAAGTAGCAGGCAGGGCCTTCCCCCCACCCGCTGCAGAAGTCCTCTATGGATGGATGTAATGTGGCTGCTCATTGTTGGATCCCAGGCCAGAGCATCATTTCATTTTATTTCGTTTTGTTTCGTTTCTTGGCCTGCGTTTTTTTTTAGAAAAGTGCGCGGCAAATGTGAAAATTAATTATACCAAGCGTACACGCAATATACAGAGACAGAAGCAAAGTGGGGAATGGGAATGGGAAGGGAAACGCCTAACAGCATGGGTTATGTGCTAATGAAAATTGCAGACCCCCGACCCGACCCGACAAGACGACCGACTATTTAAGGATCCTCTCACTCTCACTCTCTCTCTCTGATCTGTTGGCGTTGATTGAAATGCGTGTACGGGGGCTAAACAAAGTAGCTGAAACGCTTCTGTCATAAACCTATTTAAGTTGGGCGAATGGCATGGCACGGCATATACTACTAGCTTTTGTTTGCCTTTGGAGCTATTTATGCGCTCTGTTTCTGTCATCTTTTACGTGTACACAGACACACTCTCTCTCTCTCTCCTGTCTGCTCTCTCCTATCTCCCCACACACCCATTTAAATGTCAATAAATCATAAGCGAGCCTCGAGTAGAACTGTGCAAGGAAGGGAACGGGAGCGGGAACACGACACGTTTTCTTTTATTTTTAGACATTTTTTTTAACATTTTGAGCTTAATGAGGTTTAGTGTATGGATCAAAACAGCACAAACAATGAAGTTTATTTATGATAGGAAATCTATCCCATCCCGAACCCAACCCTAGAAGCGGAACAAGTTAAGTGTTCAGCTGGTTGAGGAATTCAACAGACTACGAGTATAGCCAAACAGAATTTATTAATGAAGATTTATGCAATATTTACCTAAGCGAGCGCGATTCGTTAGCATTAATAAGCCGAAATCTACGAATCAATTAGATCATCATGCACAGAATTTTCGGTTCAAATTGGGGCCTAGGGGCTAATTTGGACAGCTATTACGACCCACACAATACCCTACACTCGATGCGCAATTGCACAACAAGTCAGTCCTGAGCAAAGTTCAAGGTCTCGGAAAGGTATCTCCTACCTGTAACATATATCCACACATATAGGATATGTACGATCTGTACATATGCTGCAAGTAATCAGAAATTAAATATGTGTGTGCGATGATGATGATCTGAGGGTGATTTGCGCACCGCAGGCCATACGAAAAGTGCCCGCATCCGAAATGGCCATAAAAACAAACCCATTCAAGTGAAAGGAAGAGGAAGAGGAAAAATGAATCGGAATAAAGGGCAGCATCTACTTTCGATGGGCCATTAAGAGTGTTCATAAGGTAAACATAGGAAATGCTTTATTGTTTATGAACGCACTTAATTGGCACTGGGATAGGGATTGGGGTTGAGGTGGGGGTTTCAGGCCTGCGCTTGTGGACTCGGTATGAGTAATTGCCGCTGGTATAAGGCCAAAAATAATTATGAGGAAACTAGCCAGCCAGTCCGGGCCAGACAGGTAGGGGTAGGGGGCAGAGTGAGTACGTGTACTCTCATAATCCATCTTCATCCATAAAATAAACAAATTGCGTGTATGCATCAATCCCTCGTCGAGTACATAACGTTTTCCATTCTATGCCTGTGTGTGTGTGTGTGAAAATATTTGGCAATCAATTAATTGATTTTCCAATTGAAAATTTACGATTTGAATGTGAGTGCATGTGTGTGCGTGTGTGTGTGTGTACTTGAGCATTTCCTTTTGAAAATTGATTGCTGATTCAGTGTGGTTGGAGGGGTTGGCGAGGATTATTGAGTGCCGTTTTCATGTTAATTTCATAATTTTTACGCTATTCCGGGAAAATGAGCATGCATGTCATATAGCAGCATCTAACTGTGCGTGTGTGTGTGTACAGTGTGTGTGTGTGTGTGTGTGCGGACATGCCGCTGAAATACTAATTATGTGCGCGATTTAAATAGATTTTTCATTTATTTAGCTACGAGCTCGTAGGCCATCAATATACACTTTCAGAGAGCCTATTTATTTTGCCAGAAGGATAAGTTTTACTCATAAATATTATTGTTCAAAATGAACAGCCAACTAATACTTTTGTGAGGGTACTGTGCAAGGGAGGTTAGTTAAGATCGGAGCACTCAATTATGTATCTGAAATAAGGCGATAAATCGTGAAAACAGTCTGTAAGAATATTTTAATTTTTCTAAGCATTAAAAACAATTTATTGTAATTAAATCAGTCGAAAGGTATACAAATCAGAACACCGAAAAAGTATTAAAAAATAACACGTTTCTTGTGTTGAAGACTTTATTACAGAATTTAACACTTAGCAAGCTGCACTATTAAATATTGCTCCTTAACTCAATCAAATCTGTTAAAATTAACTTATTATACACGTATAGGAATAGCTTCTATAGGAATACCTTCTATAGGAATAGCTTCTATAGGCATAGCTTCTATATAGGAATCTCTAAGGGTATCGTAAGCTGCGGCATAATAAAATATTCATTATTTTTTGTGTGTGTGTTTTGGATGAAATGGAAATGAAAACGAAGATGATACGCAAATGTTTTATGTTGCGCCACTGAAGCTGCCTGCTGTTGGTTCAGTGGGTGGAGGGGGTGGCAGTGCACACGGCATGGGCGGCTGTTGGCTGGTGGCTGGCTTTTGACAGGCGCCCATCATTTCATCATTTCTGCTTGTTTTGAGTTTGAGAGACTCACTGACTGAGTGACGGGGGGCGGAAGTGTTGTGCGAGCAGGATACAAAATTTTCTAATTATTTGTTGTAGCGCCCCACTAATAAGGCCAAATGGGGCATAAACATGCATAATTATGGCGGCATAGACCGTTTTGGCGATGGTGGAGAAACGCTATTTCATTGTCTTGCATGCAGGTACCACTCATAGAATTCTCTCACCCTATTTTGGATGATTTTAAATGCCTTTCTAACTAAACATCTGCCCGCTTTGCCCTATTTTCAGGTTAAAATCTGGTTCCAGAACCGTCGCACAAAGTGGAAAAAGCAGGATAATGTCACCAATAATGAGGCAGCCGAGCACAAATCCACAAATGCAAATAAATCGGGCGGAGGCACAGAGCAGACGGCCACGGCCCCAACAACAACAACAACAACAACAACAGCTGGTGGCAATGCTGCTGTGGAGAGTGCTGCTGCTGGCACAGCAGCCACCAAAAAGTCTACAAATGCCCAAGGAGAGAAAACTCGCGGCAACAACAATAACAACAACAACAATTCGGTCTCTTTGGCCAACAACAATAGCGTTAACAATGAGAGCAAATTGGCAAACAAACAGGCAAACTCCAAAGTTAAGAAACAATTGAATGCACTGCTGGAGAAGGCAGCAAAAACATCAAATTCGAATGGCGGCAGTGCCTCAAATCGCAGCGAGAATGGGAAAGTCGTCGAATTGGCTGCTGTCAATGCCGGAAGCGGCATGCACAAATCCACGGAGAAGCGTCACCATCCATCCAACAACAACAACAACAATGTGGGGGAGTCAAAGTTGATGCATCAGCGCCTGCACCAGCATGCCATACCACTGACCGTGGAGCCGGCCGCCCCCTTGGAGCAGACTGAGAAGCTGGACATCAAGCTGGAAGAGTCGCCGCAGCATCGCGAGCTTCAGTTGAGCCTGCAGCGTGCTGCTGCCGCTCAGCAGAACGGCAGCAGTCCGGCGGCGGCGCTCCTGACCGAAATGGATTTCGAGAGCAAGATATCCAAGATATCCATAGCTTTGGCCATGGCCAGCAAGCAGATGAAGCAGGCCGAGGTCGAGGCCGAGGCCGTGACCAAGGAGAAGCTGTTGAAGCAGGAAAGCGAGTCTGAGGACGATGAGGAGACGTCCACCGAGCATGGTGACTCCACAGAGGCACACGACTCCCAGGATCAGGATGTGTCGATGCGCGAGATCTAAGCTGGTGGGAGGGGGATCGGATCACCCACCAGGAAACAGTCAAATTAACCTGTGCCAAAAAGTCGAATATTGCTCACACCACACACCCACACACACACACACACACACACACACAGAAACCCCTCCTACCTACCTACCCACACACACATTTGATATAAATAATTTAAAGATATATAATTCTAATTGTAACTATAAATATAAATATAATTTACTTAACACGTACGATTGTAACTCTGTTCACCCCTAGGCGTGTGTATTTCTATTTGTATTTGTATTTAATTTATTGTATGCTTAAGCGATTTAGCCTAGGCTAGGACTAGGACTAGGCCTTGTAAATGTTGCCATTAGAAACGCATTTATGTAAATGTTTAATGGAGCCACACAGCGCCAGCCACTACGTAAATGTAATTTGAACTTTCGAAAATTTCATGTGATAATGTATACGATGGCGTGGATAGACGACGGAAGATAGCGGCTAGAGGATAGAGAACAAAAGATAGAAGCGAGTATGAGTATGAGGCATAGCAAAAACAATTACAAATTGCAAAATTGATTTTACTACTTGAACTATGAACTATGTATATGTATGTAGGTCTAAGCTATGCTACCCTGTAAATTACAATTGAATGGAACATATTTATTGAGTGTTTGTACAAAAAAACAAAACAAAAAAAAAAGCCCGAAAAAAAAAAACCTAAATATGGCAAAAGAGAACAACAAGTCGCCGCCGTTACACATTTTAAATTCAACAAATTAAAAAGAATATAAAAAATAATAAATTCAATGAATCACAAGCGTCGCATTTTGGCCGGTGGGCGGGCGGATAGTTCGGCTGATGGCACATCTACCACACCCTGGGATGTGATCAGGAACTCGGCAAAGTTATTGGGCGTCTCCGGCGAGTAGACAATCTCCAGCTTTCGTACCGTGAGCAGTTGATCCCTGACCCTGTGCTGCTTGGGCACCCGCGAAATGCGTATGCGAGTGCGTCCCAGATGCGCCCATTGCAGCCCCAGGCAGGGCACTTCATCCTGCAGCGGCCTGGTCTCCGAACTGGCACTGGCCGCCACTTGATTGACGCACACCACGGCGCAGTTGTACTTGTCCGCATAGCTGATGAGGGCATCGGCCAAGCGGCGCATTTGGCGGGCACGATCTAGGTAGTCCGTGTACAGCCGGAAGATGGCAGCCACCGAGTCGATGATGATCAGGCCAATGCTGTGCTGCGCCATCAGTCGCGGCAACCGATTGCTCACACAGTCGAAAAGGGGTTGCTGAAGTGGATTCGAATAGGTCAAAACCAAGTTCTTTAATTGGTTCTCTCACTCACGCTCTCGTACTGATGCTCCACGAATATGTTGCCCAGAAAGTTGAGCTGCTCCTGGGGGTAGCGCGCCTCCAAGGCCTTGCTCATCTCCAGCAGACGGCGCGCCGGAAAGGCATCCTCTGTGCATATATAGGCCACTCCCTTGCCAAGGCCAACCAGCTTGACCGGCAATTGCACACATAGCGCCAGCTGCAGGAGCAGCTGTGTCTTGCCCACACCGGCGGCGCCGCAGATTTCGGTTATACCCCGCGTGACCACACCTCCGCCCGTGCAGCGATCCAGAGCAGTGCAGCCAAAGGACACCCGTGACCATTTGATGTTGGCCAGCGGCTTGAACAGGGAATCGGCTGAGGGGGGGACAAAAACTTTTCAATTGCAAGCGTGCTCCCGAGAATGGATAGGATCTTACCTGACAGCGGAGTCTCCGCCAGCCACTTGGCTGCCGCATCCTTCAGCACGCGCACATCATCCGGCGTGCAGTTACCCACCAGCGTGTTCAGAGATTTGGTGCGGGTGTCCAGGAACTTGACCCTGGGCGTCGTCAGCACGGCCTCTGGTGTGAGAACATTGACTGAGGGGAAGGGAAGTGCATTAGATGACACTTCAACAAAGTTCGGGGCCCATTCCCCATTCTTACCGCTCTCAGCAATTTTTCTAATATGCTCAGGTAATTGATCCAAAAAGTTTGTCATCGCTGCGGAGGCCAGATCGAGTGTGATGGCATGCCTGGGGCTGATTTGCGTGCGGCCCGACACGGAAGGTGTCTCGTCTCAACACCTTGCGGAAGTATCCCCTAGGCAGCGGCTAATTTATTGATCAAGCAAAGCCAAACAATTGCTCAATCCGACGAAGGGCTTCGAATGAAAAAGCAGAAGACAACCGGCATTCAGGGGGCAATCAGCTGTCATTGGATCTAGGCCACAAACAACAGCAAAAGTAAGGCAGAAAACGCTGCATTCTGCTTTAAATTGAAACTTGAGATGACTAAACACTACAAATCACTTGCATAATGCTTTGTTTTCCAATCATTCATTTAATTGCGTACATTTTTTGCACAAACATGAGAGAAAAACACACAAGAACGATCGATAGTTGTAGACGATAGTTGGCCACGATCGTCGCCACTGCTGCTGCTCCTCCTGTCCATGAAATTTAGATGTTCGACTGCAGTTTCTGTTGTTGTTGTTGTTGCGGTTGGAGTGGGGTTGAACTTAACAAACTATATAGGTGCTCTAGTGCTTGGGTGTGGGCTTGGAGAGCTCGGCCAGTGCCCGGGCCTCGGCATCAGCGTTACGCTTCTTCTCCTCGGCCAACTTAGCATCACGGACCACCTTCTGCTGTGCCTCAATCGCGCGGACCTTCTCCTCCTTCTTGGACAGGCGGCTCTGGTGGGCGGCTCCGTAGGCAACGCCCACAAGCAGCAGGGACCATCTGCCGAGCTTGATCAGCGGCGAGACACGGACTGGAGGCTGAGACATGGCTAGTAGTTATGTAATGGTCCGACCGAAAACTGCAAGAAAATGGGACACATTAGTTATGTACACTATTTTAGAGGTATCTCAGACTCGGCAGAGTCCACCGTTTCACTTGCGGCTGTTTTTATATGGCAAATATATTAAATAAGCGCAATTACCACAAATCGATGCAATTGTGATGCAAAATATAACCTTAAAAAACAGCTGTCAGATTGGCCAGTGCGTTATCGATAGTCCTATCGGCAGGTGCGCAGAGTTGCCGCAATTCTTTTGTTTCGCCAAATAAATAGAGAAAATAATATTAATATTACAGATATGTAGTGAAAGTACGACTAGGTTTAATGTACAGTTTGTTTAATCAAAGACTGACAAGTGATATATGTTTCAACGCCTACATATGTTATCATAATTGCAACACTAAACATACCTTGCATCGCAATGCGAATGTCGAAAAGGCAGAACTCAAAACCTGGAAAAAAGTGTTGTTTTGTTGAAAACATGGCAAATTGCAGCTAAAACAGCAGGTGTACACACAAACTATACGATTCTGTAATTAGTTGACTGGCTGCAGTGCATAGAAATTAAGGGCAGTCACAAAATTGACGCGTGTTAAATGCAAACAAGAAAATTCCAACACAGACCTTGAGTGGTAGCACACATACACATCTGGCAAACGCACACGAACACACACACACACATCTTGATAAACGGGGCCCAGTCGAAAACGTCATATATTTCCCCGTCCCGCCCGCACGCTCGCTACTTTAAGCCAAATTAGCTGACTTTCCAAGGCAGGAAGTCCGCTCAGAGGATCCACCACCACCACCACGACGACAGCTGCAAAATGGTAAATGTGCCGCCACTGCTGTGCAGCACGCCGCCACCGATCGATTTTGGCGAGGACGACGACGACTCTGGCCTACAGTCGACGATCAACTTGGACGACGGTGACGAATACCCCGACGACGACTTTGGCTTAGTCACCACCCGCTCAGCGGTGCTTGAAACGGGGCTCAATGCAAAAGGTAATTTAGCAGCCAACTGGGCTTTTATTTAGATCTGGAAACAGATTCTAATTTGTATGCTTCACTTGTAGAATCACAGTCAGAAACCCAACCCGTACCCTTAGCCATATCAGCAGCGTACAGTGAAGGGCCGCCCGATCTGGAACTGATTGAGAATTGCGAGATTAGCAAACCAACTGCAGGCGAGATTAAGCAAACTGTGGAGGCTTTCAATTACCAAGTGAAAAAGTCGCAGTCGCTTGAGGGTTACGACGGCTATCAGGAGACGCCCCCGCCCCTAGCCGATGAGCTGGAGGAGGAGGATGAAGAGGAAGAGGTGGCCAATATAAGTGACAATGTTCCGTCCCTTAAGCTAGACAGCCTGAGTCTGTACTCCACGGAAAGTGTCTCGGCGTCGTCCACACTGTCGCCCGTTGCAGACGACGAGGAGGAAATGCCACCACCACCGCCGTCAACGACGACGACCACAACCAAAGCACCACCACCTGTCCTCCACCATCAAGTCACGCTGGAGGATGTGTCCGATGACAGCGACGAGGAGTGTTCGCCAAAGAAACCCAAAGAACTATTTATACGCGAGGGAGCCGAAGATTTCTTTGCCATTGAAGTGCTGGCCACACCCCCAGCCACAGCCACAGCCCCACCCCCACAGACCTCCACTCAGCCCTCCTCCTTCCAGTTGGAAAAGCCAGCAACGGATACCGATATATTTCAGTTTGAAGCTAGCTTTGCAGAGGCAACAGAACAGTCTGTTGTGCAGGAGCAGCAGACGCAGCAGCAGGAGAATCCTGAAGCTAATGAAGATGATGAATTTGATGACTTTGGCGACTTTGCCGATTTCTCGGCTGTGCCCACGCCTTCAGTGGAGGCCATGCCACCTCCAGCTCAGCAGAGAAAGGATTCCCTGGAGACTACCCCTGCAGCGGCTGCTGCAGATGATGGCTTCGATGATTTTCAAGAGTTTGCCACGCCACCTGAAGATAATGCAGACGACGATGATGATGATGACTTTGGTGACTTCTCAGAGCCAATAACAGCACCCATACCCATAGCCGTAGCCGTAGCCGTACCACCGCCACCGCCGCCTGCAGCAGTCCATCTGAGCATCGATGAGCGCATCAAGCCAGTCCTAGACTTGATGTTTCCCCTGCCCCAGGAGAGCAGTGCCGCAAATGAGGCCAAACGGCGGCCCCTGGGCCAGTGTCAGAATTTTAACTTTGGTGTCATCGAGCAGGCCCAGGCGCTGGACTATCAGTGGACCAGCTCAGAGATGCGGCACTCCCTAGTGCGTTCGCTGGGCATCGATTCAAGAAATATAGTAGGCCAGACCTCAGCTACGGTTGGATTCCGCGCAATGCTAACAATGTTTTCTGTTTATTTCAGCTGTTTGGTGACAAGTGGAATGCTTCCATGCCGCGTTTTGCTGCCAATCTGAGCTTTGATCCACTCAAGCCGCTTAAACCGCTGGAGGCCAGCAGCAACCAGCAGCAGTCAGTGGGTAAGTGTGGCACCCCAGATAATCCCTACCAGATATGCTATATGCCATACTATAAACAGATTAAAATCCACTTAGTTAAACGCAAATTAACCGCTACACAAGTTTTGTCCACCTATCGCCTATCGCCCGCATAATTTTCTTACAAAATGCTTTCGGTTGCCACTTGATACCGCTTTTCCGGAGATTGGCCTGCCTCCTTTTGTTACCATTACGGTTTTATTTTTGTTTTGTTTCGTTTGTTCCTATTTCCACCCCCACAACCCCCACACCCAACATTTCTGTTCAACTCTCAAAACTGAAATGATGAAATGATTTATGTACTCGTATCCCAAAAACGATGATAAATTGTATCTAGATACACATGTACAGACCTTACAATTGGAAGAACTAGACCAAGAACTAACGATGATGCTGATGGCTGACAATGCTGATAATGCTGATAAAATAAATCTTGTTACCTCTAACTTCCACACCAATAAACACGAACCCAATGAAAATGATAATGCTGCTGCTCCTCCGCCCCACCAAACGGACGACAACGACAATGACAAACTGATGATGATGGATCTCGATCTCCTCCTATCTAACAATATGCACCATTCTTCTACTTCATTAACCACACTCAATAATAATGATAACAACAATCATGCAACAACAATACCAATAAACACAATAAATCTCCTCCATGATCACGATGCCTTCTTGCTGGATTTTAGTAAGTTTCGTTTTTGGGCGTTCTGTGCGTGTGTGCGTTGTGTGTGTGTGTGTCTGCTGTAGTTGTTTCTGTTTTGTATTTGTTTTTGCTCTCTATACTCTACACCTGTTATTGATCTGTTGTCTACCCAGCCCACCCCCATCTGGATCCTTAATTTTGTTTTTTGTTGGCACAAAAAAGCAAACATCTAAACCTCCAAATTAGCTCGAAGCACAAGTAGTTTTTTCCAACCCAGAAAACAGATCTCCAAAACCCCAAAAACATTTTCACATTTTATTTAGCTAGAATTTATGGGATATTATTGATCTCTTGCTGTAAGCTTTAATTGACAGTACTGCAACTCTCTCTCTCTATCTCTCTGCATTTGCATATAAATATTCGCATAATCTGACCCACTAATGTTTGCTATTTACTCTTTCTTAGGATTGGAAGCAACAACCGCAGCAGCAGCACAAACGAGCCAAACTGAAGCGCGGTCTGGCCCGTCTAATGGGGAAAACGGTATCGTCGTCGGCAGCAGCAGCAGCACCAGCAGCACCGAATCCGCCCACTTCGACCAGGACAACCACATTAACACAGACATTAATAGCGACTGCCTTGAGTCCACAGCAGCGGCACCAGCAGCAGCTGCTGTTGCAGCAACAGCGACGCTATCGACTGCTCTATCAGCAAACGGCTATGGCCACAACCTCAACGGCAGTGAGCAGCTGCATCAGCAGCTCCAGCAACAGCAGCAGTTTGATTTGAGAGCAACACCAACGCCATCGCCATCTCCACCTCCAGTGGCAGTGGCAGTTGCAGTTACAGTTGCAGCTCCAGCAGCGCAAGAGGAAATTAAAGCAAGCAGCACCACCACCAGTACCCCAACTGGCTATGCGATGCCACTGAAGGAGACCCACATTTACACACCCTCGAAATCGGACACGGCTGTGGCAAGGACCACAACGCTGGCGCCCATCGATTTCGATTACGAGATTGCGGCGACGGGCATCATCATTGATGAGACGGTGGTCAAGAAGGAGTATCGCGATGTGGAGTACAAACCGCCGCCGTTTGGCCTGGACTCGCCCAGCCGGTTGGCCAGCAGCAATGGAACGAGCAGCTTTGAGCTTCCGACAACAGTTAATCCCATGGCGGAGGATGATGATTTCAGTGACTTCCAGTCAATGCCAGCGAGAACGCAGGCCGCGCTACAGCCGCCAAGGAATGGAACGCCCACATTTGGCGAGCAAATGATACTCTGTCCGGCCATATTGCTGCCGCAGGCCATACCCCTGGCCAAGACGGCCATTGAGTGGGGCGACAATGCCCTGTCCAGCATCAATGCAGACGAAATGGCACGCATTGAAGATCTGTTTTCGACGCAGTACAAGCCGCCCACGATAAGTGCAACGGTGGCCAAGCAGCCGCCACAACAACAACAGCAGCAGCAGCAACAGGAGGATGATGAGTGGTCGGACTTTGTGTCGGTGCCTGTGCCCCAGCAGCAGCAGCAACAGCAGCATCCACAGCAACAGTCTTTTAGCAACAATAACAATGTGAACAGCTTGAAGAAGCCTCCCTCTGGCACTGGGCCTGGGCCGAAGGAGGATGATTGGTCTGATTTTGTGAGCAGCACGCCGCTGCCGACGCGACCATCGGCTCCACAATTCAATTCTGGGGCCTGGCAAAGCGCCAACTTCTACAATAATCCACTCAGTCTATATCAGCACCAGAAGCAGCCGCATGCCCACAGCAACTTGGTGCCCAAATATCAGCAGAGCAGCAAAAGCAGCCTCAGCAGCAGCACCTCCACAAACCACACCAACCACAATAACAATAACAACAACAACAATGTGCCAGCCACACCACAGCAGATTCACATCATGCACGACTTCTCCACGGCGCCCTCCACAACGTCCGGAAGCTCGTTGGCCGGAGCCACCTATCAACAGCATCACCAGCGGCAGCAGTTTCAGATCGGCAATGCAAAGGTGGCGCCACGCATATCCCTTATACCCGATCTGAGCTTTGTGGCGCCGGCACTGCCCACAAATGCGGGGGCCTTTATGGGTTCGCTGCCAAAGCCCAGTTTCAGTGGCAAGAAATGACAAATGCTGCGCGGAGGCAAACATCATCTGAATCCTCAACAGAAGCAAAAGAAGCAGCAGTCGTTGAGGCCGCGCCCACTGGCAGGAGAGGCCAGCGTTCTCACGTAGACAACTAACTACCTGATGGTGGAAGGTGGCATGGTTGGGCCCGTGGAGAGTTAGTCAGTATTATGAATCCGTCTGATAATTACTATATACCGTACCCGCTACCGTCGTCGTATATAGACACAGTTGATGATTGTGAAAGAACTTAGCAGAAGCAGAAGCAGAAAAAAAGTGTTTAATGTTGTCGTTGAAGTTATTGTTGTTGTTGATGTTGTTAGTCGCGTAGGACAAGGCAGGCACTCCACTCAGTCCCACCCCACCACCACCCCCAGAAGATCCAGCAAACCAAACTCTGATTCTGGTTTTTGGGTTCCATCTCCCCGGAGCTTTCTTGTGCAATATTTTTGACTCAAAATTAATGAAAGGAAATTTCGATTTTTCGAAGTGAAAATTACCACAGAATAAATTAGATGTAAAAACTATAGAGATTTTATATGATTTTTAGGCCAGAACCACTACAGAGCCAGGAACAGAGTGATAGTACCAGTAATCCCCCACAGTTTTGAAAGCATTCCAGAGAAAACAACTTCCCTTTGTGACTTCCCTGACCCCTACCTACAAGAGAATACTCCAAGAAGTCCGAAATACCGAAGAAGAAAAAACCCCCAATACCAACCCGCCTGATGCGAACTTTTCTACCAATAAATATGTCGTGTACTTAAGAGATGAGCGAAATAACTAAACCTAATCAGATACGAGTAAACCATAGGCATAGGCTAGCGAAGTAGATATTAGCAGATAGGCAGATAGATAGGCCGATGATAGCAGTTATGTATGTCTCGTGCATTCCCAGAGTGTGTCCCAGAGATGTGTCTACTCGCCCCATGATGATCTCCAGTAGAACTGCGCGCGCGCATGTAGAAGCAGAGATGCAGCCGCCACCCCCCAATCCGCTCCAGTTTTTAATGATTTTTTTGTGTTTTGTTTTTTTTCTCGTGTTAAAGTGTTTTAATTTTGTTCTTTGTAATCATTTTTATTTATTTTACTTTATGTTACGCTTTTTTAAGTTGATAGTGTGTATGCATGTGTGGGTGTGTGTGTGTGTGTTGTCTGTGTGCGCGTGTGGAAATAATAAAGAAATATTAAACTAGAACTAAGTGTTTTTGATGTAAATTATACTTAAGTGTATGTAAATTACAAATATTCTCTCGTTTGTGTGTGTGTGTGTGGTTTTAATTTGCTAAGTCAATAAAAATAGAGCTAAAAACGATTACATGATACGATGTGTGTTGGGTCGCTGCTTTGATTTAAATAAAAATGAATTAAACTACTGTATGCACTAGTAAAACCTATTCAAAACGTATTACTGTATTGTATTGTATTGTATTTGTATAATTAAAAACATATGCGCTGATTACAGAAAATAAAACTTACAAATAATGTGAAGAAAAACAATTATTGGAGAAGCTTCTGTCATTTTTTTTTAGTTTGAACTTTTTTTTGCTAACAGGAAGGGCAGGGGGGTGTTTAGGATTTTTGTTTACAATATATAAATATATGTGTGGTGTGTGTGTGTGTGTGATTGAAACCTGCTTAAGTTTGGTGTGGCTTAAGGGTGAGAGAGAGAGGCAGAGATTATCAATCAATTTGAAGCACTAGGTGTCCCAGCAGTCCACTACTCTCCTGGAGGATGCATATGTGTCCTGAATGGTTGTGTGTGGCATGTGTGCGGGGCGTGCATGGGGTGTGGGGTGAGGGCGAGGCTGTGTAGCACTATGGCAGTAAATAGTACATAATAATAGTTCGAAATTACACATGTATCTAATATAAATATCTTTATAAATAGCATACGATCCCCGATCTGTGGGCCAAATGTGGTTGGAGACCCATTCAGCATTTTCCAGTCGGAATCTTTATACCAACTTGCGTCTAAATGTTCAACAGTTATTCATTTCGTTATCCTTAACTCTAGATGAATGCCTTAATGTTTAAGCGCATTTTCTTTTAGTTATTATTATCATCATCATTTTCCGTCGCATCTCCTGTCTCCTGTCTCGTCTCTCTCTGTGTTTACAATTAGCCTGGCTCGTAACATAATGATAAAACGCTAACAAATCCAGAAAATATGTATGTATACTCTCTCGCGTGTGTTTTGTGTGGTGTTGGTGTCGCTATCCTTTATGATATTTTGAACTAACAGTTTTCATACTTTTCCTCAAATAAAAACTAAATTCGAGGGGGAGCGCTGGGAGATGGCCAACCGGTTCGGTTCGTTTCGTTTCGAGGTTTAAACAGTCTTTGAATGGAAGTTGGTTTCGTCTTGGTTTTGCGTTTCTGGTTGGTTGGTTTCAGTGCATAATGGGATCTGGATCTATACATATATATAAAAGCTAAGAAAACAAAACACAAAAACCAGTTTGTAGCTCTTGCCATCATCGATTTTAACCGTTTTGGTGGCCTTGCAAGTCTCTGCTTAAAGCTGAACCTTTTCCGAACCGTTTCCCGTTGGCATCCCTATCCCTGCTGGTTAGGGCTTCTCCATGGACTCCCTGCCTCAGAAGGCCAGCCAAGGGTGATGCAGCAGCGACTCCTTGGACCGATCGCCATAGTCGTAGGTCAGCTCCTCCCCCGGCACAATATCATCCTTGGCCAGCAGAACGAGATGCGGACGCTGCTTGATCACGACCACTTTGGTCATTAGATTGCCAGCACGCGAGTGATTGATGAGGCGGCCCAGCTTCCCAGTGTCCACGGTGGCATCGATGCAGTACTGCTGGCTCTTGTGCTTAAAGTAGTACATGTAGCAGCCGGCGTTCTCGTCCAGGGCATAGCGTCGCTCGCGGTCGGTGGCATCGCTGATCGAGATCAGATCGCCCACATACTCCACGACGAACTCGTTGCGCTTGAAGTGACGCACGGCGACAACGCCGCGACCCTTGCCCATGAAGTTGCGCACCTGGAGACCCTCGGAGCGCTCCTCGAGCACTGCCTGCTCCAGATTGCGCAGCCATTCCTCCTTGACGGCCGTTTTGGTCTTGCGTACGCTCCGCCGCACCGGAAAGAAGTCTGTCATCTCACGATTCCCATTGGTCGCGGCCAGGGGCAGCGGTCCAGGTTGGATCTTTGAGCCGGTCTTGGTCCTGGACGAGCCTCCCTTGGTAAGGGCAGCCCTTGGCTTGGCTGGCGCCGCTTTGAGCATTTTAACGTGATTGTTGCTTTTGATGCTGATGGCTATGGGTACTTTGTTCAGGTTCTCCAGCTCGTCGGCTGCCTTTATTAAGGCATGCACATCGTCCTCATCTTCCTCTCCCTCATCCTCCTGATCCACATTATCATCATCGTCGTCATCATCGAGGATGACAACAATGTCCTCGTTCGTTGGCTGTGTGCCTGGCGTTGGCTGTGGCTGTGTCTGGGGCTGGTGGTAAGGCGCTTGTGGCTTTGGCTGATTCAGTCTTCGTCGCGACTTGCAGGCGGCAACCGCTGCTGTCGTTGTCGGTAGCTTGCGTGGCGACTTTCTGGGCGACAACAGATCGCCCTTCATCATAATGCCGGAAGTCTTGCGTGCTCCAGGTACAATCATTCCCCCCCCTTCGCGGGGCAATGTCTTGATCGGCGAGGGGCAGAGTATGCGATGGGGTGTGGCTGGTTTGCGGCGACGCGCAGCCGCAGCTGCTCCTCCAGCGGCCGGCGATTCAGCCGACACGGTCAGGCTGCAGGCGACGCCACTGTCGCAGGAACTACTATCATGTTGGTCCAATTCGAAGCCGTTGTGGTGCGGCTGTGGCTGGGCTAGGGCAACTGGCGGCGTCTCGAACAGGTCGCCGCCGCCGCCATTGAGTGTGACAATCTGATTGAAGCGGCAGCCATTCAGAACGGAAGGCGGCGATGAGAAGACGGCGCTCGCCAGCTCAAAGCTCTTGTTGATCTTAATGCTGGAGGCTTTGGTGGGCGTGCGGTCAATGTCCAGCGTCAGAACCGGCTCCTGCAGGAAGATATTGTCTGTGGTAGCACTGGCCCCGCCACTGCTGCTGCTGCTGTGCGACGAGCTGTGGCTGTCCCGCAGGGCAGAGCGATGTGTCTGGAAGTCGGCCATCAGCAAGGGCACGGGACTGGTCTCGCGCATTTGAAATGTGTCCTGTTGTATTTCCTCCTCATGTTCGTGCTCGTGCCCGTGCTGGTAGGAAGGCGAATCGGAAGAGGCCGTCGAATGGCCATCGTACAGCAGATCCCCCACAACCCGCTCCAACTCCTCATCTCCCAGCTCGTCGGACAAGGCAAGCTCTGTGGATATTGTCTTTTGCTCTTCAATTGGCTCATGATGTGTATTCAATGGGATTCCACACTTGGTGGCTGCATTCGCTTTGAAAAAGTTCTCAATGGTGCGTGTCTGAGAGCGTGTGGCCAGCGGCACGCCTAGAGACCAGAAACAGAAACAAGAGACCGAAAAATCAGTAAAGCTAACCTAAAAAAAATACCACCAGATGGTGGGGGGCAACACTCACCAATCGTTCGATCCGTTAACGCCTTTGTTGGCTTGTTGCCTTTGTTGTTCGCCTCCTCCAATGCCACCACATCCGAGGAGATTTTGAGATTTTCACTGGCCTTCATCAGGCGGCAGTCTTTCCGCTTGGGGCTGGCAAAATATTGGTCATCGAGTAGATGATTTCCGCCCGCAACGGCCACAGCGGCGGCAGTGTCCATGGTTAGAGCTCCGTCGGTAGCAACAGCTGCCGCTGCGGAGCCACCACCAGTTTCTTTGGCGGGCCGCGCTCTCCTGCGCACCATTATCATCTATAAGCGTGGCTGGGGCGAGAGTGGTGCTGGTGCTGGTGGTGGGGTGGCGGGCGCGGCGCGTGATCGCAGCCACGAAGATGTAGGCGAAGAGGTGGTGCGTTCGTTGGCGCGTTTTTCCGTATGACGACTACGACGACGACGACGACTGCTGCTGCTGGACACGAGCGATGTGATGGATTGCCAGCAGCGAGCGCTCACGCACACACACTTGGCCAGAGACGACTGCAATTAGCCAAGAAGCATCAGCAGCAGCGACACAAACGGAAACAGAAACAGGGAAAGAGACACAAACGAGGCACATTAAAACATTTGCACTTCATAATATAATCGTATGCAGAGGTGCTACATACATATGTATGTAAATATGTATGTTTGCAGTTTTCTTTCACACCCCGCGCGCGTACAGTTTTGCCACACAAAATATCGCCTTTTGTTGTTGCTTTTGTTGCTGTGTGTGCACGAAACAGGGAAAGAGGAAGAAGACGGAGAAGAGTGGAGCACAGAGCACAGCACAGAAAGAATAAAAAAAAAGCCTGCTATTGGTGTTTGGTGATCGTTTACCTATCTGAAAATGCTGTCGTCATACGCAGCAGCGCATTTTATGTGATTTAGGTTCTCTTATAAGCATTGCAATTGATTGCACTGCAATTAATTATGTTATTAGTTGCACTTTTCCGCAAACTTTTTTTGGTTGTTCTTTCTTTTGCTTTGCGTCTGTAACAGGCCTGCTTATATGGCTTATCGATAGGCGCGCAATTATTGTTGTTCCGTAATGACTATCGATAGTGGAACAATTGGCGCGCAAATAGATCCCACAATTTGTTTGAATTTATATATAAAAATGAGTTGAATTAATCTTTCTGTGCAAAGAAACCGGTGTCTTACACACCAAACTATCTAATAATTACTTAGAGAAGCCTTGTCACTGCAATTTGGAGTGAAATGCATTTAGCATGCTTTTGTCTTCTTCTTCCCCTGCCTGTTGTGGCATTTTCGCGATTGTCGTGGTGCGGTAACATTGTTTGTATTGCAAAGCAAAGCAAAGCAAAGTAAAAAAAAAAATTAGGCGATTCGCAAGGCGCGCGTGAAAAGAATTTGTGCGCGTTAAAAAGTAACTAATTTTAAAGTGTAGATGCTGATGAAACCAACAGAAAATATAATAAAAAGTGGCTAGAGCTGTGTGTTCATCGACTGTTCATAAATGTGGGTTGGACCACGGCGCGCAAACCGCTGAAAATAAGCAAACAAACGGCAGCCTTGCGAAAACGAGAAAAAAAATTGGGCGCCTTTTGTGAAGATTGTGTGTCCGTCTGGCTGTGGCACATTTATTTTCAGTTTCCGCTTCTTCTTCACAGCCAGCAAGCCAAAGTGAATCGCGCGCGGGTGTAGCACAGCCGAGATATACAGTACAGTTAAATTGTTAACGAATAATTGCTGCAATTAAATAAATACCTACATAAATATGCCGATTTGCAAGCGGGAAGGCTTCGACCTGAATCAAAAGGAGGGCAAAAATGATACATTCCACGATAACGACTGGGTCTTCTGCTGCTACATCACCAATCGCATTTTCCGCGACTATGAGTAAGTACCACCCCATGCCCCATGCTCCACATCCTTTCAGATCATGACGCCCTGGCCAAAACGCCTGTCTGGTGCAAAGCGAAGAGTGCGCTAAAGTATACAACAAAGCGACGCCTGGGAACGGAACGCATGCAACCGACCGACCGATACACATACATAATATACGAGCATGCATGCATGGGTGTGTGAGTGTCTGGTCCTGGGCCCGCGGGGCACAAACAACGCTGTCGGTGGCGGGCGTAAAGCGCGCGAACTTCCAGCTGCCGCCTGCTCCCAGCTGCTTGGCGCAGCGTTGCCACATTTCCAGAAAAATAGGCGCGCGCAACACTAAATTTGAAATCTGTCTACCATAATATATATGTTTGTATCTAGAGCTCCATATGATTCCCCCATACTGATCCAACCAACATTATTTAAAACAGAAACTACTTTCGACACGTGATGGCCATCAACTCGACGGTGTGGCAGTGCGAGGCCACCGGTCGCGAGAGTCTCACCTACGAGGAGGCCCAGAAGAGCGAACGTGCCGCCCGCAAGAAGATGGAACAGTTTAAACAGAGCCTGCGTGCCCCCGTCCTTCTGGTGGTGGAGCATGCCCGCCAGTCGGCGGTGAAGACGCTCAACCTGATGGTGGCCAAATTCCTGCGCAAACGCTACTTCATCAACGAGGAGGTGACGGTGACCACCAAAAAGAACGCTACCTATGTGGTGGTGGCCATACAGCCCGGCAAGAGCATGGCCTTGCCCAGCAATGAGATCTACGAGGACACGGATGGCCTGCAGTACCGTCTGAGGGCAGCCAAGGGCGATGCCGGCACAGAGATCACCGTGCCCTTCGATCAGATACGACGCCAGCGATTAGAATTCAACATGGAGAACCTGGGCATGTTCATCAAGAACAATGTGACACGCGTCGACGGCATCCTTCGGCCGAAGCCCGAGGCCTACAAACAGTACGTGACGGATGCGGGCATCAGCTTCTCGAGCATTTTCATTGGCAAAATGCCACGCTACTCCCCATCGAAGATCAAACGACCCGAGCCCAAGGACACTGCAGCCAAGAAACAGTCCACGCTGAACAAGTACATTGTGTCGGACGTGTCGGAGGAGACGGCCGCCAAGGCCAAGGAGAAGGCCAAGGCCAGCGCCAAGCTGCTGGCCGAGGAAATGGAGCGTGTGCGCCTGGAGAAGGCGGCCAAGCTGGCCGTGCTGGAGCGTGAGAAGGCCGAGAAGAAGGCTCAGCTAATCGAGCGGGTGGAGTCCGAATGCAACAGTCTGCTGACCAAGACGGACGATCTGGAGCGCTGTGATCAGCGGGTGCTGCCACGCTATAAGCCGATTGTGACGCTGCTGCCGGAGAAGCTGCTGGGCGACGCCTTCATGATGCGCGAATTCATGCACACCTACTCCGGTCTGCTGTCTGGGGTGGAGGTTTTCCGCCAGAATCTCAGCTTCTATGAGATGACGCGAGCGCTCAGTGCCCGCGAGGTGGCTGGCCCACTCTCGGACATAATCCTGGTGCTGCTGGGCACCGTCTTCGATCTGCAGAAGGAGGAGGAGGATGAGTGCGCGGTCAGCTACATGCTCGGCCGCTACACGGCGCCCAGTGAGCCCTACATCAGCATGGGCAATGCCACACGCAGCCACTACTACTCGAAGCGGCACTTCTCCTTCAAGATCAACGAACTGCCGCTGGATGCGCTCACGCTGAGCGAGGTGCTGCGCCTGCATCTGCTCAGCTCCGGTGCGATTGTCAATGAGAAGGCCGAGAAGTGGCGGATCATGTACCGCAATGGCTATGCCTCGCGCGAAGATCCCGGCCTGGAGTTGCGCCTCCAGCAGCCGCACATTCTGCACAGCCTCAAGACCTCGCCCATATATCAGCTGGGCTTCAGCGACATCATGTGCGTGATCCGCTGCCTCATGTCCCAGATACTCACGTACTCCGGCACCATCAATCTGATCGAGGAGCGCATGGAGCAGACGGCCAAGGCCAAGATCGAGCTGCGTACCCTCATCCAGCTGGAGAATCGACGCCTGGCCGCCCTCGAGATGAGCAAACGCAAGCTGACGCACGAGCATCATCTGGCGTGCAGCGCGGAGGAGCTGAAGAACGATGCCGCCAAGAAGCAGTCGCTGCTCGAAAAGCTAAACAAGGGCATTGCGGAGCTGCACGCCAAGTCGGACACTCAGCACAGGAAGCACGAGCAGCAGGTCCTCGCCCTGCACTCGCAGCTGTTCAATTTCCTCGTCTTCCTGGGCACGGATCGCTGCTATCGCAAGTACTATGTGCTGGAGTCGATGCCGGGCATATTTGTGGAGCATTCGCCCGACAGCCTGGACACCTGTCTGGAGCAGCCGCCCCTGAACAAGCCCCAGTCGGAGATCAGCAACCAGGCACAGCTGCCCAAGAGCCGCAAGGAGCTGCGCACCTATCTGCTGAAGCTGTACGGCGAGGAGAAGTCTCGCAAACGGGCCAAACAGTCGCTGGAGAACAAAGAGAATCAGGAGCATCGCATCAATGGCGACGCCGAGCCCATGGAGGTGGCAGAGGCGGAGCCCCTCGAGGATCCCACCCAGCACGAGCTGATGATGTGCAGCGGGGATCGACGCAGCTGCATTGTCCACGATCACGGGGAGAGCAATGGACAGCGTCAGCGTTGGTCGTACATCTACAAGGCCGAAGACATTGATGAGCTGATCAAGAGTCTCAATCCTTTGGGCCATCGTGAGTCTGGTCTGCTCGAGGAGATCAATGGCCTGCGCACGCTCATCGAGCAGCATGTGAGCACCTGCCCCGTCGATGTGCTCACCCTGGAGAGCGACCAGCAGCGCAAGAAATTCCTCAGCACCATGCACGCGGAGACGCAGCGAAAGTATGGCGAGGCCATCTTTGGCCTGCCCGAGGGCACAGATCTCAATCGGGCGATGAAGCTGCATCTGGTGGATCGTATTCTGCAGTTCGAAATTGACATCTATACGGGGGACTTGGGGCGGCTGAAGGTCAAGGATATGGACAAGTGGCGCAACGATTTGCTCGAGGGCAACTACGAGCCGCAGGTCAAGCTGCAGTGGGGTCCGGGTGGCAAGCTGGAGAACCTGACGGCTGCCGGCTCCGACAACGAATCGCACGAGGACTACGAGGACGAGGAGAAGGGCGCCGTGCCCATTGGCAAGTATGCCACAAAGCCGTATCGTGATCCGGGCCAGTATCTGGGCACCGCACCGAACGCGGTTGAATCTGTGGACAGTGCCGACGAGGAGAGGCCAGAGTCCAAGTCGGAGGCAGAGGCGACGGAGTCCTTGCATGCCCAGGTACGCAACATGGCCGGCGCTCTGCTGCAGGTGGAGCAGGCCATTGGCAGGCGATTCCTGAAACCGCCCTACGGCATGAAGAAATGGGATCCCAAGCAGGATGCCCTGAAGCAGGAGTGCGAGGCCCGACTGCACCAATGGGAGGTGTCCCTCATGGAGAGCACCAGCTACGCGCAGCTCTTTCTGCACTTCAACATGCTTCACGACTGCATCCAGTGGATACGTTCGACGAACAAGTCGCTGTGCAAGGTCTGTCGTCGGGGCAGCGATCCCGACAAGATGCTCCTTTGCGACGAGTGCAATGGCGGCACACACATGTTCTGCATGAAGCCCAAGATGCGGTCCGTGCCCAGGGGCCATTGGTACTGCAATGAGTGCGTCAAGAATCTCGGCCTGAAGAATTCCCACGATGAGAAGGAAAAGAAGACGGCGGCCCAGAGGAAACGCAAGTTCATTGTGGAAGAGGAGGATGAAGATGAGCCCGAGGAGGACGATGAGGAGGACGAGGATGAGCAGGAAGAGGAGGAGGAGGAAGAAGAAGAAGAAGAGGAGGAGGATGCCACAGACGACAAAAGCGAAACATCTACCCATTCGTCCTCGAACAAGCCCAATGGCCGACCCGCACGTCGTCCCAGAGGGCGCCCGAGCAAAAAGAAGCGACTAACATCCAAAGAAATTGAAGAAGCTGTCGATGACGACGCTGACGAAGATGAGGACGGGAGCGAGCCCCTGGGCAGTGAAGCTGGCGATGAGAGTTCGGTGGAGCATGTCAACGGGGAAGAGAACGAAAATGAAGAAGATGAAGAAGCGTAGGTGTCAAAACTCTTTTAATCTTGGCTAAATTTGCATCTAATGGATGTTTTCTTTTATCTTTGGCCAGCAGCGACGATGAGAAGGTGTGCCAGGTGTGCTTCTACGATGGCAGCGAGATACGCTGTGTCCGCTGCAGCCTCTACTATCATCTGGAGTGTGCCCAATTGAAGCGACAGCCACGCGCCGATTTCGTGTGCAAGAAGTGCAAGACCACAGAGACGCAACGGCCGAGACGTCGTCATAGTCATGGTAGGGTCTAGAAAACAACCACAAAGGGAATATCTCTCTGATCCGATCTCTCTCTCTCTCTCTCTCTCTCTCTGTCTTGTTTCCACAGTAAATGGCCACGATGACGATGATGATGATCAGGATGAGCCTCAGGCCAAACGTTCGCGCTCCTCACGCAACTCTCTGCGCATCTCGCTGGACAAATCGGCCCGACACAGTGGCGCCAACAATAACAACAACAATAGCAGCACCAATAACAATAACAACCATCGACGAAGCGGTCGACGAATGAACGATAATCTGCCCTTGAATAGCGCCGCCTTGTACGATCTGCTGGAGCAGATCATGAAGCACAAGACCGCTTGGCCCTTCCTGCGACCAGTGCTGACATCGGAGGTGCCCGACTATCATCAGATTATCAAGACGCCCATGGATTTGGCCAAGGTCAAGTCCAAGCTGAATATGGGCGCCTATCAGCTAAACGAGGAGGTGCTCAGCGACATACAGTTGGTGTTTCGTAACTGCGATCTCTACAATGTAGAGGGCAATGAGATATACGAGTAAGTCCACAGATTAACCCTAACCCTTGTCCCTTTCTGCAATATTTATGCAACTATTTTTGCAATCCCCCGTTCTTGCAGTGCGGGCTGTCAGCTAGAGAAGTTCGTGATTGAACGATGCAGGGACATGCAGCTGCCGTTCAGGCCCAGTGACATGAATGACGAAGAAGGGGCCATTTGCTGAGCATCTCCGATCTCTCTCTCCCCCAGCGATCGTGTACATTATTTGTTAGCTTACCTTCAGGCATACACAATACATACTAGACCATAGCACCATAGCATTCAGTAGTTTACGTATATGGATATCTCTCTGCGACATTCTAGGTTTAAGCACTGACAACACTTATTGCAGTCCTTAGTGTAGATAATAATTACGTATCGTATATCCTATGTTTAGTATACGCATTTACGTTAAGCTAAGACAATGGTATGGCCCACGCCCCCCACATACGCACAAAATGTACGCAAGGTAAGAAAAAATGTTTTGTTATTTTTTTTTGCTGTTTCTTTTTCGTTTTCTGAGACAATTTATATTCTAGTTTATTCGTAAATTATTACCATACTACAAAAATTACACAGTTCCACACAATCAATACAAAAAAATGAAGAGAAAAACTTAAAATAATAAAAAAAAAATAAAACTTGCAGATTTCAAATGGTTTTTTTTTGTTTCCTAATGTATCGTATAGAATATAGAATTATGGATATTCTACCAGTACTTACGATATATCTAGTGATATATGTATACCCGAACTGAACCCTGAAGCACTTCATTTAAGTTTCAATTTTCTTCGTTTAATTTCCAATTTAAGTTCAGCTTGAGGTTCCATTTCTTAATTAGTTTAGTCTTAAATCACATTTAACAAGTTCAAATTTGTATATTTTCTTCTTGATGATACATACTTATATAGTACATATATTATAGGTATATATATAAAAAAAACCCAGTTACAAAATGTTTTCTATATTTCATTCATTTCAATTGAAAAAACTCTCGTGAGTTATTCAGTTTCAGTTTATAAAAAAAGGAATACATGTTGTGGTTTTTTGTTTAGTTTTGTTTTATGTTTAAATATCTATTAAGATAATACTTTCTCAGAAAGCTATTTAAATATTTGTTTTGCATGACGAAAATAATATTCAATTTGTGTGAGTTTTGGAGATCACCTCAGATAGATCATGGGATTGTAGGAGCCATAAGATGGTTGGTTATACATAGGGTATATATGGCCCCCGGCCATTTCTTCTGAAGTCTGAAAGGATAATTTAGTTGTACATATACATATACATAGCTATAGCTTAAGTTTAGTTTGGTTGGATCGATCTGTTCATTCTCTATATAGCAGCCTGGCTGGACGAGGATGTGGATGCGGACGATGACTCCGTGCTGCACATATCTACAGCAGCCGTTCCATTGGTGGTGGCCGGTGGCTTGTGGTTGTTGTTGGCGGCCATTTGATTGTTGTTATTGGCCTCGGTTTCCACATGGAACGGATACGAGCTGGATGTGCTGGGAGCCTGCGAGAGTTGAGCCTCCATGGAAGTCATGGATGTGGATGATGTGTCATCAGTATCATCAGCAGCAGCAGCTGCCACTGCTGTCGGAGCAGCAGTGTCGAGGCCATCGGTGCCATTATTATTATTATTATTGTTATTATTATCCTCCGATTCGGCATCCTCTTCCTCCGTCTCCCCCTCTTCGTCCGAATCGTTGGTGGGGTCCTCCTCTAACCCTTCGATGCTGTCATTATCCAGATCGCTGGCACGTAGCCGTAGGGTGTTGCGACGTCGCTTTCTGGAGGCAAAGCGCAGACGCATCAACTTCCTTTTGCGCTCCATCTGCTCGTAGTTGGACTGCAGCGTATCTGCTGGAATGAATTGGAGAGAGTTAGAGAGCAAACAAAACATAAATGGAAAATGAACAAGTCATGTACATGGGCATGGGCATGGGCATTGCTAGCTAGCCAAGTGTCAACACATCGCAGACACTTGCCAATAATTGTGGGTAGCAGTCCGCCCCGAGCTGTCACACCAAATCCTGACACTAAGCAAACAAATGGCCAGCAGCAGGGCACGACCTGTCCTGTGTATTGTAACTATTGTTAGACCCGCAATCTCAGACCCGCCGCTCAAGGGCCACCGCCGACTCTCAGTTACACGGACAATGTCGACGACTTTGCAGCTAATTATGTTGACCCTAGTGGGCGGAACAATTGGTCAAGCCAATAATATGGCCAGCTATAGACAAGTGCTTGAGCCCATTCTCAGCCAGCTGGAGGGCGGCCTGGAGCTGCATTTGGGAAGATTCCAGGATGGAGATCACGACTTTGTGCAGTTTCTACTGCGGCAGGGCACATACTCGATGCGCATTAGTCGAACATCGCAGCTGTCCGTCGCTGTGGCCCATCATATCCTACTCTTTGCTGATGTGGCGCAAATGCAGCAGGTTTTCCCTCGCCTAACCAACAGATGTGGCTTCTACGTGCTGGCCATGGAGCGAACTGCGCCCGAGGACGATCCACAATTGCTGCAGTTTATGACGGAGGTTTGGCAGCGTCACAATCACAGTCAGATCTACTACGTACAGCTGGACAGAGATCGGCTGCTTTTGCATAATCCCTTCAGGCAGAGCATCGTATTGGTGGAAGAGCCACAGGCTTATGCGAGGATTTATCACAATCTCAATGGCTATCCCCTGAGGGTCTACCTCTTTAATTCGGTCTACTCCGCTGTAAGGGGCGATGGAACAACCGAAAAGGTCCAAAGCGTCACGGGAGCCGACGCCAAGCTGGCCAAAACGGTGGCAAAGCAGCTGAACTTCACCCCGGACTACCTCTGGCCGGACGACGAGTACTTTGGGTGAGTTCAGCAAAGCAACACTAAAATCCTCTATTTATATTTTGACTTCTTCTGTCTGCCCTACAGTGGCCGCCGATCGGATGGCTCCTACAGCGGCGGAGTGGGCTATGCCCATCGCCACGAGGTGGACATCATCTTTTCGGGCTTCTTCATCAAGGACTACCTGACCACGGACATTCAGTTCAGTGCCGCCATCTACATGGACGACCTGTGTCTGTTCGTGCAGAAGGCCCAGCGCATTCCCCAGTCGATCCTGCCGCTGTTTGCCGTCCATGTGGATGTCTGGCTGTGCTTCTTGCTTGTGGGTCTGTCGGGCACCGTCTGCTGGCTATGCCTGCGGGCGTTGAACAGGGCCCTGGGCATCCCCAGGATAGGACGGATTGGCAGGAACACAAAGGAAAGAAGTGTGAGCCGCTGGAGCTGCGCGATGAGGATCTTCATCGACACGTGGGTGGTTTGGGTGCGGGTGAATATTGGTCGCTTTCCGCCCTTCCACTCGGAGCGCATCTTTGTGGCCTCGCTGTGCCTGGTGAGCGTCATCTTTGGCGCCCTGCTGGAGTCCAGTCTGGCCACGGTCTACATCCGACCGCTCTACTATCGGGATGCCAACACCTTGGCGGACTTGGATGAGTCCGGCAAGCCCATCTATATCAAGCATCCGGCCTTCAAGGATGACCTCTTCTACGGCCACGACTCGGCGGTGTATCGACGGCTAGACGCCAAGATGATGCTGGTGGCCGAGGGCGAGGGGCGTCTCATTGACATGGTCTCGAAGCAGGGCAAATTCGCCGGAGTCACGCGCTCCGCCAGCCTGCAGCTGAACGACATCCGGTATGTGATGACCAAGAAGGTGCACAAGATACCCGAATGCCCAAAGACCTATCACATAGGCTACGTCCTGCCCCGGCCATCGCCATACCTAGAGCAGCTCAATTACGTGGTGCTGCGCCTTCTGGCCGGGGGTTTCGTGCAGCTCTGGACGGGGGAGATGAAGGAGCGCGCCAAGTGGAGCATTCAGAGGTTTCCCGACTATCTGGCCCAGCTGGACGTGGGCCGTTGGAAGGTGCTGACCCTCTCGGACGTGCAGCTGGCCTTCTATGCCCTCACCATTGGCTGCCTGTTGGCCGCCTCCGTCTGTCTCGTCGAGATGTATTTCGGTCGCAAGAAGAGCAAATAAAGTGGAGTCACACTCACCAGAGCTGGGCTTGAGCTGGGGCGCCTTGCGGGGATTACGCGAGAGCTGATCGAAGACACGACGACGCTGCTCCCGGGCCGCAGCCTCCGCGGAAGTGGTGGGCATCTCATCGTCCCCAAACAGCCGGTGTGTCTCGTCCAGCCAGTCGCTGATGCGCGCCTGGGTGGCCGCCTGCTTTTGCTCGCCATTGAGCCGTGCCAGCAGCTGTTCCACACTGCGCTGCTGGCCCCCCGTGCCCTTCACAGCCATTTGCAGCAGGGCGCGACGCTTCTTCGCGATCAGATAGAAGATGCGATTGGGATGCGTCTGCCAGCTGAGCTCACTGACATTGGGCGTATCGTCCTCATCATCGGTGGGCTCCTCTTCCTCCTCCTCGGATGCCGCACTGGCCCCCGCCTCGCTGCGCTCCGACGATGTGCTGGAGGATGTGCTGTCGCTGCTCGTATGATTGCCATTGGTGTTCCAGGATTCCAGCTCCCGTTGCACCAGCGTATCGAAGAAGGCCAGCATCACCTGGTCCTCGTCAGTGTCGCAGGAGCTAAAGTCCTGTATGACATGCTCCGTGGTGTTGTTGTGCAGGGTGCGGTTGCAGTAGGGCTTGCTCGACGGATACATCAGCGATCCCTCCCAGCCATGCTGGGCAAAAGGACTCCACAGCTGCAGGTGAGCATTCAAACAGGGGCGGAAACTATAATGCTATCGAGAGCCAACGTACCTTTATGATCTTCTCCACGCCGGACGAGGCCAGCAGGCAGCGCTGTCGATTGAAGCGCACCTGATTGACCACAGAACGATGGCCCGTCAGAATAACGGGTGGCGTGTCAATCCATTGGTTCTTCGCCTCCACTAAAGCACAGAGTATTAGCGTTGATTCCTTACAGATTCTTGCCGCTATAGAAACTTACAGTCCACGCCATCCAGCCGCCAAATGAACATATTAAAGTTATCCGAACCGGACACCACCATCTCATCCTGCGGCCCCGCAAAGCTGCAGCTTTTCATGGTGCACGAGTTGAAGTACTCGTCATGGTAGAAGGTGCCCACCGGCTCCGGCGAGCTGGGACTGAACAGTATGGGCGGCAGTCGACGGTGCAGGGTGAGCAGGAGGCTGCCACTGCAATTGAAACGCACACTCATGCAGCTGGGCGATTCCGGGATGTAGTTAAACTGGCATAGGGGACTGCAAGCATAAGATTAGGTGAGATCTCATCAGCCGGCAACTGTCGATTGGACTCACTGATTGTGATGCCTCAGATCCCAGAGCATGGCTCCGCGCTTGGCATTGGCCGTGGCCAGGAAGTTGCCGTTCAACGGATGAAACTCGACGGCATTGAAGGGGGAACGGAACTTGGCCACCGTCAGGGGCTCGTAGTTGCCCACGCGGAGGTCATAGAACAGAACCTCGCCGCTCTCCGTGGCCACGCTAAACAGATGGACGCTGGTCCGGTCCACGCTGAGGCCGTAGACGGGTCCCTCGTGGGAAAAGTAATTCAAGAGCTTGCCGCTGAAAAGGAAGAAACGATGATTACAGCAGGACTGCCTGAGGCTTAACCTACGTGGCAAGATCATGTTGGATGACCAGGTCATCGTTGCCACCAGAGAAGACGTGTGCATTGAACGTGTCGAAGCCCAGGCAAAAGATGTTGCTGGTGTGTGTCTCGTTCATGACCTGCGGCCGTCCCAGTTCGGTGACGACCTCCTGGTCAATGTTCCACAGCAGCACCCGCTTGTCGTCGCCACCTAAAAGGGGAGAGATACATATAATGTAGCGGGTTCCCTCACAGCAACAGGTGTTGTCGGGACTAACCTGAGGCAAGGAACTGTCCACCGTTGCTGAATTCCAGGGCATTGACACACCCATAGTGGCCGGTCAGATTGCGCTGGTAGAGATTCTCTGCTGCACTGAGACGCTGCCGGAATATGCCAGCCGACAGTTGGCCAGCCACCAGATCGTTCTCGCGCTGCCTCAGGCCAACATCCAGATTGAGACACTCCACAGAGCGACTGCCTCGAGCGTAGTTCATCCTAGAAATTGTTGCAGTAACCAACTGAAAATTGTTCACTCCTCACAACAAGAGAGTCCCAGAGATGAGACTGAGACTGAGGCAGAGACAGAGAGTGAGAGAGAGAGAGAGACACGAGACACACGGGACAGAGAGACGGCGGACACCCACACCTAATGTGTCTCCAGGCTGTGGCAGCAGATGTTCTGGTGCTGGTTCAGCTTCGACATGTTCGCTATTTTCTCTATTTCGTGCACTTTTTTCATGCCAGAAACAACAACTTGCTGGGTGAAATTTGAGGCTGCTGCTGGCTGGACTGGCCAGCGGTGGGGGGGTAGGTCGGGACTTTGAATCCCAGGAAAAGTTTGTTATTTTTTCGCTCTAACATTCAATTGCGATTGGATTTCAGTTGGTCCAATGACTCCTCAAGCAGAGCACTCAGAAGTTATAATAATTGCTGGCTAGAAATTTTCACAACGCAAAGACTCCACGACGACTCGCCGCGACTGGTTTTAATCATCGGAATATATGCCCTAATCAAAACGAAAACATTAAGTATACAAGCCGAGGCGAAGAAACCAGCTGTTCGCTCAGGCAGCGACAGTGGGACAAGGTGGCTGGCAAAGTGCTCACAATTGTCCGATGCCTTCACGCTGCACTACGAGATACAGCCCTTGGGCTTGCTCGCATAATGATTGATGGAAATACAATAATACTTCAGGGTCTTGCAGTTATCTTTCCCGACTCAAGCATAGGCATTAATTTGGTGCACTTATGAATAAATCTATTGTACTCTCTCGCTCTCGTTGTCCGTCTCTCCTTTTCTGTATAATAATTGTTGGAACTATTGCTTAAGGACTTGTGATTGTTGGCCCAAGTATACCTGTGAATATGTACGATCGATGTGCCAATCTTTGGATATGTATATTTCATGAGCTGCTGCGTCTTTTAAATGTCTGAAATGTTCGGAATTCTCTCGTTATTGAAGTAACCTTTGATTCCATTTCCAAACCAAATGGGGTTATAGCTATATATACTCAGTTGTAAACTGATTTGAGTAGAATAAACATCTAGTAAATTCAAAGTTTTTTTTTTTTTTGGTTAGTTATTTTTATTGAATAAAATGGCAGATGAACATTCAAAAATCAACGAGCAGGCAGGGATGACCAAGAACTTGAAGGCCGAGGAGAAGATAGTTCCCGGTAAGGAATTGAAACATAAAAAATATTTTAAAAAAAGAAGCGAGAGCCCCTACAAAACATTATTCGCTACTCTCTACGATCTATAGATATTCTGGAAAAAGTACTCGATAAAGAGCACCTTTGGAAGAGTGGCGAGTACGTGCGCAGCCTCCATGATCGACTCGGGCAGTGCGTCCAGCGGAACAACGAGGACATCCTGGAGTCGGTGAAGCTGCTTCAGGAATTGTGCGAAGTCAGCGATGCGATGCTAACCAGCAGCACCAATACACCTAGAATAAAGCACCTGATCAGGAACTTCGAGACGATCGCTGCTACCAACGGTGCCGACTGTTCACTGGGAAAGCAGTTCACTGATGTGCCAGAGATCCGCAGCCTATTGCTCAAGTTTAAAACGCTCAACGAAGAGGACTCGCTGCGTGACTGTCTGATGACTTTCAAGAGTGCCAAGGAGAAGTTTGAGAAGCTGCATAGTTTCCTTGCAAGTAGCGATGGCGCCACCACCGAGCCCACGCGATCCGTTTCAGAGGCAAAAAAGCTATCGCCCAGCAACAGCGTTATTACCACCAACAGCGTCAGTCCCCCCAGCCTTCGCGAGAAGATCGTGGCCTTCAACAAGGCGCTGGGTGATGGCAGGGAAACATCCAAGTACTTCATGGACTGCTTCAGCAGTCGTTGCAGCTTCCACGACCCAATGACAGAGACTTCCGTAGAGGATATGAAGCCGCCGATAAATCCTTGGTCTCGCACCAACTCTGGCTATGAGGGTGACATGGAGAGCGAAGTCGAACAGTCCGATAATTTAGATGGCCAAGCTGATTGATTTGATTGATGAATTTGTATCTAAATTTTCACATTTCGGCGAGAGTAGATAATAATTCAAATAAATAGAGTTCTCAACAGAGAATTCCTACTGATTTCCTGGCTATTCCTTCATCTGCATTGGTATTTGGTATTTAATTCCAATTAGCTGCCCCAGACAGCTGCAGCCGGAGACGATACATAGGTGAAGGCAAACTGGAAGTCCCGCTCGTGCCCTCTGTCAAAAGCATCGCCATAGACCAGCCCAATGTTGCCCAATGCCAAGTTTTGGTAATTGGTTCAAAGTTCAGCAACTCAATATACATATGTACTATTGTCTTCATTGTGACGATACAAGTAGAAATACAAATCTGAAAAATATCACACTAAACTACAGTAAAAAACATCTATAAAAATCACGATTCATCCCTGGATGTCCATTACATTGCGATGCTCTGCATTAGCAAGTCATCTCCGCCGCCTGGAACATATCCGAATAGTTGATGGCGAAGAAGATCGAGACAGCTCCAATGGTGGAGCCCAGCTGGGTGATGGAACCCACCCAGACCAGTGACTGGCCACCCTGGGCGCGCATCACAGTGGTGATGCCCAGCTTGGTGTAACTGACGATGCCCACCAGAAGGGTCCAGGCAGCCACCACCAGAACAGCGCCGAAGCTATTATCGTAGAGCGGCGGAAACGGACTCAGAGCGGCCGTGGTAAAGACGTAGCTGGTGAGCAATGCGGCTATGATAGAGAGCACGGTGATGAGGCGCAGCGAGGTAAAATGCAGGAACATGGCCATGAAGCAAGCCACCGGATTGGCGATCACGCTCAGCGTGGCAGCCAGATGATAGGCACGCGATCCATACGGAGCACTCGAGTAGGACTGGATGCTCCCAAACATGCCGTTGCTGAACAGGGAGATGGCGCCTATCAGCAGCAACAGATAGGTGTACTGGCCGCGGGTCAGCTTCTCCGTTGGCGACTGATTGTCCGTCTCCCCGTACACGTATTTGTTGCCATCGCTGACGGTGACCTTGGCGTACTCCATCCTGGCCAGGGGCAGGGCATTGAGCAGCGTGTAGCCAATGTAGCTGAGCACCATTAGGCCGAACAGAATGAGGAAAAAGACTTTGGTGTCAAAGTGCGGTGGCACCTTCTGCTGCTCAAAGATTTCCTGGCCAGTCTCCGTCACGTTGACCAACACGCACTGCGAAGTCTCGCCAATGCCCTGGATAAGGGCCATCACACTCGGCAGCAGGCCGCTCAGTCCCTCGCCAATGAAGTACGTGACCATGTACTGCTCCTTGAAGCGCCCCATGTACGGCATGAACAGCACCGAGCTGGTGCAAGCATTTAGGGCCGTGAAAATGGTCAGCACAAGCAGGGCCACGCTGTGATCCACTCCGTTCACCACAGCCGTACGGTTGTAGAAGAAGGCCGTCAGCAGGCAGGAGATGGCGCCCACCAGCAGTACGCCGTGTATGGTCCAGCCATCGTTGAGCTTGCGCGGGGAGTACTTCTGTATGGCCGTGTAGAGCAGCGGCCCCAGATTGCCAATCTGGACCATCACACTCAGGTAGGAGGGCAGACTCCAGCCCTCGGGCGCCTCGTCCACCAGCAGTGGCAGTTGTATGAATGTGCCATTAACGCCCAGCCAGGTGCCGATGCCAAAGAATATGGCCAGGAGATCGACAATCAGGCTGCGATTCTTAAGTGCAGAGCAGTACTTTTGCTCCATCTTCTTGTGGATGGTACGCCAGGTGAGAAATACACTTAGCTCGCTCTCGCTGGGCTCGGCGACGGCGCATCTAGAACAGAAAAGAACAGAACATAACCGCAGAGATTAGATTACGTTGGTTCGTGCTTGCAACATTGTTGGGATGATAATAAACATTTTATTTAGCCTCATTAAGAAATCCCACAGATATTATCGGTAGGAGTAAATTATCCCAATAGTAATCCATGGTCTGTCTGCTCCAGCTATATCTCGTTCAAATTTGGCACCGTCTCATATTTTTGCTGCGTGTACTATATATTTGTTGTTTGTGATCGAATCACAGACACGGTGCGTCGACTAGTCGAGCCCAAATAAATAACAATAAATGGCATATTTGATTGCAATGTACGAGCAAAGTAGTATATCTTTAAACTGAACCCACATTCGATTCCACCAAATTGTTCAGATAAGCTTTACAAAATCATTATCAAGTCCAGCCAGGGCATCAGTCAGTCATTATGTCCGTGTCTTTGCAGAACAGATAACCGAACGCGATTATGGTTACTGCGGTTGATGTTCCACTTGGCCTCCACACAAGTGTACGCCGTAGTCACCCGAAGAGAGCCCAGGGGTAATCGCCACTTTCGATTGGATATATCTTTGGGCCTAATCAGCATTGGAGTGGATACTCAATGATGTGCAATTGGTCACATACGATCCACCTCTAATCTGGTAATTTAATTAGGCTGTGGGACTATCTGCACGTACATTCGAGTATCTGGCTGTGGATGATAAGAATCTAAATTGGAATCGGAACCCATTGATGGACCCCCACAACGACGTCATGGCGTTCGTTCTTTCCCAAATTAGCATAACTCCAATGCAAACAGAGTGGCGAGCGAGAGAAAGCACTTGGAGCTTTAAGCTTGTTTTAAACTGGTTTTTTCTCACATTGGAGTACACAAAATTACAGGTAATCGTCCGCTTACCTGGCGAAATCGGAAGTAGCCGCACTGGGGTCGTCCAACGTCGAGATCACGCCGTAGACTGGCCCGGACTGGCTGGCAATGCCGACTCCAGACCTGCTCTGGTAGCCGCTCATGTTGTCAGGCCTCTTTCTGGTACTCTTCGAATGGATTTATGATCTGCTGTGACGATGGGCAGATTAGATTTCGGCCACTGTTATACTATGGGATGCAATGAGTTCCAGCAGCTCAAAAATGTCAATTCCTGCAAAACAATCGTATCAATCGGGGCACTTTTCGAGAAGCGTGGCTTAATTGGAGCCGCCGGCACAACTGGCGATCGGCAGTGTGTCTGAAAAAGCTTTCCCCAATTGGAAACTGTGGCCGCTTCTCTTGATTAATGACTGTGATTCGATCTGCCGCGAATATATGTACATATGCACATATACTTGTAGACAAAGTCAAAGTTCCACTTTGTGCCCTTCGCAGACCAAGTCTTTTCCAAATTCAGGGCTCCGTTACGCAATGTGCGTTTGTCGGCAGGAGGCAACTGATGGGAATGATGCAAAATGCAGAGGGTTCTGAATGCTGGCTGCTTGGGTGAAGCGCGTCCAGCGTTGGCGGATTGTTTTGTCCATTTGAAAACCTCAGAACTCGGCAAAAGCCAATTCGATAGAAGCGTCGCAAAAATAACAATCAAGTGGAGAATAAAAAAATAGTTTGACTGTGCGAACAGCTGTTTTGTCGCCTTCGAAAAAAAAGCGCTGAGAAAAAGCAGCGCACGTGCGTCGAAGAGAGCAAGCGCACAAAACGAAATGCTCACACATACACACACAGCATATACACTTTCGAAGAGTATTTACATTTTTGGACCATTATTTGTAATGAAGAGAACCGTATAGAGTATGTTCTTTCGTATGTATGCAAATTATTCCTCCAATTCGAATTGATACAGGAAGTGTTTAAATTGAACAGGCTGGATCAAACGGTCATTTCTTTAAAGCAGGGTGCAAGCTCGTTTTTAAATTATGAGCAGTCCAACTAAAATAAAACCTTTATCAGCGAAACAAGAGTCCGGCATTCAGAAATCGCTTGTGCAATGTACTGCCGTTTTTCAGTCACGATCAATCTGCAAGGGTATCCAAAATCTCGATCTTTAAAGCTAGCATTTCTTTCTCTTGTTTTTGTGCAGTGTCTTTTTTGTTTTGCTTTATTGCAAGTGGAAACGTAATCAAAGCCAAATGAAATGCCAATCCCCAGAAACCCAATGAAATGTGAAAATAGTATGTTATGCATTTGGAATGCCTGGCACGGCTCGGCGGCGCTCGGTCATTCCGCGGAAATCGATGTAATTCCAGGTGGGAGCTACCTAGTGGGCGCTGCAGAGCTGCTGATACCAGCGCTTGCTCTCGCGGCATCGGGGATTCGTGCACATGGGGCAGCGCATCAGGAACTTGGGATTGACCGCCTGCTGGGACTGCAGATGATCTGCCACAATGTTGCTGAGGGCATCGATGAACAGCGGATGGTCGTTGGGAGCGGCGGCACGGCGAATCTCCTCCACGCCCACCTCCTTGGCCAGCTCGTCACAATACTCGATGTCCAGCTCGTGAAGGGTTTCGATATGCTCGTTGACAAAGGCAATGGGCACGAGTATAAAGTTCTTCAGGCCTTGCTTGACATAGCCCTGAAAGAGAAATCAATAAATCAGTCTCTGATTTAGTTTATACGCCAGAACCCACCTTGATTGCATCATCCGTGGCCGGGGCCAGCCAGGGCAGTGGTCCCACCTTCGACTGCCAGGCGAGGCTGTAGGGATTGGTCTGGCCCAGCTCCTGCATGACCATGTGGACGCTAGCCCCGATCTCAGAGGGATAGGCATCGCCCCTGTTGACCGCCTTCAGGGGCAGGGAATGGGCAGTGAAGAGTATGACCACATCGTTCCTCTTGGTCGGCACGAATTTGGCCAGCTCATCGCGAATGCGCTGGGCAAAGGTCTTTATGAGCAGCGGGTGTGTGCCCCAGCGGTCAATGATGCTCCACTTGATGTCGGCGGGTAGTGCACTGACAGAGAAGGGTTTTATTGTCCTGTTCCGTAGGGGTTGGTTTCACTACTCACTTGCTGAGGTAGTGGGTGTAGATGGAATTGAAACTGGAGCCGGATGTGGCGCAGCTATACTGTGGATACTGCGAGAAGATCACCACCCTCTCCGGCTTGTCGCTGGAACAGAACAAAAAAGGTAATCCCAAGAAAACACATCATTCTTTCTCTTATGTAAACCACCTCTCAATCTGGGCCAGCGTGCTCTCTGTCAGTGGATTGACGTAGCGGAAGCCCACGTAGTGCTTATGGGGGGCAGTCGTCGGCGACTGCTTGTCCAGCTGCTCGCACATCAGCTGGCCCTGCAGATCCGTCCACTTGAGTATGGGCGAGCCGCCACCAATCTCTTTGTACTTCTTCTGCACCTCCGGCGTCCGTCGCTGGGCGATCCAGGGACCCAGCCTGCTCTGCACCGGCAGCTGGATCATGTCCCGGTCTGTCATGATCCTCAGCAGGTAGTCGTGCACCTGGTCGGTGCTCTGTGGCCCACCCATATTCAGCATGAGGATCGCGGTCTTTGGCCGCTGCCCGCTGAACCCTCTGGCGCTCGCTGCAAAGTTAACGCCATTGCCTGGAAGTGGATCAGATCAGAGACTTTCTGCTATTTTATTGCATCTACTTACTGGCCAGCCTGCACAAGTTTCTGTTATGCAAAAACATGGTTTTAATAAATATATTGCACTTTCATTCAATGACAGTACCGTCTGACCCTCAGAAATATACCGAAATATATAACTTCTCTTTTTCAAAATATACCATAAGAAACGAACTTAGCCCAGTGAACAACTTGAGTTAATTCCCGGCAAATAAACTGCACTAAACTTATTCAAGTTTCATAATTTTCGTGGGACAATGTCGAACTGTGATAATGTTCCCCGATTTGAATATTCTGTTTAATTTGATCCGATAGATGAATTGATATTCCCCAAGAAAATTGTAGAGTATAGGTAAGTCGCCATAAGTGCTCAGAATCTTTACGGTATATTTTTGGTTTTTTTTTAACGCGAATTTGAATTGATGGTATTTTGAGGGTCAGCCACACTGTAAATAGAGCGCGCCATTTCATTCTTTTCCAGCACTGTGTCGTTGGCGTCAGAGTGGCTTCTCTTGCAAAGTAATTTTTTCACGTTTTAGTTGAATTCCAGCAGAAAAACTAAAATCAATTCAACATGTCGATGTTTTGGGGTAAGTTGCAGCTATTAATTGATTTGCCATAATGTCCAATGCCGTGGTTTTCACCTAAACGCATGGTCGTCCGGCGTTGTTGCACCGGCCACGTGCTTGTGCGAGCCGGCAGCGTGGAGCGCCACCATTTTAGTGACAAAATGTGTAACATGTTTTTATGTCTTTTGATGCACTGTAGGATTGGTAATGAAGCCTAACCGCAAGTACACCCAGACGATTGTTAAGTCGTTCCACATTTCGGGTGTTGCGCTCGACAAGGGAGAGGAAGCCAAGCTGTATTTGACAGCAGAAAAGCAGAAGTACGTGGTCGCCACAGTCCGCAAAGATAATCCACAAGTCCCGCTGGACTTGAACTTTAGCAAGGGCGACCAAATCATATTCCAAACAACAGGTAAGCAGTTTTTTTGATTAAATGTTGTGTACACATGGCTTACATACACACACACGCACACACTCATGTACAATTATTAACCTCAGTAACATTTTCTACTTGCATTGCAGGCGACGCCACTGTTTCATTGCTGGGCTACTTGCATGACATTGATTCCGAAGATGAGGACGACGAGGAGTTTGACTTGAAGACTTTGTTGAAGCAAGGCAAGGGCAAGGCTGGCAAGAACGGCCAGGAGGAGGACGAAGATGAGGACGAAGACGACGATGAGGACGTTGAGGACAGTCAGATTATCGAAGAGTACGAGTCCTTGCTGGAAAATGGCGATGAAGAAGAAGATGAGGAGGATGACGACGAGGATGATGATGAGAGTGGGGACGAAGAAGACTCTGACGACTCTGATGAAGAGGATGAGCAGCCCAAAGCCAAGGTTGCCAAGATCGCACCCAAGGCCAATGAGAAAGCTGGAAAAGATCAGAACGGAGTGGCCAAGAACCAACAGCAGGAGAAGCAGGCAAAGAAAGAAAAGCCCGAGACCAAGAAGGAACAGCCGAAGCCAAAGGAGCAGGACAAAAAGCCTGCAGGCGGCGAGCGCACCATCACGGGTGGTGTCAAAATTGCTGACCTCGCCACCGGAAAGGGCCCCGAGGCTCAGAAGGGAAAACGTGCCACCGTTTACTACATCGGTCGCCTCCAGAGCAACAACAAGACCTTTGACAGCATGCTAAATGGCAAGGGATTCCGCTTCAGGCTGGGCGGCGGTGAAGTAATCAAAGGCTGGGACACCGGTGTCATTGGCATGAAGGTTGGCGGCAAGCGTCGCATCACTTGCCCCCCGCACATGGCCTACGGTGCCCGCGGAGCACCCCCAAATATTCCACCCAACTCGACACTGGTCTTCGATGTGGAGTTGAAGGGAGTGAACTAAAAATAAACATCATATAGATTCTGTAATGTAGCATTTAAGGTAGTATTCCACACCGTACAACTTTTGAGCAACAATTGATGAAATGTTAAAATAAATATTCTTTGTTTTCCACGCTGTTCATAAATAAAACAGTTCTGTAACATACTTCTTTATTATATATGATTTTAAGCACTCTTTTCAGGGGAGCTAACATCCAGCAGCGGCTCGGATTGCATTTTCCAGTGCTCCAGCACGTAGGGCAAACGTTCGCTGGGGTCTGTGCTCCAATGGTGCAGGCGACATTTGAGCGTGGCCTGCTCCAGGTTATTGATTGTTATGGTGCACTGGAAGTCTTTGTTTTCCTTCTTCAGATCGGGTCCCTCAATGCGCTCCTTGGGCAGGGTTATGCACTCCTCTTTGCAATGGAAGCCGGCCTTGCGCAGCGAGGCTTTGATATGCCAGGGCTCGAGCACCCACGGCTCATCCTTGTTCATAACCACAGCCAAGACAATGGTCTCCAGCATGTTGACCGTCCGCTGGGCATAAGCCGAGCTGTGCTTCACCGCCGACTTCTCGGCCTCTGTCTTCGCGTACTTGGCAATGTTCTCGGGCGTTTTGTAGGCCGCAAGGCCCGGCAGCAGCAGTTTGTTGTAGACAAAATGGGGCTTCATGGACACCACGTCGCCCTTGTCGCCGACACCTTCGACAAAGGTCTTTAGGACGACTTCCATGTTGGGCCGCTTCTTCACTTGCGTGTCCTCCACCAGCTCATAGATAAAGTTCTTGGCCCGCATACGCCGGGGCTTCTCGTTGGTTTTGTGCAGCAGCGGTTCATATTTTCGTTTCAGGATGAACGTGGTCTGCAAACGGAGATGTCTTGAATGAAGGTGCCCCTCCTCGATGGCGACATTACTTACCCGGACCTGCTGCTGCAGGCTGGTTGCACTTTTCAGCAAATTTAGCTGTGTTACGCAGATAGTCTTCAGCATGTTTCGAGTGTTTACAACTTAACTAACACCGATTTCTTACGTAAGATATTCGGTGGGTGTGGCAACCTTGTACTTGTGCCATTTGGCGCGAAAATATAAAATGCGAGCAATCGTAATTTATTTCAAATTTATTTACAATTTACAAGTTAAATGTGTTTTACAATTACACTTAGACAACATTTATGGCTCAATTGTGCTCTGTATCCAGTCAACGTACTTTCCCACGAGCGTGTACACTCCCGGCCAACCGGCCAGGCCGCACGGCGTGGGGCCAAACGAAACGACGCCCGCCAAGAAATAGTACGTGTTGACTTTGTTTGTGTCCAGGCCTATCAGCGGACCCCCGGAGTCGCCGCGACACGAGTCGATGCCCTCCTTGCCGCCTGCACACATCTGCGTATCCTCCAGCATTATGTCCTGGCGATTGTACACGGCCTGGCAGTCGTCCATTCTGGTCCCCTCCACGGCAGCCTTGAGCTTCAGATTGCTGGAGGACAGCTCTTCCGTCTTTCCCCAGCCAGCCACATCCATGGTGATGCCATCAAACGTGGCTGAGCGCAGATTCACGTCCAGGGGCAAGCAAATGGGACGCACAAAGTCGGTGTACTCCACTTGGCTGCCCAAACGCAGCAATGCAATGTCGTTAACTTGGTTCTTGGAGCTGGGAATGTAGGAGGGATGCGGTATAGTGCGCTCCACAGGCACATCCAAATGCGCAGGAGCACAGTCCTTCATTCCCCGTACATCCACCTCACAGTCGGGGTCAGTGGCGGTGTCCCACTCGCCCAGGCGCACACCAGTCAGCCGCCAGTCGGCGGGCAGCGCTTTGCCATTGACACAGTGCGAGGCTGTCACCACATACCGAGTGCTGATCAAGGAGCCGCCGCAATGATGGCCCTTTTTGCCGGCGGCTACGAAAAGGAATGGAGTAAAGGGTCAGCTATTATAGATAGTTAAAGCACTCACCCTTGGTGTATTCTATCAATGCCATCCAGGGGAACTCGTCGATTTTGGTTCGAACGCCACCGTAAATACGATTGGACAGCAGATTGCCGCATTGGCCGGGCAGCGGCAGCAGATTGCTATTGGTGATGTTGGGCTGGACCGTCTGTGGCATCGTGGTCGGGCTGGTGTCCCGGTACCGATCCAGGCAGCAGATCAGCACCTTTCCGTTCGTATAGCCACACTGGCTGCGACTCAGATAGAGTCTGTCGGTGTCGCGTAGCGGGCTCGTCGTCAGCACACCATACAGATATTTGCAATCCTCCAGATGTATGCACAGTGCCCGTTCCCGATTGGGCGTAATGCAGCGGCCATAGTTGGGCACTTGGGCGGCCTCATTGGGGAAATAGAACTCTGTGGGGGGGTGAACACAAATGTACATAAATCTAATTCCAATAATCAACAACAATTCGCTGTGGCCAACAGCTTTGTGAATATCTAACAACTATTAGCATTAGATATAGGCATAGAACAGGTTTTGAGGTTTCAGAAGACATGTGAAGGCCCAGAGCACAAGCCAATCAGTAGTTTCCCTCTTCCTCCTCATCCTCTCCCGCCACTCTAACATCTTCAATGTTTACTTACGACCGGACACGGCTAACAAGTTGGCTAAAATCCCAATAATAAAACAGATGTACGCTTTGTTGAACATTTTTCATGTAGTGTCTGCTGTGCGCGCTTAATCCTTTCTCAAGACGTCGTCGATGATATCGCAGCTTGTGGAAGCTGATATCAAAATAAACACCGCGATAATGGGCGGCTCCGATCTTCAGCTGCGAATACAAATACGATGACTAAAACGGAATTCCCGTGCAGCGTTCCGTTGCTGAGAGTGAAGCTTGAGTTTGCGTGAGCTTTGATTGGAACAAGCTTTTGCGCTCGGCTGCTCTCTCGCTATCAAATTCGCATCAGGTATAAAGATAATGATCTCGAATTTTATTATTGCTATAATTCGACTTCTACACTGTAGACTTTGGCATTGAAAGCTTTGGATGGACGCCCGCCTATTGAAGTAGCCGCCGCTTAGGGATTGGGATTGGCCGATGTCCTGCCGATGCTGCTCTGGATCCAGTCCGAAAAGCTGCTGACCAGCGTGTAAACGCCCGGTATCGTGGTAACACCACACAAGGTCGGCCCAAAGGCGACAATGCCAATGAGCGTATAGCGTCCATTGGCTAACAGGCCAGAGGTGCCATCGTCCATAAAGGGGCCGCCGCTGTCCCCACGGCACACGTCATTCATCGGCTGGCCCTGGGCACACAGGTGACTGGGCGTGATGACAATCGGCTGCTGGAAGTTCTCGCTGAGTGTGGCGTACGCAATCGCACAGCTGGTGGTGTTCACAATGGGCAGCCGAATAAACCGCGCCATGGATGAAGTAGAGACATTGCCTGAAATTATTAATATGCAAACGAATGATATATGGGATCATCGTAGGCTTTGCATTTCCCCTTTGGGGGACACGTATCCAGTCAACTGGTGAAGCCAGTCAAAGCGAACGTGCGTCGTTTGTTGCTTCAATATCTGTATAGGCAAAACACCCACCTTCCGAATTTGAAGTGCTCCAGCCGGCGGCAACTCCCGTTTGTCCAATCAGCCTATTCCCGAGTGCCTCACTGCTGTTCAAAGGTAAGCAGATGGGCGTGTAGGTACCTGGGGAGAGACGAGTAAGTTAGATTAGGGACCAGCAGATATGGGGCACGAGATGGGATCGAATCACTTACTGGCCGTACTGTTGAGACGCAACAGAGCAATGTCGTTGGCATAACGGGGCTGGTCGAAATTCGGATGCACCAACACTTGGTCGATGGAAAACAGATTGGAGGCATCCTCCGCATTGGACGGTGCATCGCCGAGCCGTACATGGGATCTGGGAGTGAGAGGGACCAAGAGGGGATTGCTAGATCAGAGTGGGATGGGGGCCTTGTCACTTGGCCCGAAACTTACACTTCCAGGTCGGCGACCAGGTTGACCACACAATGGGCGGCGGTCACCACATAGTTGCTGGCTATCAGGGATCCGGAGCAGCGGTAGCTGATGCGGCGGCTGCCTGAAATATTTTTGGAATGGATGAATAATGCTCTTCTCGTTCAACAGCGCCCTATTGATACGATGGAGAAGCAAGGGTGTCCCTGTGTGACCATCGCAAGTCAGCCTGTCGAAGCTAATGGGCCATCCCAAGGATCTGGACAACAAGGTCCACAGCCTGGCGACCCACAGCCAGGTGGTCCACAGCCAGGCGGTCCACAGCCAGGCGGCCCACAGCCAGGCGGCCCACAGCCAGGCGGCAAACCCTCTGGCCGTCGGCCGTGCGGTCCGGACCCATGTGGAACAGAAATGTGCCCGACGACCAAGTCGACTAATAGAGGCGGTATCCCTGGTGCTGGACCACGTGATGGTCCTGCAGGTGGACCAGATGATGACCGGGTTGTTGGCTTTGGACCTGATGGAGGACGTGGCGTTGGCCCGAACGGCGAAGATTCTTACGGGGGAACTGGCGGTGGCCCTGACGGCAACTATGGCAGCGGCCCAGGAACAAACGGTGGCGGTCCCGCTGGTAAAGGCTATAACGATGGTCGTAGCGGAGGCCCTGGCGGCCCTGACGGCAACTATGGCAGCGGCCCAGGAACAAACGGTGGCGGTCCCGCTGGTAAAAACGATGGTCGTAGCGGAGGACCTGGCGGCCCTGACGGCAACGGCCCAGGAACAAACGGTGGCGGTCCCGCTGGTAAAGGCTATAACGATGGTCGTAACGGAGACCCTGGCGGCACTGACGGCAACTATGGCAGCGGCCCAGGAACAAACGGTGGCGGTCCCGCTGGTAAAAACGATGGTCGTAGCGGAGGACCTGGCGGCCCTGACGGCAACGGCCCAGGAACAAACGGTGGCGGTCCCGCTGGTAAAGGCTATAACGATGGTCGTAACGGAGGCCCTGGCGGCACTGACGGCAACTATGGCAGCGGCCCAGGAACAAGCGGTGGCCCACCCAATGGCGGTTCCGGTGCATATGGCGGTAAAGGATATGACGATGGGCGTGGCGGTGGCCCAGGTGCAGATGGCAGCGGTCCAGCTGGTAAAGGATATAACGATGGTCGTGGCGGTGCTGTGCCTCGTGCTGCGCCTGGCCAAGGCCAATACGATGGTCGTGGTCAGGGCTCCGGACAGAGCCCATATCCCAACAAAGATTTTCCCGAAGGAAAAGTGGACCTGGGCATCGCTGTGGCACTCTTCACCGTGGGAGTCGTGACGACCATCAGGCTAGGAGCTGTGGCCAGTGAGATTGGCTAGGATCGCTAGCCGGGGGGTTTATTATATTCAACAATTTGCAACAAGGACGAGGTCAAGGTCACTCGAATACTCATCTACACAACGCAGTCCAGGAGACACCTAATCCAAGCAGCAACTACAGTCAGGCGTTTTGTTCGTTTTTGGGGGCGCAATTAAAATTCAAAATTCCAGCAACTCCAAGGAGTCGACGTGTGTCCTTTACTCACTTCTGTTTCGGTAGGCGATCCTGGCCAGCCATGGGTACTGTCCGGCCGTGGCCTGCTCTCCTCCGAGCAATCGGCTTTCGATGCTTATCCCGCAGTTGGTCACTGACGCAGGAAAAGTAGGAACAAGAGGTGGAGGAGGAGGAGGAGGAGGAGGAGGAGGAGAAGCGGGCGTGGCAGTCGGTGGCAGGGCCGTGGTAAAGGGCGCCAAGGGTGGACCTTGACTCACGTCTGTGCCGGTCTCCAGGTCGCCGCCATGTCGAAGAAAGCGCAGATCCCCAGGAAACACAATGGGCTTATCCTCTGGGGCAGGACGTGGTGATCGTGGAGGATCGCTGCTGCCATGATCGATGTTGTAGCGGAAGGAGTGACCGTGAGAGTGACCTCCACTGGCAAAGCGATGATCGTAGAACTCGGCATCCACTGGCTGGGGGCAGTTTCTTTGCTCCTTGAAGTCCCAGTAATTGTGCAGATTCATTTCCGTTTCGTCCTGGCTGTCCAGGTGTGTGTTCTCTCCCCATATCCAGCGCTCGTCCGTTGGGGCAAAGCGCAGCATGCGCATGGCACTGACCGTTGATGACTCATGGCGGTGTCGATGGGGACAGCAGACCAGTGGGTCGAGTCCTTCAAAACCACAGCCGGCGGCGTGTACCTGCGCAAAGACATCGGCACTCTCTTCGGGCTGATGATGCAGCAGAAGGCGGCTGAATGCAACGCACTCTCGGAGGCGTATGCAGTTGCAAGCAGGCAAGCTGCCCCAGACAAAATCGACTGAAACGAGAATCGGCTGGGGTGACAACGCTTACTCAACAGTCTGTCCGTCCGTCTGTCTGTCCGGCCAAGGTCAATGTCGGCCAGCACCAAACCCAAACCAGAAGTGCCCCGTCTCACGCAGCGCAGTGGCAATTACTCACACACTCACTTTTTGGATACGTTTTTCGCGGTTTATTGCCCTTCGCTTTGCGGCGCGGCGCTGGCCGAGCATGATGCTAGCACATTTGCTGTTGGGGAATTTCTAGTTCCATTGGCCGTGACCCACTGAGCGGGCTGTTCTTTCTCGTGCATGCGTTCGCTTCTACAGTCTTTTATATCGCACGCATACAGCACAGTATATACTAAGATACTCACATCGGAGGAGAAGGCACAGAGTGCAGCACAATATCCAAATGAGTTTCATAAGCTGTTGCCCCATTTCGTAGTTTTATCAATCACTGATCGAAATCTGTGAGTTGCCGCAAACACAACGTTTCCCGTCGATGTGCGAAATTGAAATAAATTGATTCAATCGGCGAGCATACATATCTTATTTCCATTTTCATTTCCATTTCGATTTCGATTTCAATGGGGCGACGAATCACAACAAAAAGAGAACAACGAAAAAGCCAATTATCAAGCCATAAACCGAATTTAGACAAAAAAGAGCGGCTCGGCCGCTGTCTGCCCAACAGATCCGGACGGCGGCCTGCAGCGGCGTCTGAAGCGGGCAACGACATTGCCGGCCAAAGATGAGTAACCAGAGCTAGAGCTAGGGAAACAGAGCCAGGGATAGCTACCAAACATGTTTCGGTGCGCTTCCCGCGAGAACAAGATCTGCGGAATGGCAGAGAATGCGTCTGCCAATGGGATTGCGGGGGGAACTCCTCAAATGAGCTCTTCTCGTGTATTATATAGTATGTATGTGTTTTGTTTAGATTACAGTTGATGATGCGCTTAGGATAGTTGATGAGAAAGTACGCACAAAATAAGTAATGGAATGTTGGTGCAGGATTTTCTGAACCCAAAGTCGTTATTAGCTTGTGCTTTAGAACAGTAGATGTTCGGATTAGTTTTGCTTATCTCATTGGGCCCAGAACGGCAGAACTTACATAACTAGAAATGCGTATTGTTAAATGGAATGCCGAGTTGATGGTGACACACGTACGACTAAAATACTTAACTACTCATTAGGCCTGCTTCCTCTCATTGTTCGTTCTGGTTTGGCTCGGGAACAAGCCCCAGCCACTCTGTGCATCTATGCCACTGGGGGTACCACATCGGCAGCGGCTACGGCTACCGAGACTGTAACGTTATTCTCGACCTGTTCTACAGGTTCGACGCTCGGCTGGGGCGATGGCGATGGAGACGTCGAGGGCGATGTATTCACCGCAATGGTTGTCACCGAAGCCGATAAATAATGGCCATTTACATCAGCATTGCAATCGTCGCCAGCAGACGCACGCTGCTCATTGTAGTCTCCAACCTCGTCGTCGTCGTCATCAACTGGCGTCTCTTGACGCAATACCGCTGCTAAATGGTTGTCATTATCTGCTTCTACCTCCACCGCCTGGCTAGGGGCCGGGACCTCGGGCGGCGCCACATCTGCTGCTGCTGCTGCTGGAGTTGGCACAGTTGGCAAAGCTGCTGCGACTGCAGCAGGCTGCTCCAGTTCAATTTCTTCGCCCGCTGCTGCTCCATTTTCATTTAAATGAACGGCTACGTCACCATTGTGCACGCCGCCGCCATGGTGCCCCTTCAGCTCATTGATGATCTTTTCCCCCACTTTCGAGTCGATTTCGTTGATCTTTTCCTGCAGCTGGCATTTGAACTCGATCGGCCACTTTGGGCTCCATTCACGAAACAGCTTAATCTGTGGACAATGCACAGTTAGTAGACTGCCAAGGGGGTGGGGGAGTTGGGGGCTAGGGAACTTTCTAATACTTACACGACACTGGAACAAGCTCATGGGCTTGTCCTGCACGCCTGCGGTTGCCAGGGCGTTCACGACGCCATTCACATGTACACCGCCCACGTCCGCGCTGGAGCCTCTGGTTAGGTACTCCACAAACACATACACAAAATCGTCGCGCTGCAGCTCGCTCCACTCGTGGAACCATTGAATAATGTAACGGAATTCCCCGTCTACTGATAGATTGCTCATGGACATCATCTCTTACGGTTTTGTTGCACCCCCGCACTCGCTCTCACACACGGGCTTGATAATTGTCAATTGATTGGACTGCAATGATGCGCTGGATTGAGTTGTGCTGGGTACTGATTTTGGTGCTGCTTGCCACTGCAATGCCACTACACACTCTCAATACAATATAGTATACTCTGAGCGCTTCTCCCAGCAATAAAACCCGTTTCCGTTTCTAAGTTTTCTCACAGCTTCGCTTTGTATCAAATCCGACTCAGATCAGCTGTTTGCTCGGTATCGTTATCGACGTGCTGCACCTGCAGTACAGTGCAGTCTCCAATTGGAAAAAAACCAACGAATTTCGCAAAGTAGACAGTAATTATTGGATTAATTCAAATGTTTAACTTAACCGTTAGAGTTGGCACTATGATTATATTACGGCTCTCGTTTTGTAGATAATTCCAAATGTTAACCATTGGCTTGAAAGGTGCAGTTTTATAGCAGCATGCAGCCAAAAGGAAAAAAGGCTGTTTTAATTTAAATTAAATTTTAAAGTTTGTGAACTAATTTGAATGGTATTTAAATGGTATTTCCTGAAATGGTAGTTAATGGTATTTATTTTTGAGCAGGATGGTATTTTTTCTCGTTATCGGCGCGGTCACGCTGTTTCTCCACCTCTAGTAAATAACTTTTTAGAAAATCACTCACTACAACAAAAGATATGTCTTCGTCCAAGCTAGAATTACAGCAAACGGATGGCGAGAGCCAACAGAAACAGCCGGGTGCAGCTAACGCGGAGATTACGGGTAGCAAGGAACCAGAAACGGCCTCAGATGACGGCGGCCCAAAAAATGATCAAGATTTTGCCGCGGCCGAGCAGTACAAAAATCAGGGAAATGATTTGCTCAAAAGTAAGTGGCACACACTCCAGTTTATAACATACACCATGCATGCCCAGATTGCTGAGTGAATGGACATCCATATGCGTTGCAAAACCATACATTCCGAATACCTTTTTCAACCTAACCTTAAAACAGGGACAAAAACTATCACTGTGCTGTGCGATAATTTATTAGACAAGTAGTCCTCAAGCACCAAACATGCACCACCATCATCATCATGAGAGTATAATTAGTATTGTCACTGACCCAATTCCCTTCGATTTCCCTACATGCCAACAGCCAAGGAATTTACAAAAGCCATCGACATGTATACCAAAGCCATAGACCTGTATCCCAACAGCGCGATATATTATGCCAACCGATCGTTAGCTCATCTGCGCCAGGAGAGCTTTGGCTATGCCCTGTCGGACGGTGTGTCAGCGGTGAAAGCAGATCCTGGCTACTTGAAGGGCTACTACCGTCGCGCAGCGGCCCATATGTCGCTGGGAAAGTTCAAGCAGGCGCTATGCGACTTTGAATTTGTAAGTAAACCCCCGCCAGCAAATGAACAACAGTTGAATGTATGTATTTACAGGTAGCCAAGTGCAGACCGAATGATAAGGATGCCAAGCTCAAATTCACCGAGTGCACGAAGATTGTGAAAATGCGTGCCTTCGAGCGAGCCATTGCAGTTGACAAGCCCGAGAAAACGCTCTCAGAGATGTACAGGGACATGGAAAATATAAGTATGTGGACACACCATTAATCATATGTAGCTTATGGATAATATATGTATGGGTTTATTCCAGCTATTGAGGATGACTACAAAGGACCACAGCTGGAGGATGGGAAGGTAACCCTGCAGTTTATGAAGGATCTGATGGAGCATTACAAGGGACAAAAGCGATTGCATCGCAAATTTGCCTACAAAGTGAGCGGGCTTGAGCCAAGACTCATCTGAAACAGGATATAAATCCCTGCCATTTGTTTTAGATACTCTGCGAAATTGATACTTACATGCGAGTCCAGCCCTCTCTGGTGGACATCACTGTGCAGGATGAGGATAAGTTTACAATTTGCGGTGACATACACGGCCAGTTCTATGATTTGATGAACATCTTCGATATAAATGGACTGCCATCGGAGAAGAATCCCTATTTGTTCAATGGCGACTTTGTGGACAGAGGCTCCTTCTCCGTGGAATGTATATTCACGTTGTTTGGCTTCAAGCTGCTGTATCCCAATCACTTCTTCTTATCACGCGGTAAGTTACAACTACTGCAAAAGTCGATTAAGTGCTCTCTGATCGATATGATTTTGATTTTAGGTAACCACGAGAGTATCAATATGAACCAAATGTACGGGTTCACGGGCGAGGTAACAGCTAAATACACTAGCACCATGGCGGACATATTCACGCAAGTGTTCAACTGGCTGCCACTGTGCCACTGCATTAATCAGAAGATACTGGTAATGCACGGCGGTCTCTTTTCCTCGGATAATGTCACACTGGACAACATCAGGAGAATCGAGCGCAACTGTCAGCCACCCGAGGAGGGACTCATGTGCGAATTGTTGTGGTCCGATCCCCAGCTATGGATGGGCCGTGGACCGTCCAAGCGTGGAGTTGGCATACAGTTTGGCCCAGATATAACTGAAGCATTCTGTAAGCTCAATAACTTGGACTACATCATACGCAGCCACGAAGTCAAGGATATGGGCTACGAGGAGGCCCACAACGGACAATGCATCACTGTCTTCTCTGCCCCGAACTATTGGTAAGTAAACGAAAGAATAGTCTTTGTCCTACTTACAGACTAAACTAAACTGATATTTTGTAGTGATACTATGGGCAATATGGGCGCATTTATTACCATTACGGGTAACGACTTGAAACCAAATTACAAATCATTCGAGGCTGTGGTAAGCATTGAACTTAACCTAATCAAAGGTCATATGCTAAACAATGTTTTATGTTTTTTTTAGCCACATCCCGATGTCAAGCCGATGGCCTATGCCAATAGCTTAATGAACTGGCTGGCGTAATGAACTATGGCTGGCGTAGTCATAGAAGTCAGTTTCCAATTAACTACAATAGCTAAACACACACTCCCACACACACACACACACACACACACACACACACAAAACACACACCTCTACACACAAACAAAACAGCTTGAGAACCCACACAACCGCAGAGCAGTCGGACAGCTTGTAACGAACAAAGAAAATTCAGAGATAGAGGATGCAGAGAGGATTCTGGATTCTGGAGATGAGATGCTCAATAGACTTTTATGCACACACACACACACACTGCGACTAGCTGCTTCACTACTTAAAGTGCGACGAGTATTGCGAGTCAATGGCGTTGAGAGGAGGCGTTGAACGAGGAGACGGAAGAAGAAGAGGCGTAGAAAGGATCACAACTACAGCAACAGAAACGGAAACACAAACAGCAATCATTTTATAAAATTCAGCTATATTTGATACAGATGCAGATACAGATCGAGAGGATGTTATAGTGTATAGTGGCTTTAGAAGTCGGATGCTAAGTTTTATCGGTGCCAAGCATCTGCGGTTGCACATACGAGTGTAAGTTGAGAAGGAAATTAAATGAATGGAAATGAAATGAAATGTTTGTTCATGCATAGCATTTAGTCATTGGCCAGCAAAATCCCAGTACAGTATATACATATGCATACATAAATATACACATACACATACTATACGAAATTCGATTTCAATTGAATTCGGTTTGGCTCCTCCTTCTCTTCTCCTTCCCAAAACTGTGTATAAATTATTTTTGTGTTTTTTTTTTATCCTTGCCTTGTTTATATTATAAAAGTCACTTTAATAAACATATTCAAGTTAGAAAGATACCCCAATCAAATCTTATTTCGATATTTTCCTCCACTTTTCGCTTGTGAAGAGAATCAATCAATAATCCAAGAATATTCTTACCATAACTAAATGTGTATCAAATATGTATCCGTAAACAATGCATTAAAAGACACTTAGCATTAAAGCCTAGCCTGTAATGTTAATCGAGTGAACAGAATACAGAATAGAGCAATTGTGAAATTATATTTAACCTGTCCTGTCTGTCCTCTTCTTTATTAACGCTAATCTGCTCCGCTGGCTATGCTAAAGCCCATGGAACCAAATATCTGGCTAACATTTGTCTTGCTGTCCTTGAGATGTGCCCGCTGGAGCAGCGTTACATACACAAAGGGTCCATTATAGCCAGCCAGCTGGAGGAAAAACTCTCGCGCCAATTTTTGGAGCTCTGGGGGCTGGGCCTGGGACAGGTAGAGCGCCACAGTGGAGAGCAGCTCGTGCAAGTGCCGCCCATCCAGCTGTAGGCCTAGTATAAGGTCCCCCAAGCTCTGCAGCAACAGCAATTGCAGCTTGTACTCCTGAGTTTGGGCCAGCGGGATTTCACTTCTGCTGTGCACACTGGCCACCTTGAGGAACTGCTTCAGTTGAGGTATAACGTCGCTAAAAAGTGAGTGAACCATTTTAAGGATTGATCATTTTAGGAGGGGTGGTAACCTGATGCTCACCTGAGACTTCTTTTCGCTATAAAGTCCTTGGCATGGACGCCAAGCAGATGCAACAATGTGAAGCAACGGTTCAGCACCAAGGCGTCCTTTTGGCGAAACTTCTCCACGAGCGGCCGCCAAATCAGATGCACCAGCGGCAGCAGTTCATTCTCATAATCTGCCAGAAGGGGCACACCACTGGCAAAACATTCAAGCGCGACAATCTGTTGCGACTGCTCAGCAGTCGAGACAAACTTGATGACTTGTCCTAGAATATCTTTTATGATTTCAATATGTCGCGGAAGAACGGGCTTCATTGGTTCCGGTTCTGTTTCGGATTCCGGCAAGTCTTCCGCCACCGGCTCTTCCATGTTGATGTCCCCGTTTTCATCTTGTAAAAGCTGCGGCTTTTCAAGCACATTAAGCCAAGTGCTCAAGACGCTCTGATCCTCATCCACCTGCATGGGTAGCTGCTCGGCATTGATCTCGGCCGTTGTGTCGCCATGCCAGTGGGTGACATGCTTTAGGAATGCATTGAAGACGCGCAGATAAGACTGAACATTCCCCATCTGATGGGATTTGGAACACTCCTCGCGTATGGTCTGAAATATGCTGTCCAGATGAGGCACATTGCCCCTGCTGCTATACTGTAGGACCACGGTGAGAATGTCCACGGCGGCGGTGCTCTCGGGTGACTGGAAATTCCAAAAGTTAGACGCATACAAAAGGAGTTTCGCATCGTTTACATACCCTCTTGAGCAAGGCATTTAAATGAAAGGTGATATAGTCCGTGGAGCATTCGATGAAATGCGAGGGCTCTGCGTACTTTAGTGCCAGCTGCATGGACACAAAGGCAAATGTGGCTGCATGGTGGACGATGGTATTACTGCTGGCTAACTTCAGCAGTACTCGGTGCAAAGTCAAGAATATGTGGCGATCGAAGGTGTCGCCAATGAACCTTGCGCAATGTCCCACCGCGTCCAGAATCAGACAAGTGTGCAGCACATTAAACTGGGCGTCCGCAATGCTCACACGACTCTGCACCTCAGTCTGCTCGTCATCCGAATCACAGTCTTGGGTGCGCACCTCGAGAGCCGACGAGTAGAGACCAGGTGTGCGATCCTCAAACCATTGCGTGGGCTGCAGGAATCGATTTGTGATTGTTTGTTGTTTGTCTTGTTATTCAAGGCTTCATCGTGGTACCTACCTTGTCGACCTTGAGGCGCCAGGCCGCGTCCGGCTGCAGTGCCAAGCTCCAGTGCTCGTCGCGCAGGAGCTGCTCAAGCAAAAGTTGTGCCAGTACTAGGCGACTCTCACGTGCCGTTTTTGCCTGCGGCGACACCATCATTGTTAAGAGTAAAATTGACTCATTCATGGCCGAAGATCTCTGGAGAATTAGATCCTGGCAGTAATCGAAGATGATCCGATTTATGGCCGGCTCAGCACCCAGCAACTCTGCAATATCCGATAGAATGTCCACAGTGCGCTTTGAGCTCACATGCTTGAACTGACGCCAAGGCAACTTTACGAATTCGGCAGCCAGCTCTTTGGATTTTCCGTCTTGGATGCGGCGCAGCGAGTACTCCTCGTTCAAAAGATCGCGGGTTGTGCGCAGATCGAGCGCCGTCAGCAGACAAGTTACGAACATTTCAAGGTTCTTGGGAACCAGGAAAAACAGCTGCAGCTTTTCCGCATTGACGTTGCGCAGGAATCCCTTTAAGAATAGCAGCTCGGCGAATTGCTCGTTGTCTTCGCAGCGGTGCAGGATGCGTGGCCATTTGTTGAGGTGAGCATCGAGCAGTAGCTCTGCATTCTCATCGAATATATTTTGGCTGTTGGGCTGCTGTTGCAGCCGAAGCAGGGTGTCCTTGCACAGCTGGGAAATCTTGAGATCGTCGTCCTCGGAAAGGGCCAACACGCTCTCCAATATGTGTATAAAGTTGCTTTTCAGATTGTGGGCACAGTCTCTGAGGAGCAGGCAGCACATATCAGCATAGGTGCTGCGCACGCTGGCTGACGTGTGGGCACGCAGGATGCTCGTCTCCACAAGAATAGGTCGAATGCGTCGCGAAGTGGCCATCACCCAAGAGAGCGAGCGACGGTCCTTCTGCATTTGATGCAAGCGTTCCTCTTTCTCCTCGGCCGTGGAACTCTTGTTGCCGAAATAGTTGTACTCACATGCCTCCGCCTGACCGTCCTTGGCGTTGTTGAACAGATTTCGGAAGGCATCCACGTCGTAACGCAGTTTCTTGAACTCATCGGTGGTTTCTTCGAACATGATGCAGATGATTCGGCCCAAGGCCTGAATAGACATCTATTCAGAGGAACAAGTTTAATATCAGTTTGTTTCCTTAGGCAGGGCAGCGCAGGCTTACCGATTTAATGGTCTCGCCGACCTTTTCATCCTTTAAAGACGTTTTAAACAGCACAATCAGAACCTTGGGAAGGAATATGAAGATGGTATTTGCCACCTGGCTGCGCAGCACCACATCGCAACGATCCGATTCGTTGTGGACGTAAAAGAGGATCATCAGGCACTGCAGCGCCGACTGAACCAGTTTCCGATATTTCTCATGCTCAATGATCTCTAGGAGTGTAAGCAATATCTGGCCTATGACCACCACCGTCTCCTTTGTGTAGAATGCTTCGAGCACATCCGTGGTGCATCGACTAAGTGCCTCGTGTATGCACAGCACTGCGGCCAGCTTAATTTCCTCAGAGAGATTTGGCCGCATGACGGCGCCCTTGGAGTCTCGTATCTGCTGCAGCACCACGACCAGTATGGAGCGCAGCCCCTTCTCATCAGACAGATACGTGTGCGAGACTATGTTCCTCAGGCAGTTCATCAGTCCGGTGCGCAACTCCTGGCTCTCCCTATGGCAGTGAGTAGATGCTGTGGCAATGGTTTGGGATGTAAAAAGAGTTGTGGCGTCACTTACCCGGTTAGATCATTCAGCTTGACCACCAGGGGAACCACAGTCTGAACCTGGTATATGCGCATTTCCCCAAAGTTGAATCCCTCGATTTCTTTTTCTACCAGCGACAGAGTGTCTTTCCTAGGGTCGTTTATAAAGCCCTCGATTGCAGGCTTTATACGCGTCACATACCTCTCCAAGTGCATCATTTTGGCCACCAGCAATTGCAAATGCCATTAAATCGACCCGGCAAAACAAAATTCGCACAATTTTGAACAAACAGAACAGCTGATCTGCCGCCATTCAATTGTTGCGTGCACACCTCCCAACTCCCCAATATTCGGCTATGTATCGAAAAACAATCGCAATTTCGCGCCTCGCCTCACACCCAGCCACAACCGGAGGGGCGGGAATGCGTTATATTTAGGATTATTATTAATACATTTGGTTTTTAATTGTAGAACTCGTGCTGGGCCTCATCCTTGCGCACGCTTGCTTTGTAGCCTTTTTCAAAGTCCTTCGCATTGACGACATAGCGATTCTCACGAACGGCATGCATGCCCGCCTCCTGGCAAATTGCATTAATGTCGGCGTTCGATATCTTGTCGGGACGTGCTATTATGTCCTCCAAGTCAACGTCCTCACCCATATTCATTTTGGAGGTTATGGTCGTGAAGACCAAACGCTTCTGACGACGATCCGGCATCGGAAACTCAATCTTACGGTCCATGCGTCCCGGACGCAGCAGAGCCGGATCTAGAGTGTCAGCGCGGTTGGTGGCCATAATCACCTTGATGTTGGTTGTTTCATCGAAGCCGTCCATTTGGTTGAGCAGCTCCAGCAATATGCGCTGAACCTCGCGATCCGCGCCGGTTTGGGCATCAAAACGCTTCGTGGCGATGGCATCGATTTCATCAATAAAGACGACTGCCGGAGAATGCTGCTTTGCCAGACGGAACAGGTCACGCACCATGCGCGGCCCCTCGCCCAAGTACTTCTGCACAAACTCCGAGCCCACAACACGTATAAAGTTGGCGGTTGTGTGGTGGGCCACAGCCTTGGCCAGCATAGTCTTGCCGCATCCCGGCGGACCGTAAAGCAGAACGCCACGAGGAGGGTCAATGCCTAAGACGGAAAATGAATATGTTGAACTACAAAATATGGATAGGTACCCACCAATTTGCTTATAAAGATGAGCATGTGTGAGCGGCAGCTCAACCGCCTCGCGAATCTCCTGCTTCTGCATGTCGAGACCACCAATGTCCGAGTAGTTTACATCAGGCTTCTCATCCGCCGATAGCATTGATATGGTGCTGTCTGCCTCTGGCGGCACCAAATCCACCAAACAGTTGCTCTGCTTGTGCAGGGCCACCGATGCCGACGGCTTGAGCATCTCCCTGTCAATGGTGGACAGAACACGGACGTAGTAGTTGGAGCCAGTGGTAGAGGCTACGATGCCATTGTTTTGATCAACGGCCTCCAGAAACTGGCCAATAACCAATGGAACCGCTTTTATACGCTTCACCTCCTCCTGGGCGTGTATAAACTCCTTCTTCAAATTACGCTGCTCCTCTTTAATGTAATCCTCCTGCACCTGGATTAGCTCCAACTCCATCTGCAGTTTCTTGTATATCACGTACAAGTCATTGATTTCAAAACCTGCGTATTTTTGCAAGTTCTTCTTGTGAAAAAGTTCAATTTGGTCTTTCATTTTAGTAATTTTGTCTGTGCACTTTCTAGACGCAATAAGAAGATGGGAATGACTTGAATATTTGAAAACCAAAATGGAGTTATCGAGAACGATAACTATAGTCGGCAGTTTTTGCGCCCAAATGTCAGAAATTATGTGGGAATGGCAATCAGCTGTACCAGGGACCTGTTGTTTTGTTCTTGTTGTGGTTGCTGTGTCGTCGTCTCCGACGTGGAGGAGCGTTCGTTCTATTTATATATCTATTTCGATTTATTTTGGAACAACGTATTGTATTCCATATATGCCATATATGTATTTAAATGTTGGTTCTTTGTGCATGCCTGCAGAATAGTCGTTCAAGTGCGGTTTGTTTAACAAAAAGAGCGTGTGATACCGGCTGGAACCGTGGATATTATTGATACATCACAAGAAGTCCAATAAAATATACATATACATATAAATTGATATCAAAACAAATATGGCCATTATGTAATGGACCAGTATTGACTCCAGCTTTCAAGCATTTTTGATTCACTAACGATGGCCGTGGATATGCTGGTATTTCTGACGGCGGCGGCCCATCTGGTCTACACGCCCTTCACCAAAGTGGAGGAGAGCTTCAACTTGCAGGCCATGCATGATATTTTATATTTGCGCAGCAATTTCTCGCAGGTAATCGAACCTAAAAGCCACCCAATTCCTCCTTCCAATCAATAACTTACGTTCTTTATCTCTACTCCGCCAGTATGATCATCATGAGTATCCTGGCGTGGTACCCCGCACATTCATTGGCCCGCTGGTGGTGTCAATGCTGTCCGCACCATTTGTGCTGCTCTTCGAGACCCTGAGGCTCAACAAGTTCTGGGCACAATATGTAGGTAAAAGCATTTTGTCCATTCAAATGTCGCCTATTTTAATTTCCGTTCATATTTCAGTGCGACTTGTATTGGCTGGCGCCATTTCCGTTGCCTGGAACAACCTGCGTCAGGCTGTGACAAAGATTTATGGGGTGGAGGTGCGTCTCTGGTTCACGGCCATAACAATAACGCAGTTTCATTTCATGTTCTACATGACGCGTCCTCTGCCAAACATATTTGCTTTGCCCATAGGTAAGTGCCTCACTATGACCAGTTACCTAAAAATTCTAATTAATGTTGCAGTGCTCTATGCCATTGCCTATTGGATGCGCGACCAACAGAAGCCATTCATTATCTGCTCTGGCATAGCCATACTCGTCTTTCGATCGGAATTGGCTCTGTTTTTTGGACTTTTGCTGGCCATCAACTTGCTGCAGCGACGGCTGTCTATTGATAGGTGAGTGGATTAATCTAATAGCCAAACACTTGTGACCATTTCCTGACATTATCTTCAGGCTGCTAAAGATAGCTTTGCCGGCGGGCGTTTGCATATTGACCGCCTCAGTGCTTGTGGACTCGTTCTTCTGGCGACGCCTGCTATGGCCCGAGGGTGAGGTACTATGGTATAATACTATACTTAACAAGAGCTCTAACTGGGGCACGTCACCGTTCCTCTGGTACTTCTACTCGGCCTTGCCTCGCGCTATGGGAGCATCGTTGCTATTTGTGCCAATTGGTTGTGTCTTGGAGCGTAGAATTCGTCCCTTGGCTCTGTCTGCGCTGGCCTTTGTACTGCTGTACTCTGTACTGCCCCACAAGGAGCTTCGCTTCATCATTTACGTATTTCCTGTTCTGAACATAGCCGCAGCTTGCGCCTGCCAACGCATGTAAGTTAATTTCCTTGGTTAAAACTTCTTGTATTTCACAATCTTCATTATTCTTCCCTCAGATGGATGAACAGTGCCAAGTCGACGTGGCATAGCTGCCTGGCTCTGGGAACTGCCGGTCATCTCCTACTAAATGTTCTTGTGACAGTGTTTTTGCTTGTCATTTCGGGCACAAACTATCCAGGCGGAGCAGCCCTGTCTCGACTGCATCGCCTGGAGAGCGCCTCCCCAAATGTGTCGGTACACATTGCCAACTTGGCTGCACAGAGTGGGGTGTCGCGCTTCATGGAGATTCGCGATGAGTGGACCTACAGCAAGGAAGAGTCGATGAATTACACCCAAGCTGAAATAGCCAGATATACGCATCTGCTGGTGGAAGCCAAAAACAAGCACAACACGGAGCTGTGGGCCTCGCTGCAGGATGATTTCGACACCTTGGAGTTTGTCGATTGCTTCAACAGCATAGGCATACAGTACAATTCCCTGTTGCCGGTGCGAGTTAAGACAAAGCCTTGCATCGGAATCCTCAAGAAGCGGGCAACCACCACGACGCCGACGCCACAACTCAAGGAGAAAACAAAACCAAAAGTAAAAAAGACAAAAATGCTGGAACCCACACCAGTAAAAGCAGATCCAATGACTATAGTGTGGAGATCCCCAAGGAAATTAAAGTGCCGGAAGCCAAGCATAACAAGTTTCTAGAACTGGACGATGACGACGGCATTGTGGCTACTGTGGAAGAGACCTCCTTGGAGCTCAATGCTAGCATTGATGCTGAAGTTGACGCACCCGATGCTCCAGCTAGGGACATCAATTTTCAGGAACTACGCAACCTGGCCCTGGGACAAGCCTCACGGACATCGCGAGCGGCCACCAAGCTAAAGATCCGCCAAATAATCGAGCAGCACTATCGGTCTAAGGGAAAAGACATCGAAAACGACTCCTCAGAGCCGACGCCAAAGACCACAGGTGCCACGGGCGGACGCCCAGGAATAAGACAGTCTGTAAAATCTATTATTAAACAGGAAAAAATCAAAGAGATGATTGAGCAGATTGCAACAATGGACCTCACGCGCATCTGCGATTTGGAAAAGACATCAACAAAGGACTGCTTAAAGCAGGTAATAGACAAAATAGATGATGAGACCACGAAAATAAAATGATCCTCGATCCACGACTGTGCTGATAAAAAATAGAAATGATAATGAATAATTGTGTATATTGGGACTTATGAAAAATAAAAACGTTAAATTTGTACACCTTTTTACACTATCGATATCGAAATTTCTTTGCAAATTTTTTGAAATCAACTATTGTATATTTTGCCTTTTTCACAACCACAGCTGTTTACCGCCAAAATGTTAATATTAGATCTGCTAGTTTTTGTTGTTACTAGTGGTGATAGTTGCGCTGATAGGCAGAAAAGTGCAAAAATGTGCTGTTAAGCGCAAAAGCAATCGAATATTTCGAACAGACGCACAACGAAAACAAAATTACATTTTTTTTCGGCCAAATTTAAGTTTTTTAGAACGTTTTATAGCGTTTTGGGGCTCTTCTGATAAGCCGGTAATTACTCATTGCGCTGTTTGACATCGCTTAATCGTGAGAGCTCCCACGCAGCCACAATAAACGTGTTGCGAGTTTGTATTTAATTTCCTTATCACCTTCAGGTTGACCTTAGTTGAGCGGCAGCTGTTGGGAGGAAAACACAGTGCCACGAGAAAATGGAGCTAACTGGTTGGGTGAAAAACTATGATTGGGGACGCAAGGGCATCAACTCGGCCGTCGCCCAATTGGCCATGGCCAACGATCCGGACTTTACGCTAAATGAGCAGGAGAGCTATGCGGAAATGTGGATGGGCACACACATCTGTGGAGTGTCCGTGGTCAAGGAAACTGGCGAGACCTTGGATCGGGTGCTGAAAAAGGATTTGCCATACCTGTTCAAGGTTTTGAGCATAAGAAAAGCCTTGAGCATACAAGTTCATCCGAATAAATGCGAAGCTGAGCGCTTGCACAAGGAACGTCCAGAGATCTACAAGGACGACAATCATAAGCCAGAATTGGCCATAGCTCTGACGCCATTTGTGGCTCTAGTTGGATTCCAGCCAGTCGAGGACATCAGAGACTTTATTGACGAGTTCCAGCCCCTTTCAAAGCTCATCGGCAAGGAAGCTGTGGACAAACTGCATCAAAGTCCCAGCTCCGAGACGCTTAAACTGTGCTACGAGAAACTGATGAAGTCTGAAGAGGCTGTCGTTGCCAAGTGCATTAAGGATATAGCCAAAAACTATCAGAAAGGTAAGTGTAATTCAGATGATCCTGGCAGATTCTCATGCAAAGTATTTTAATACAGAACTGAGGTTCAATGAGCTGCTGGACGTGTTCAACAAGGTCAACGCGGACTTTCCTGGGGATGTGGGCGTGTTATCGCTTTTCTTCTTGAATCTAGTCCACTTGCAGCCGGGCCAGGCCATTTACCTGGGCGCCAATGAGATTCACGCGTATCTAGACGGCGACTGCGTCGAGTGCATGGCTTGCTCGGACAACGTAATACGCGCTGGTCTCACGCCAAAGTACAAGGACGTAGAGCAGTTGATTTCCTCGGTGATCTTCGAAGGTGCAGATGCTGGCCGCAAGCACTTCTTGCCCTATCACATTGACGAAAACGTCCAGGTGTACGTCCCGCCCGTGGACGACTTTGCGGTGATTCATGTGGCCATTAAGCATACCGTGGACACGTATAAGTTGAAAATTCAACCATACGGCTCCATACTAATAACACTGGCGGGCTCGCGCACATTGCGGCTGAACACCAGTGCCGGCCCCAAAGAGATCGTGTTGACGCGCGGCAGCATTGTCTACATTCCAGTGGAGGCAGCGCCGGAAATTGAATTTGCCCCAGCCGAAGATTGTGGCGAGAACTTCACAGGCTATATAGCGACATATAACTATTTTCGAATTCCATAAGATAATAATGGCAGTCTAAATCTTCTGTAAAGTGCAATAAACTCATTTTTGATTTAATTTTTTTTAATTGCAATGGTAACAGCTATGAATGTAAGTTATGTGGCAATAGACGAAGCAATAAAATAAGTTATCTAATCAGTTATACAATACACACACATTCATAATACGTATACATACATATATTAATTAACGAGCAATATCTTGCGCACAAACAGCTTGATTTGATTCAGCATTTCTCGAGACAATTCAAAACAAAAATTACAATTTCCATTTACTTAAACTAGTATGGTATGGTTGAAACTGGGGGCTGCTGTCAATGCTTGTTTGGGAAAATAATTTAACTAATTGTACGAAGCTGACAAACGCGGAATTTCCGCGTAGCTCGAATCTCAATTCGTGTATTCATTCAATAGAACGTTTTGGACCAAAAATTTCAAGTGATCAATTCAATAAACAAGGAATCCCATAGGCTAGATAAATGTATAACAAATTATTTATAAAATTGGCTACGATATGACACCACACCACCGCCCCTAATTTTGTTCCTTATCCCTATCCAAGTGACTTCAGATGCTGTGCCTGTGGTGGGGATCTCGGGGGTTTGTTTCTATCAATACATCAATAGTACGTACATATTCATATTTATCTCAATAGTTACATATAGTAAGTGTGTTGGGTTTCATTCCACAAGTTCGGTAAAATGCCTCAAAAAGTGTGTAGCGTAGTGTACCAAAAACAGAGTACATTATAAGGTAAATCTCAGTAAAATTGGGCTCCGCAACACTCGGCTCGGGTTGCTCCTTTTGTACACATCGTATAGTAGTAATAGTAACAGTAGTTAGTAATTGGGGGTTTGCTTTTCGCATAAATGTACATTTAGTTAGTTGTCGAACGTAAGTAATTGGTTCCTTCAGTTGGTTTTGCCTGTACAAAAGAGTGCTTGTAGTGTGTATAGATGGGTTTTGTTGCATAGTATAGTCCAGTTTTTGTTTCTAACACTTGTATATGTATATAATATATAGTATAAATATCGGGGTAGCAACCACTGCTCTGTTACAGTTTTGTGCCCATAACATTTGCTTTTCTTTCCTCAGTGGTAGAACTGAAGATGGGGTAGAAATCTGGGGGTATTTGGGGTCGCAGACATTGGCTATCGCCTTGATTATTGATTTGAGATACGAGTCCGTTTTGTTTGTGCATATTTAACTCTTGAGCAGGTTGTTTGCGCGCTTGTTCACGCCGTCCATGCGAACGTTGTTGGCATCGCCCTTGGCGTTGATGCGATCGACTTGCTTGTTTTGATTCTCCAGCTCGGAGCCCATGTCCAGGGCCATGTTGCGCAAGTTGCCCAGCATTGAGTTCACTTGGCCCAGGTTCTCGTCCATTTCATCCTCGCGTGCATCGTTGGTTATTCGGGCCACATAGCCCGACTGGGCTGGCGCACCCATGCCACCGCGCTCGCGCTCGTCGATCACTCTTTGCGGCTGACTGGCCACCACTTTGCCATCGTCGTTGCCCTTCCAGGCGCTGTCTCCGTCGTCCTTGATGTTCACCTTCTTCCAGGGGATCACGCAGATGCCACAGCACTTCTCCATGCCGCTCAGATTCTTCTCGGCCTCTCGCATGTCAGCGTTGATGCGGTCCATTCCCTCCTCGATGCGATCCAGCTGCTCGCCTTGATCGTCTAGGGCTACCAGGGTACGGATGCCCGCCTCCTTGCTTTCGTCCATAAGACTCAACATACGGCGGGTGCTCTCCAGTGATTCATCTGCCACCGTAGCCGACTTCAGCTGCAGCTCCTGCAGCTCGGTGCGCGGTTCGTTCTCCACAGCAGCCATTTCTAGACTTTCTCGCTTGCCTCACACTGATTGATGACTTAACAAGTGGGTGCGACTCGGACGTCGTCTAGTGGTTGTTTGGGGAAATCTGTTCCAGTGAGTCACAATAAAAATACGGATGCTTGAATGGACTGTGTCTGTGTTGGTGCGCAGATTTTGTCTGAGATTACTCGCGTTGCAGCTCGTTTTTGGGACTAACAGTAACTAACTTGTTTTCAAAATTCAGCAATATTTTTTATTTATTTATTTTATTTTTTTTATTTTTGATTTTTGGCAAAAAAGTTTATAATTTGTATATACACTAGGGGTGCACAAAAATCGATGTTAACATCGATATCATCGATGTTTTTATAATTGTGCGATGCATCGATGCTGAAATCATCGATGTTTCCACCATCGATGATTTTGCAGTTCTGCCCACCTGGTTAACAATGTATTTAAAATCGTATTCCACAATTTTGATATTCCGTTTAATATTACTAGCTAGTTGGCCCTCACAGCCCTAAACAAATAGTTTTATCCAATTCCTCAATAAATTTTGTTCAGCATTGGCTAGTTTTCAGAGGTCATTTTTATTGAATTGTTTACATAATAAGGTTCAAATAAAAACGCCAAAGCATAAAACGTAAGTGTGTTCGAAATGTATCGTCATTGTTGCTTGTCGGACGTATCGAACGTATCAATAGTATCGTTTCAAGACCCCGATAGTTACAAAAAAATGATTATTCAAAGCAGGCGCCGAAAAATCGAAGTGTCGAATAATTTAGTTAATTTAAGTATAATTCTTTAAATAGTTGTGTCGGGTCTCGGGAAATTCACAAGGAACATTGTTAATATTTTTTTAAATTTTTTTCGAAGCCGACATTTTAACTACGACGCCGTTGTGTTTCTTGTCGCAAGCGTAGTGTTGGAAAATCTTTTTTTAAATATTAGCGCTTTGTTTTTGGGTACAGCGTCGGTTCTGGCGTACGATCACTTTCAACTAAATTTTTTTTCATTTTTAGCGTTTCTTTTGACAAATCAAATTCACTTTGAGTAGCCAATTGGGCAAATTATTAACCGAACGAAAGTAAAAAAACAGGACAGCATGGACGACTCACGCCGCTCGATGGCGGCCAACGAGGAAAGTATTTCCATGTACTTATCCTTTGATGCCGACGACACGCTGTCCGGTGGCAGCAAATGGCAATCTGCTATGGTCAGCCACAACAGTCAGTATATGGAGGTGCACAGCTCCAAGATGGAAGCCAATTTGGACAAGACCGTGGAGGATAGGGAGGTGAAACGTGCCGTCCTCCAGGATCTGCAATCCGAGCCGAACTCGCCGCTGAAACCATTCGACCACAGCTTGTTGTACAAGCACAACGGGAGCTCCACTCCCTCAAAGAAAATGGTAGCAGCAGAGTCGCTGCCAATGCAAACCCCTCTTGAGGGGGAAAATGCCGAGAACAAGGAGAACACACTGCCCGATGAGCATGCAGCCGGCGATAGTACCTTGGAACTGACGGGCACCACCGTGAAGTTCAATACATTGAAAACCGAAGACTCTACCACGGATGAAGTCTCAATGCAGGAGGTTGCTAAGCCGAATATCCTCAATAACGTTTATCCTTTGAGCGAAAATGTGGTCCTCGAGAACATTACTGAAGGTGAGACTCAGTCCTATCCCTAGCATTTCTTTATTATATCGCTCCGTTTTTCAGTGTCCAATGAGGAATCGTCGATTCTCGCTTGTTCTCCAGCTGTAAAAGAGACTCCTCCAGTCGCTGATGTAGTCAATGAAGTCTCTGAGCTGCTCGCCAAAGCTCTAAAGATATCCAGCGATGTCATGATGCCGTCGACGTCGAAGTTAAACACTTTCGAAACCAACAAGAAGCGAGTATCGCTACTCCCTAAAGCTTCTGGGGCCTTGCCACGTCCCCGCCGCTCGAATTTGCCTACAGCCGCTGTCGAGACGCGCACCTACTCGTTCAAGCAACGCATGTCCGTGGTAGTGAAAACTACGCTGAATAGCCCCTCCCGCAAGATGGGCTCAGGCGGCGGGCTACCAGTGAGCCGCCGCAGCGTTTTGCCCATATCCAAGAACAAAACTGGCATATCGCGCAAGTCCATCTCCACCACTGGGATCAGTTCGCCCAAAAAAGTCATACCAGTCGCTTCAAAGCCCCCAACTAAGATCGCATCCGATGCAGTCTTCAACTGCAATACTTGCGGGGTCATTTTCCGTGTAAAGAGCCTGCACGATATGCATGTTCGCATGCACGACATGGTGGAGAATGGACCCAAGCCCCTCAAGAGACTGAACGCCAATCATCCGATTGGTGCAAGTGCCACTGCGAGCAAGAATCGCTGCAAGTTTTGCGACAAGAACTTCGCCCTGGAGCGTGCCCTGCACATTCATCTGATGCAGAACTGTGACAAGATACCGCCGGCCGAAAAGCGCAAGCTTGAGTTCACAGAACTAAATCATGTGAAGAAGGCGCAGCTACCCAAAATAGCTAGTGGCGCTGGCGGTGGAGGTGGCGCTGGTCCATCAGTTTTGAGTGCACACAAGTCACAGCCTCTACAAATTACAACACCAATTGGGAGGGGTAAGTTGAACTAATCCAAGGGCAGAATACGTATCGATTCTAACACCGATTTATCTACACTTTTAGCTAGCTCTTATGGAGCCCAGAACATGGGACCGCCGTCCGTAAAGAAGGTGCCAAAGAACGTTGCCCACGCTGGTGTTTATCGCACACCCACAAAGACTGTGCCATGCAACATCTGCAAGCAGTCGTTCAAGAGTATATTGGAGTACACCAACCACTGCATGACGATGCACTCGAAGAGTCAGACCCTAAAGGTCGCCGCTAAGCATGAAGCACCGAGTGCTGAGGTTTAAATCAAACATTTTGTCTTTACTCTACCCTAGCTAGACCTAAGTTCCAGTGTACTTTAATCTCCAACAACCGACAACCAAAATACACTCTAACATAATCACTTGGACTTCTTTTCGGGCGGGGGCTTCATATCCACACCCTCAGTTTTTATGTCTAGCGGTCCTGTGGCATTGTTCATTTCGGTTGCATTGATACCACCGGGTGTCATCTCATCGCCCGCTGCCGAGGGCTGCTGTTGGAGATTCTGCAGCATAGGAGGGATGGGCGGTGGAAATTTGCGCAACAATTCGGCCAGCAACATGTCCACACGTTGCTTCTGGAATAACGTGCCACTATTCTCATCCTTCACAGCGCTGGCATCTTTTTTATCCGACTTGGACTTATCGGACACTGCAGAAAAATGATGCATCAAACAGGCAACATGTTAACCAAGTATTGTTACTTACAAACTTTGTTGGAAGAAAAGTCCCAAGTGTATCCTTTGTTGGGGTGATACCGGGCATAGCTGCTGGCCTCCTCGAAGGCGGCCTGAAGATTGACGACTGTGTTGAGCTGAAAGTAAATACCTTAGCCTTGGGTTTCTCTCAAGGGGCGGTGGGGTACTTACTATGCGTGCATTGATGACGTTTGCCAAATCGGGCGCCTTGTACACAGTGCCTCCAATTATGTAGTAGTCGGCAATGGGTGTCGCCTCCGAAGGATTGTGACGATGCTGTTTGCGTATCACATAGAGAATAGGCTCGGCCACATGCAGCAAGATGTACTCCAGTCCAATCATGTTGCTGCAAATAAAGTCATGGTTAGTGGGGAAACCATTGATGAAGAGTAGAGACCTACTGCAAATGCTCGGGCCCCAGCCGCTGCATCCGTATCGTCTCGTTGTTGCACAAGTGATCATAGAAGGGATTGGACTTGCGGCAGAAGTAGTCCATAACAGTCTGGGGGCTCAGGGTGGCCATCATCTGGGTGTCATGCCAGGATAGACGCAGATGGTTCTCGGGCGCATTGGCATTCGCTTGTGCCATTTGTCGGTTTGCCATGGCTGCAACCTGCACGTGCTACTGCTACGGTCTTGCCTTTGGTTGGGTTTTGCGAGGCGACAGAGATAGTGGGTCAAGAGCGCGCGCGCTTCTTTCCTATTTCTCGGTTTGTTTACAACCTATTTATAGCAGAACGCTGCTGTTTTTTAACGTAACAATGCGCTGATGCCTGTTTTGATTTATTTGTTGTGTAATAAATAATTTAGTCCCGCTGTCGCGTACAGTAAATTTTGTGTCCGCTGTTCCGCTCCCAAAAAAACCGCGATAATATTGTAAGTGAACCATCAAACTGGGGTATCTAATGTGTTCTGCGATCTGCACGCTGCATGCCCATCCGTATGCACTTTTCACACAACCATCAAACACAAGGCGCTGTTTTTGTTTCGATTCGATTTTGTTTATAATATTAAGCATAGGGCTCTAGTGGTGGAAAAAAGTTGCGTCGCCTTCGGATGCAAGTGCGTCTATTCGATATTCGATTGCTTTTGCGCTTAACAGCACATTTCTTCACTTTTCTGCCCATCAGCGGAACTATCACCACTAATAACAACAAAAACTAGCAGATCTAAAATCAAATTTTGGCGCTAAAAAGTTCTGATTGTGCGAAAAAGTACATAAAATCCGTAATTAAAATACTTTAAGCTGATTGCATTATTATAATACGACACTGTTGGAGAAGAACTTCGATGGTTTTCATGGTTTAAAGAAGAACTCCCACAAGCTCTAGCAAGAAATGTCTGAAAATAATAAATAAATATGGGATCAATTCGATTTCGTCCATTTTGTCGTAGGCTTGCATAATTCTGTTGATTTACTTTCCTGCGTCTGCCAATGTGAACAGCTTTATTGCGTCTATTCCGATATCGATAGAAAATAAGCCCAGTATAAAAAGGCTTAAAAGTCAACAAGCTTTAGTGAACAAGAAGAAGCATCGGGCAGCGGGTACATATACAAATAAGTTTAAAAATAAAAACATTCCGTTTTAAATCAAACTGATATTTAATTTTCCGGGCGCGCACATTACTATACGCGCCAAAATTTGGTCAAACAGCTGTTTCACCGAGCGAAACACAAAGGCACCCGAGACGTTGTTGTTGGCTACAAATATACAAGCAAACCAACAACAGAACAGAACAGCACAGCACTCATATCTAATATTTTTCCGCTCTCACGCTCTATAAACGGTCAGCGGAACTTGGCCCATTTCATCCTCAATATTGGGAATCATATCAGTTTGTTCTGTTCACTTCGTCGTGGCGCACGGGAGGAATCAAAGGCACAGCAGCGACGAGCTCTCGCAATGGTAACAATCATAAAATCAATAACAATTGTTAAACAAAGTGTGTGTACTGGTGCGTGCCCCGGTTGGAGGGCAGGCACTTCCACTTCATTTGTACATAGGCGACTCTTGGCGCCACAGCCACAACCCACAGCCTTGATCATCTGCACACAATCCATATTATTAGTTGATTCCATATATTTGTGTACATATGTATGTATGTTTTTGTAGGCGGCCAGTCAATGCCGCAGCGCGCACATATGTCGTGTACATGTATGAGAACGTTCTTTTTTTTACGCCTCACCTTGATTTTCGACAATATTGTATAGATACATATGTATGTATAGATCGTGTGCGTGTGCTGTTTCAGTGGCAATACGTTTTGTATTCTTCAATGCTGATCATTCCTAATTCCTACTCCTAGTCCTGCTCCAATCACACTGCCAACATTTTATCCCCGAGTGCCTGCAGTGGACAGGCCGGGCTAAACTGCTGGCAGGGTGGGCATTTTTCATGTTTCTTTTTCTGATGCTGTCCTAACCAATACCATATACTAGTATATGTATGTACATATATGTATTTCCTGTGTAAATTATCCACAAATATGTATGTTCAGTGTGCTAAAAGTTGGCCAGCGGAAAGAAACAATTCTATTCTATTCTCTTCTAGATTTGTCATACCTTAAGAGGGCACAACGACAGTAGGTCCGGCCCAGCCCAGTCTCATTGTCAGTTTCAGCGATATGCGCTACATAAAACCGGAGCCGTATTATGAAGTAAACGATCAGCAACACCGAATCTTCAATTACAGCACCCGCTCTCCGGCAGCCAAGTGTATCTGGATATACTAAAGCTATTGTACTTGCAGGGGCTTCCACCGTTCAACGTTACCGGCAGCCCGTTCAATGTGGTGCCAATACACAACTATCCGGAGCTGATGAAGGACACCTGCGCTCTGATCAATACCGAATGGCCCAGATCAGAGACGGCGCGAATGAGGTCCCTGGAGGCTTCCTGCGACACATTGCCAGTTAGTTTGGTCCTCACCACAGAGGGCATGTGCCGGGTTATAGCTCACCTCAAGCTCAGCCCCATTACTGCCAAAAAGAAGGCCTGCTTTGTGGAATCTGTTGTCGTGGACAAGAGCTATCGGGGCCAGGGATTCGGCAAACTGATTATGAAGTTTGCCGAGGACTATTGTCGCGTTGTGCTCGACCTGAAGACAATCTATCTATCAACCATCGATCAGGATGGCTTCTACGAGCGCATCGGCTATGAATATTGTGCGCCCGTCTCCATGTATGGGCCGCGTCACTGCGAGTTGCCCAGCTTACAAAATGCCAAAAAGAAATACATGAAGAAGGTCTTATAGACATCAACGCCAGTAGAAGTAGTGAGAATGGCCAAGTTGAGCAGTGCCGGGCAGGATCAGCAGCAGCAGCAGCCCTTGGCCGTTAACTAGTCAACTAACTTGGTAAAAGGTTCACCTGCCAGCAGCTGTCCGCAGCCGTAGTCTGATCGCATTTTGCCAATTTAGGGGAATGTGCCACAATGCCGCACACGCGCATTGGTAGGTTGCAGCATAAGCTTTTGATTCCATTACACCGATAAGCAATATTCATTCATGATACGCTTGTGTTGATTTTTAAATAATACTTTCCGCGTGTATTTTGTAAACTTTTTGGTTTTTTTTAAATTTGTATGACAAAAGTCGAGCCGGATGTTTTTTTTTTTTAATTTTCTTTTTGTATTTGTACGGAGTGTAAGGCGTGGTACTAAAAATGTTATCCTAATCCTAAACTATGAATATGTATGAGAAAATAAGTTCTGTTTAATCATGATGATGTGTTACTAGTTTTGCTCAAGCGTGTGCATAATTGCTTTCTAGACGAATATCTACCTGCCTATAATGATAATAAGGATAGCTCCCAAGTATCTTCCAAATGAAACATAGCATAGAAACATATCGAGCCCTAGCATTAAGCACCCAACGAAGGCAATAACTTATAATAAAGATATGTATGTACGTAGCAATTGTAAATGTCTAAAATTCCTCAAGTTTGTTCCTGGTCGGAAGTCTCAGTCATACGGCGGAAGCATCTGCCTGCAAAATGAATTATGTATGCACATCAGAGCCAGAGCAGAGCATCATCTGATCTGACAAGTTCAAGTTCACGGTTGCGACATCTATTAATTGATGTCTGTGCTGCGCTGGTGTGGTGTTATTTTTGTGCAGCTATATTTGACGGGGGCTCGCTACTAGCATGTCGGTCGGCTGCCCAGCGAGCGTCATTCTGAATTCTTACACAAAAATAGACACCAGCATGATGTAAGGGGCGAAGAGAGATCTCGGCTGCCAGAAAACTGTTGCTCTCTCTCTATCTGTGTGCAGCGTGCGCCAATTTGTTTTTGGCATTTCTCTGAAAGCGGAAGCTGTTTTGGCCTGAGGTTCTACGGGGTTTTTTTTATGGTTACACATTTTTAAAATACCTGCCTGGCGTTTAGTGCGACAGGTGCTAATGTTTTGAAATTCTAAGCGTCGGTTGCCAACTGATGTGATATTGCACGTAATTTCAATTAAATTATTCAGCTCTTCTCTAAAATGGAAAGTTTTATTGTGCGCTCGCTCACATTACATATAAGTATGTACGTATATAGATGGTTACTTTGACTAAAGCAGCCTTGAATGTGAATATTCTAGACGTCCCAAATGATTTCGCATTTATATGCACAACAGTCGGTTTGGTTTTTGATAATTTATGAGTCTGGATTTATCAATTAAGATGGAATTGCTTAAGGCTCTTTTGGCTTTTTGCCAATGCCGCAAACCTTGCCATAATGCTCCGGCTGGTCCAGGCTATCAACAATGAACTTTCCCAGATCGTATTTGGAAACCAGACGTCCTGGTGCCTCATCATAAGTCACGATATACCCACTGGCGGGTTCATCGGCAATGTGCGGTGGCAGAATGGCAATCCATTCCAGTTCCGATGCCTTTGTCAAGTCCAGCATGCGCTTATGTTCCTCGTTCAGACGATGAAATACAGCGGGCACCTCTTCAAGGGAACGCCACAAGAACGAAGACATGACAATCGAGAACTTGGTGAGCTTTGCTTCCTTCATGGCCTTGATGAGGTTCTCAGTGCCACGTGATAGTTCGGTGGTGGCCTCCAGCTTGTTCCGGGTGCCCAGAATAACACAGACGCCATCCACGCCCGCAATCAAGCGTTTTACATCCTCGTAATTGGTGGCATCGCCCTTCACCAGTTGAACCTTGGATTTGAAACGCTCGGGCACAGTGGCCTCTGTACGATAAAGTAGACGCACCGTCAGACCTGAAAGAATGGGTTCGTTTAGGGTCGAAGTTCGGATGAATTAGAATACCTACCCTTCTCTATGGCGTGGTCTACGGCACACTCTCCGGTCATGCCGGTGCCTCCAATAACTGCAATGCGTTGCATAATGCTTCTCAATGGCACTTTGTGCGTTTTTCCAACTCCACACTTGTTGCAAAAGTGCAATCTCACTTGAATGGCTGCGCAAATGCTAGTTATTCAGCAAGAATCCAAATCAGAAATAATTCCAGTAGTTTCGTTCACACCCACCTGGAGGGGGCCGGCGTCAGCTGATTATGGCTTTGCACACACACACACAAGCAAACAAGGGACTATACAAATGTAGGTAAAGTATGTGTGTTTTTCGTACATTTAGCAGCCAAATTGAGACTGAAATCACAGAGATATGCCTTATCATGCAAAACATATTTATTTACAAACGTTTTATATGCAATTGTCATGGTTATTTGTATTTAAAATTAAAAACTATTTCCATCCGTACTTAATTGTCTCAGTCTGGCAGCATTACATTTCGTCCAGTGTTGTAAGGTGTAGCGGCTACAATTGAATTTTTAACCGCCATCATGCTTGTGACTCATCGGAATATGGATTGTCGGCCGGATTTTTAGTACGTCTCAGCGTTAGTCCAAGCTTCAATTCGCTCATGAAATCCATTGCTGGTGGCGCTGCTTTTCGTTCAGGTCGTGGCTTAATGCCACTTATTGTAGCTGCCTTTTTATCAACTTTCTGCAAGTGTAAGTGGGGTTGTGAGAAATTAAGTCGTCCCTTTGCAATCATTATATTACCTTTAGTGCTACTCCGTTCCGTATACTCTCCAGGAACGCATCACGATCTCCTCCCGCAGATGCACTGGACGCAGCCTTAGGATGGTCTGACTTTTGGATTGCTTTTGGTGCTGCCGCACTGGAAACTGGCATTGGCGGCGGTGGAGGCGCACCAAATGCTGCTGTTGGCATTGGAGGCGGTGGCGGTGGCCCCCCAGATGCAACTAAAACCGGCATTGGGGGCGGCGGCGGAGGCACGCCAGATGCAGCTGCTGCTGGAGTTTTTGGACTCGGCTTTTGCTGCGGTGGCGGAGGAGGCACATATGCGGCTGCTGGTGCTTTAATCGATGATGCTGGTTTGGCTAAAGGTGCAGGCGGTGGTGGCCTAGAAGCTGTTGCATATTGCACGGACATCATCGAGCAGGTGTTGGGCAAAATCGTTGGCTTCGGAGGCGCTGGTGGCGGCACACGCATCGTGCCCGCCTTTCTTTGTGGTGAAATCGTGGCGTACGTCTCAGGCGTAGATTTTGGAGGAGCAGGGGGCCGCACTTGACGCACATCAATGGCCGCCGGATACGCGTACGTATTGTTAGCCGTAACAGCCGATGGCGGCGGAGGCACTTTCGGCTTGTTTACTTGATGTGGCTGAGGCTGAACCTGGACGGGAATAACTGACCCAACCTCCTGCTGTCTGAATGGCGTCTGAGCTGCTGGCCTCGCCACCGAAGGCATATCCATGTCCGAGATGTCCACAAAGCGGGACGTGAGCGCGGCGTAGTTGGCGAAGCTCGGCGTGGGTCCCGGCTTCAGAATCAATGCTGTTGGCGGAGGTGATGGCGGCGGAGTAATCTGGTTGTTTGTTGAAATTGTGGCATAGAGAAGCGGCCGTGGCTGTTGCTGCACTTTCGGGGTGGCCTGCATATCCTGCTTTTTGGGCTGCGTAAGTAGAATATTGACCATTGAGTGTGCCACTTTTTCTATTCAGCTCGATCCACTTACCATCCAGGTGAAGTTCGAATGGACAATCTTCTTGACGACATCCTGGCGCCGCATATGCGCTATGTCCGCCTCCGTAATGCCACGCTCCATCATGTACTTCCTCAGGACGTTGTCGTTGGCATCGGCGCTCAGGTCGAAGGCGTTTCTCGTGCGATCCCGAGTCACGTCGCCGGACACATGCTGAAAGTTGACGGGGCCACTGATCTCGTACTTGGAGCCCTTGCTGCTGACCAGGACGCTTGTGGCGAAGCTGGGCCCCGCAATGGCAGTGGCTGGCGGGGCGCCAGCGTACCTGTCCAAGCTGTTCGATGAGGAAGAGCTCTTCATGCTGTACAGACTGCCGTTGTCGGCGTAGGGCGTGGCTCTGGCGGCTGCGGGCGGTGGGCGTACGGCAGGTGGCGGCTGGTCAAACACGTTGCTACTCACTTGCATGGACGGCGGCTGGAAGACAGAGAACAGCAGCATTCAAGTCAAATGTGTCTGGCATGGCGAGATGATTGCGGAGTGCACTATTTTGCTGCTGTTTGGCCATTACCACCCAATAACCGGGCCCTTTATGGCTCCTAATTATGTCATAGACATAGGCCCGTCTCTGAATGGCCGGCAGACGGTCAAGGTCGTCGGGCAGATTGGCCTTCCGTAGGTAAAGCTGCAGCATTTCGTCAGTGCCACGACCCCGCACATCGAACGTCTTGCGGAAGTCGAGGGCCTTGCCCTCCACATGCCTAAACTCCACGGGCTCGGAGATGTACGCGTACGAGTAACCTTCCATGCTGGGCCCAACACTAAAAGAATCGGATACGGATACGAGTTGGATACTGCGTTAATACGGTTCCACTAAGACGGCCCCGAGTGGCCACTCCACCCACTGACAGTACACTCGGAATAGGAGCACTCCCGTTTCCCTGCCCTGCCCAGCACTGGGGTGCGCTGTGGGCATTATCTTGTAGCCAATTTGCAGATAAGAAGTTTATCAATTTTGGAGGATTCGGATTGGTGTTTGGTCACGTGACTCATCGCTGCCCCATCAGTCACCAGGGAAATTCACAGAGCCCCCTCCGCAGTAGCGACTGGGAGAGGCGTAGCAGCATGCAGCCCAAGTCGAAGACACCGCGTAATTACCGTTGACTCGTACACCGAAAAAGCTTGTCCAATATTTCTCCAGAGCTCGTAAAGATCGCAGACGGAAGGAGGAAGCCGCAGCCGTAGCAAGTTTGAACTGGAGAAGGCAGTTGGTCGGACTGATTAACGGCAGTGGTATGTCATGTTAGGGCCTTGCGTTTACTCATTTTGCAAAGCGCCTTATCTATCGGCTGGCAGAGTCACTGATAGCTGCGGGCCAGGTAATCACCTGGAGCAGCGCGACATTGCTACCGACAGCGACAGGCTAGAGCCAAAAGAAAATATAAACAATGAGCGTGAGGAGCTTTGTTTTGGTGTTGGTACGTTCGATTCGATCCACTCCACCTGTCATTTTGCTTACTCGTACCTACGGCCATTGATAGTTAGTGACTAATGTCTGCAGAAAGCGGAAACTGCTCCGAGAATATAGGGATTTACTGATCTCTACTCGAAGAAACTCCCCCCGGGGATCCTCAACATAATGTACTATGTGGACTATTATTAGACAAATTAAAGCATAAGGATTAGCATGAACAGCAGAGTCGTTGTGTACTTTATACTGGGACTGAAACTAATGGCAATTGCTGTCTGGCTTTAAATTGACTTTAAAACATGTCCCCTTCCTTGAAACTAACTTGTATGGATGGATGAATAGCAACCATTTTATATACGTTTTTAATTAAATAAATTCCTGCACACACATGCAAATCAAAGTTTATCGAAGTTGATATCGAGCTTGGTTCGTTTCTATCGTTCAAGAACATACATATATCCTCATTCGTTGTATTTATTGTCAAATTTTTCATTTAGCTGCCGGGCCGGGCCAGGTACGGCTAGCTAGGGTAGAAAATCATTTTCTAACTTGTCGGCAGAGTCGTCTAAAAACTTTCAATTCCAATTCTGATTAAAAAAAAAGTGAATTAAAAAAAATATTTATTGGTCCGAACATTTTGAAACTTCTGCCAGTCATGGGTGACGAGAATTTTAGGAGCCTTGAGCTCAACGAGGTGTCCGGTGAGTATACCCTGGCGGAGATCGAAGTTGGCGACGAGTCGCAGCTGAGTTTCAGCCACCTGCCGGGTGCCACATTGCTGGCATCCAGCGAGGGAAGCAGCCATGTGCAGCGAATTGTCGGCCAGGAGGAACTGGTCCAGTTCTTTGCCAGGGCACCGCCACCCATCATGCAGATGTCAACTGAAGTGGTGTTGCAGCGCACTCTGGAGCATCCAGCGCTCAAGCAGATACTCCAGGAAGCCGACGGCCAGCCAGATTTTGATCCGGCAGCAGAGCAAATGAAAATTCGCGAATTCCTGGCGGGCGTCACCAACAACAAGATGACCACAGAGGAATCTGTCTTTCAAGGTAGAAAACTGTAGCCGGCCCCTATTCCTCTCATCATTCATATCGAATAATTCCGTTTTCGTGGCCTTTTTCTGCAGCCCAACGCATGAGCGCGTCTTCGACTGGGACACGCATCTACAAGTGCCGTCATTGCGGTGGAAAGTTCGATGCTATGTACTTTTCAAGCCACATTTGTTTGCCCGAGGAAGCTGCAAAGCCAGCCTGTGAGGCAGCTGTTCAGCAGGATAAGCCACGAACAGTGAAGGCGTCGACGGGTGCTGTCCCAGCGCCGCGTTATATTCGAGGCAGCGAGCGCGTCATCTTGGAAAATCAAATTCGCCTTCGGCGCTACATGAAGGACGAGCTGAAGTACGATGTCACCACGGGCATGGACAATTCGCTGGGCAGGAAGACAGGCAAGCAGCCCAACGAGTGCCCTATATGCGATCGGCAGTTTGTGCATCCCTCTGGCCTGGTGCGCCACATGGAGAAGCATGCCCTGAACCTGATCGCCCCACAGACGAATGCGCCATCAAGCCCGGCTCCGCCTGCCGCCGGCCTGGCTGTGGTGATAAAGTGCAACGAATGTGGCCGCATCTTCTATGATTGTAAGCTGGCCATGCGCCATATCCGTGTGCATTATCCCGAAAAACCGAATTTTGGCGGACCCCTCACGGACGGGAACGAATCAGAAAAGAAAGAGTTCGTTAAGCGTATGCAGAAGGGGGAGTTTCTCTTCCTATGTGTGCACTCAAAGAAACGGAGCTTCCACCAGAAGCAGTCGAAGCGAGCGTTGGAGGCCGGGCTATTCTGTACCGTCATCCTGGGTAGCGTGCTGCAGTGCGAGTTCTGCGAGTTCGTGTTTGCGGATATTGAAATGCTGCTCGTCCACTCGGCCGCTCACGTGGTGGAGAGGCGCTTCGAGTGCACCGCCTGCGGCATTACGATGAACATGGCCAAGGAGGCCAGTGTCCATTTCCAGACGGAGTGCATCTTCATGCGCGAAGAACTCAAGCGGCTGGATGTCTCTCTGTTTCGATATTTTGTGTGCAATGTGTGCGAGCAAAAGTTTTCCACCGCCGACCTGCTGCAGGAGCACCGGTAGATGGGCGATCCACATCCCTAGCCCCAATCACACTCATATCACACTCTCTCCCCAGATACATCTACTACCACTACTTTCCACGCCTCAACGCGGACGGGAGTGCCCTGCTGCTGCCCTGCGAGTATTGCGATGTCAACTTCACGCAAGCCCACGAGGTGGAGGCGCACAACCAGGAGAAGCATCTGAACAAGAAGAGGCGCGAAAAGGAGACGCGCACCAACGGCCCTGGCCTCGGAAACGGCCGCCTTCGCCAGTACCTGTGCGACGTCTGTGGAAAGTCGTACACCCAGTCCAGTCATCTGTGGCAGCACTTGCGCTTCCACCAGGGTAAGTGTCAGCTGTGATTAATCACTGGCCGATCACCAGCTCTCCCATGGGCCTGACAGGTGTCAAGCCCTTTGCCTGCCAAGAGGCCAATTGCGATAGGAAGTTCACAATCCGTCCGGACCTCAATGATCACATCCGCAAGTGCCACACTGGAGAGCGACCGTATCATTGTCTGGTGTGTGGCAAGCGCTTCCTCACCGGCTCTGTCTTCTATCAGCACCGTCTGATACATCGCGGGGAGCGGCGCTACGAGTGCGACGAGTGCGGCAAGCGGTTCTACCGAGCCGATGCCCTGAAGAACCACCAGAGGATCCACACTGGCGAGAAGCCATATAGCTGCCTCTTCTGCACCAAGACCTTCCGCCAGCGCGGAGACCGGGACAAGCATATACGTGCACGACACTCCCATCTGGACGCTAATTCGCGTCTTATGATGCAGATGCAGAAGTTCCAGCTGGAGTCGGCGGAAGCTTTAAAGGCCAGACTCCGGCATGAGCAAACGGGCGACGGCGACAGCTACTCGGCTGAAGCTTCAGTATCTCATGTCGGTCATGACGAAGATGGTGCAATTAAATTAGCTACGGAAGATCAAGAGGGAAGATATTATGAGGCAATGAACGGATTCCACACAAACAACTTTGGGATGCAGCAGTGTGTGGAGGAGGCTGAGTCCACGCCTATGAACGAAGAGGAAAATCAAGAAATAATTGTGTACGAGAACCCAGAGCTAGAGCCAGCAATGTCTTATGAACCGAATGCAGAACCACAGCAAATGGAACAGGAGATTCCAGTGAAGCCCGAAAGACCAAAGCGTAAGATTGTGGTGGTAAAGAATAATCCATCTCTACCACTCTACCCAAATTCATACATGTAAAACTATGTAAATATGAACAATTGAAATAAACCGCCAAATCAAGGTAAGCAAACTGCCATCAATAATGGCTTATCGCACAAAAGTATCGATGTCTTTTTGAAGCTAACCTGTGCATCGATGAAAAATGTATATAACGACCTGAATCAAAAAAAAAAAAAGTATAATTTTTCTCCGAATTCGGAAAAATATTCCGTTGCATATGTATCCCACAAAATATAAATGTTTTCGGCCGTCCAAAAGAAACATCGCCTACAAATATATTATCAACCAAATTTATATATATATATATCGATATATTCATACATCAATTTGACACCTCTAGTTCCTTCTTTCTTTTCGAGTTTTCACGTATAGACGCCAACATGGGTTTCGCTACTCTCTGGTACTCGCATCCCCGCAAATACGGCCAAGGCTCCCGATGCTGGTAAGATTTGGGTAGCCCGTAATCTAGCGCACCGATTGGTATATAACTTGTTTAAATGCTTGCCCCGACTCCCCGTATTTTTATGATTTTCGCATGCCTGTAGAATGTGAGGTTAATCACGCCCAGTTCAGTTTTCACGCATGGCACTACCATATTTGCTATATTTTGTATTGAATGTGAATTCGTTGCTGAATTGAATGCTTAATGGTATTTGCCCCCGGTTGAGTACGGAAATATGTGTTTAAACATGTTGGACAGTTTCCTTAATTAAGGGTGGCCAAAGTAAAGTTGCATGCGGCACGGCGTCATTCCTGAATGGAAATGGTTGCAGCCGACTGCAGCGATAGCTGTGCTATTATTTTTGTGCCCAACCCCAAACAATCTATACAATGGATAGAATCTACTTATGACTTGTTTCAATTCCAGCCGTGCCTGCTCTAACCGCCACGGTCTCATCCGCAAATACGGCCTGAACATCTGCCGTCAGTGCTTCAGGGAGTACGCCAACGACATTGGCTTCAAGAAGGTGAGCTTTCCATTGCAATAACGCTGGTCATTATCCGAAAACTAATCTCTGTTGTCTTCTTGCAGCTGGACTAAGCGTCTACTTCTACTTTAGCGCGCCTCAAGCATGTCTAAAAACAACATTCGTTATATTAATATAAGCAGTCACCCCATCACTGCGGAGGGGACTGCATAGATTAATATGTCAGTATGGCTGCAACAACCAATTTAATCATTTGGGGATTTAACAGACAACAAAGCCGTCAGCGTGTGCACTGTGAACATTTGGAGACAACCTGATTCCACAACATCATTTTCAATAAGTAAAACTACACACGAACACGTCTTCTGAGCACACGTATTCTTACATTTACCACCTTTTACAAAGGATCTTTGTTTAAATACTAGTTTGTTTAAATCGCCGTCTGATTAATATTATAACAAGAACCGAAAATCACTGTGTTGTATGCTTTGACCCGTCTGTAATCCATCATTCGTTTCTGCTGCATCTACACCAAGGCATCAGCAGTTTTAATCAACATAATCAGAGCGGAACAGTTCAAAGCGCTTGTAGCTATCAATCTTAAAACTAGGACGTCATGGCCATCACTTCGTGTGCGGGGATGTCGCTGTCCGTTGGCTAATGGTAAATGTGAAGGATCATTGAAGGAAAGCTAGCTGAGCAGGGCACCATCCTTTTTGGAAAGCCGGAAGCAATCTGAGGCTCTGAGGCCAGCATTTCCTTGTTAGTGGGTTAGTGGCATCCACACCGCGGCACTGAATGCAGTCACCGCCAACCGACTGCACATTAGGCCGAAAGCAAAACAAAATCCCAAAACCAGTTTCGTTTTGGCCGCCCCACTGCGATGCTAAAGAGCGGGTCAGCCCCCACAGCTTTGGCTCTCTTAGCTGGGCCAGCAACGCGCTCGATCTCAGCTCAGCTGGTTTGTTGTTGTCGGAGCTGACTGCCGAAAATTACAATTTTTGCACATTCGCCAATTGGGGTTTTTGAGTCTGACGCGGTCGCTCGGTGTCTAAACAACGTTGTGCGCTGTGTTACCCGTAGTTTACACAACAATTCCGATTTACCTTTGGCCGAGAAATGTGCGTTTAGCGCCTCATTTTGATTTAGATACCAACGGGCGCTACACATTGAGGCAACTCTCATCGAGAGGTCGTCGTCGCCAGCTTCGTGACCTGCTTATCCGAGATGAGATTGCTTGTGCTGCTGTGGCTGCCGCTGCCATTTCTAAGCAGCCTCTACTTGTGCATCGGTTATGCAACTACCACTAAGGTATCTACCCCTCGCGGCGTTGCACAATACAGGCTCCCACAGCCCGCGCCACAGCCAGCACCAGTACCGCCAGCCAGTGAAGCTCTACAAATGAGGACGGGAGGAGCTGCTGCGCGGAATGATACGAGCCAGGCCAGATCACAGACTCAAACGGCATCAAACCAGCGTAGGCGCACACAGATTGTCCGGCGACGCAGGCCGGTCAGCCGAAACCTCAGTTCCACCTCGACCACCACATCAACGACGTCCACGACAACCACATCGACCACGACAACGAGTACAACAAGTGAGTGGGATTATTGAAAACTGCAGCTGGACTTTAGCACTCTGGTGTCCATATGCACTGCAGACACCTGACGCTGACCGTTGAAAAGTCAAGAAAACTAGTCGAAGATGCTGGCACTGACCTAGCTTTCGGTTTTTTTATGGGTGGTTCGCTTTTAGAGATTTAAATTGGCAACGACAAGAGCCAGAGCACAAAGAAGTTGTCTGATATTGGGCTGAGGCTGGGGGACACCGATAGCCTGCATACCCTCACTGGGATATTCATTCTGAAAGCCCAGAGAGGGAGCAGTTCGAGCCGTATGCAAAACCTGATAGACCCGTTCGAACAACTAGTTGAGTTGTTGGTGCTGGTGCATAGGTTAAGTGCCAGTGCCGTGCCATAGCCAATAACTGGAGCAGCAGTGCTTTCGAATTTGTTTTGCTGCTGCTGCAGTAGGAGACCTTGATAGCTTTGCGAGAGACAAGGCCACGGATTATTGGTGCCTAAGGCCTCTGATAATTTGCATGTGCACCAGCTTCGTTTTTTCGATTTTAGAACTTTTGTAATGGGAATGCCCTATCGCCTCAGTTTCCCTTCAGCCTAATTGATGGGCGCCCTGAACTTGGCATGCAATTAAAGTGTTTTTTTATGTTACGGAAACTGTGCTCGCAAAGTGTCGTTGAGCACTGATGCTCGTAAAACTAATCGAGGCAAACGCCCTGCTCCTCGGGTCACTTCACATCTGAGTCGTTCGAGTCTAAACTGTTGCAATGGCAACCACCAGCCCCCAGCCACGTAATTGCAATGGGAATGGGACTATTGCGAGTGGGGTGGGTGGGAATCCATACGTACGATTCGTTGGCCAACAGGCCACCATGCAATTGTTCACGAATCGTGTTGGCAGCGGAGCAAGGGGAAGCAGACGGGGGTGGAGGGACGGTAGAGCAACAGGCAACAAAACAAAACAAAATACATATATAGTAAATTCAAACGCTCTTTATGACTGGCGGGAACTGCGCTTTACTTGGCCTGTACGAATAATGTCTGCTATTTGGAGCAGAAATACTACTACTAACGGCCATTGAGCACATGTGAAATCACCTTTCCATATCTCTCCACCTCTCTCGCTCTTTCTTGCACAGCGTCGCGTCCCAGCTTGGCCAACGGCTTCAATTTCTTCAATCCGAGCTTCTGGAGCTTTGGACAGCAGAGTTTGGTTGCAGTTCGGCCGCCAACCAAGCAACCCCATCCGCCCAAGAAGTTTAGCTCCAAGGAGGAAAAGATCGGCTATCGAAAGCCACCCAAGACCACCATTAAACCCAGATCCAGCCCGACCACAAGGGCAACCACAACCACAACCATGAGGCCATCCACAGATGGTCCATTTCGCATTGCTCTGCCCACACTGACATTTCCCAGCGGCGAGGCCAAGGGGCGGGATAGGGAGAAGGAGAAACGGGCTGCTGCTGAGCTGCGCCTACGCTTCAACTGCCCACGGGAAAACGAGGTGCGCTTCCAGTTATTCCCGAAGATTTGTCAGACGGACAAGGACTGCGCCGTTTGGCAGCGGGACGAGCTCTGCTGCGACATCTTCGGGGCCAGCAGCTGTGTGTCCGGAGTGCCGAAGCCCCTGGAGGAGGCGGTCCATGCACGTGAGCTCAAGGCTTCCTCTCAATGGGCGTACAGCCAGTAAACGAAATTCTTTCTTTAGCCATACTCGGCCTGATACCTCGCAAGTGCCCCACCAGGCCGCTGGCCGAGCTGTGGTGGGATGTCCAGGAATGCAGCACGGATATGGACTGCTGGCCAAGGGTCTGCTGCCCCGATGGGCGCAGACGGTACTGTCGCACCTCCCAGCCAGAGCTGGGAACGGCCCCGGTTCCAGTCAAGCGCTCCTTTGACTATCGTGAGTGTTGGTCTATCTCTAGAATCTTGCGAATATCCAATAATTATAAACATTCTCTGTTGCAGTTACCGAATATCTGGAGTGCACCGCCCCACCGCCACCCATCTTTGATCTGCATCCAAAGGCGTGCACCTCGACGCTGGACTGCTTCCCAAATGTGTGCTGCCAGGAGGCGGGTCTCCGGCACTGTCGTCCGCCCAAGAAGTCTGTGCTCACACTGATGGCCAATTTTCTCAACGTGGACTTCGTGAAGCGACTGACACAGAACATTGTTATCAAATAAGCCCGGCACTTCTAACCCAGTGCCACCAATCGTATATGTACAGGTATATGTACAATGTATATATGTATGTACGAGGGTATATAAAGTCGAATCTACTCTGTGTGTGTGTGTTATTGTACCTTCGTTTCAACAATTTCAAAACTGCCGCCGTGATATCTATCTCGTTCGTATTTGTTTACCTACGCTGATAAACAGAACGAATCATACATACACACACGATGTAGGCGTAAGTACTACGCATTATGTATGTATACCGAACAGATCCGTTCCCCATCTAAGCCAGCACCACCTAGCCTTCTAGTATTAGATATAATACCCACTCGTAGGCTCATAAAAATAAAACACCATTATTCGTCCACTTCAAATGTTGTTGAGGTTGGTGGGGGTCGTTGGATAGCATCGTAGACGTAACCCCTGGGTCACTTTCAAGCGAATTACTCTGCAGGTTCTTGCTCTTCTCTGATTCTGTTACAAAATTATGCGTAATACTATTAAAATTTAATTGAGTTTAGGTTTGTCAGCGAGGGAGGCTCGAGAAGAATTGAGGGCACAGGCCAATTAAAATAACATATGGAATAACTTGTTCTGTGTAATTTCATGCATCTGTTTATCCAATAAAACAGAAGGTAATCTAAGAAAGCCACCAGACCAAATGATTTCGCAACTGAAAAGCCAGACACGACACTGACACTGCTCAAGTTTCAATTGAGTTTATTGGACAGTATGCAAAGCGAGGAACAAATTGTAAAATATGTAGATAGTAGTGCACTGCTGTTGCCCTCCCTTCCATTTGGAGCGCACAACAAATAATACAACGAAATCAGTGCGGGTAGTGGATGCGGGTATGTGGATGGATGCCAGCTGTCCTGGGCTGGGCTTGGATTCCTCTCACTTGGAGGAGCAGCCGCACTTGGCCTTGTTGTCTCCGCCGCACTTGCAGTCAGTGCCACAGTTGCAGACTCCCTTGGGTGTTTGTGTGGCGCATTTGCAACCTGTAAATGCGGAGAAGGACTCAATTAGTTAACAGGATCATACCTGATAATCTTTTATTCAAACTTACCGGATCCACATGGGCAAGGCATCTTGAGTTTGGTTTTGTTTGTTGGTTGGTTCACTTGAAGAAGAGTAGAGAAGATGTTTGGATTGCTCACTTCACTTTGTCTCTGCTGATGACTGATGCACATCTGCCGGATGCGCCCTGCTTTATACACCTTCGAAACGCGGCTTTCCACACGGCCGGCAGACAATTCTTCCAATTCCGATTCGCGTTTTGCACACGCCGGCCGGCCGCGTCGTCCGTGTGGGGCCGTGCGCAAGAGCTTCTGCCCGGTCGGGTTTGGGTCCGGGCTAAAGCTTTCGGGTTCGGGCCCAACGAAATGCGCAGACGCTTGAAAATCTGGCCACCGTTGGATACTGGTGGGGGCAGCAGCAGCAGGGTAGCGTGGCTGGTGGGCGGGACTCTATCGGATCCATTGGACGATTTCACAGTGCGGCCTGCAGCAGAGACCACACGGGCAGAGCTACGGCTACGGCGGCGGCAACGACAACTTACAATAAATTCTGCAACGAATTGAAGTGCAACGAAATGCAAGTAACAATTGCGACGCAATTGAAGCTCTCCTCAGATCCTGCAAGCGGCAGGCCACGTTCCCGCAGCTACTATCGCGGCTTCTAGGAGCCCCTCGATCCCATCGCCATCGCCCCAATGTTGTCTGTGTGAGTAGGCGGAACTGCAGCACAGATAAAATCGATAAATCCAAGCCAAAATAAAATAAGGGAAAATCAACAGCAAAGTGCGTGAGTGCGAGAGTGTGCGTGTGTGGTGTTTGTGTATGTGTGTGTGTGCGGAGGAGGAAAACAATAAGTGCGAAACAACGAAAAGAAAGGGGACAAGGACCCGGACCCGGACACGGATACGGTTACGGCAGGACAATCATGCGGAAGTGAGCAGTTAAAACACCCAGAGGAAGCAGCAGAGACCCTACTGCGCCAGCAAGCTGCTACTGTGGCCTGTCCACCAGTAATCGCATCGCCCTGCATTGCCCCCGCACATCAAAGCGTCGCTATTTATATGTACGGCCGGACCGGCCATCATGCGATACCATACCTGAGCGAACCGCCAACGCAATAATAATAGTATGTAGCCCTAATCATAATGATAATGATGAGGTTGATGCCGATGCCGATGCCAATGCCGATGCCGATGCCGATCTGTCGCGTTGACAACAAAGTCACAAAAAAAAATCAATACCCTTCCTTAAACCTGATGGCACATGGCTAAAATTAGCGCAACACTCACGCAGCGTAGTGTTTTTTTTTGTTCCTCTAGTAACCAAAGCCTACACCCACCCCCCTTAATCCCCCCCATCGCACACCCGCAAAAACCCGCAGACGAAAAGGTTGTGTTGTGCGTGCGTGGGCGTTATGACCAACTGATTTGCTCTTAATCGTTGCAGATAAACGAAAGTATGGCGCCAAAGTAGAACATTCCATCAGCGGTCGACAGCAAGCAAACAAGCCCGCTCCGTTTCCGCCAGCGCTCCTGTGTGGAGGAGCTACCGATACCGACAAAACCACCGCCATCACCTCAATTCTCAGCGCGAGATGACGGAGCAAAAGAACCAGGTGACGCGTGCTGCACCGGAGCAGAGCAACGACTACCGAGTGGTCGTCTTTGGTGCCGGCGGCGTTGGCAAAAGCTCCTTGGTGCTGAGATTCATCAAAGGCACGTTCCGGGAAAGCTACATTCCGACCATTGAGGACACCTACAGACAGGTGAGTGCTTCGCTGATCGCCTGTGTTTTGCTTATTCTACTAATCGCGAACATGACACTTCGTACCTAGGTCATAAGCTGCAACAAGAACATTTGCACGCTGCAAATAACAGACACAACTGGATCTCATCAGTTCCCGGCCATGCAGCGATTGTCCATATCGAAGGGACACGCTTTCATTCTGGTCTACTCGGTGTGCTCCAAGCAGAGCCTGGAGGAGCTACGGCCCATCTGGGCGCTCATAAAGGAGCTCAAGGTAGGACAAATGCCACAGATCATAGACCAAAGAACTTAAGCATAATTTACCTTCGTTTACTGCAGGGCGCCGACATACCCAACATTCCCGTCATGCTGGTGGGCAACAAGTGTGATGAGACCGCCGAGCTGCGGGAGGTAAGTCGGAAGGAGCACGTTCGGACCACATCCTCCCTCATATGCATTTCCTTCGCAGGTGTCGCAGATTGAGGGCCAAGCGCAGGCCACCACCTGGAGCATATCGTTCATGGAGACATCGGCCAAAACCAACCACAATGTAACCGAGCTGTTTCAGGAGCTCCTCAATATGGAGAAAACGCGCACCGTCTCCCTGCAATTGGATACGAAGAAACAAAAGAAGCAGAAGAAGGAGAAAAAGGCAAAGGAAACGAATGGCGCCATACCGGAGAATGGGGAGGCCAGCGCCAGTGCCAGCGGCGGTGCCAAGGAGAAGTGTCGGGTTATGTAAGGATAATCGGATTACAATGGAGTGATTCGAGTCGATACGAAATGAAATGAAATGGTGACAGACAAATACTCGCTTTGGGGCAGGAGCGTTGGGTTGAGGCGGTTTTAACACAAAACCCACACGCACGCACACCCCCATTCTAGATTTAAACCCGTGCATACCCCCACCCCACACAGAAACACAGACATAAGCATCCAATCCATACAATATGTATTTAAGAACACACTACGATTACAATTACAAATACGATTACGACTATATTTTGCATAGGTTTTATTCAAGCAAAGAATTTTCTAGTCGCACACTATACACCAATATACGGTATCAAAGATATGATACTATCCATACTATACGAAAAAACACAACACAGAACAGAACACGTACACGTACAGACCCCGGCTCATCCATGAATGGGTGGGTGGTAGGGTAGCCCTATGTTGACACATAATCGCATCTGAAACGCAAAGGCATACATATCAAATATTTACACACTTGCATGATGCACCACCACCAACCCAATACGAGTACGCCACTGGTCACGCGATGGATGGTAGCGCAAGTGCCCAGTAATCTGTAGCCCATCCCATCCCATGCCACACGTAAGCAGGTATCATTCAAAGCTATACACAGCATACATACATACATACATAGTATATCTCTAATGAAAGCCAAAGTACCTACTTAAAAGACATAAATCTGTATCTACTATACTTACGATATACAAGTACTTACAATATTTACATACTTAAACCCATTGACAGAAGACTTCTCTATGTAAGTAGTCGACACGGAGACAATTGTGGGGCAAACTATCTAAGAACCGATCGCCCCGCCCCCATTACCGCCGTATGCCTCCCCAGACTATCATTGCTGTTTAACTATTTACCACCAAACAAAAAAGAACACTTAATGAATGAATGAATGTAGTACGAACCGAACCGAACCGAACCCTGATCGCCACATAAGTAAACTAATGTATAAAATACTCATAGCCATGCCACAGTCGCATTCCATGCCCTGACCCCCCCACATGATTCAGGAAACAGTAACAGACACGAAATATTCATATAAATCTGCTAGTCTGCTATTTGTTGTTTCTTTGAGCAAATTCCAGTTAACATTGATTATGTATTATATTGAATATGTACAACTTTACAATTATTTGCTGAAAGTTATTGACGAGACGAGAGCATTTTAACAATAACAAGTAACACAGAAGTAGTCCTAAGTCAAATCCAAAGTCTACGTACAATTGCATCCGTGGAGTCGTAACAGTGTGGTAGTAAGCCAAAGAATACGCGTACATCGAAGGATATTTGAGAGGTAATTTTTGTAGCACAGCACAGGATATGGGAATAAGTTGCCTGTTTTTAAACAATACACACCACACACACGTACTAAATGTTAGTACGTATATCTTATGTATATCTTAATGCAAACAATTCCAATTATGGCATTCGTTTTTTTTTAATAATAATTATATTTGAGATTGGCTTGTGCATAGGCGTAGGAGTAGGCATAGGCGTTAAACAAATTGTTTCGCATTGTTCTGCTACTGTTTGATATTAGGTGGCATTAGTTTTTTAAATTATACGATTACGAGTACCAAAACAGACCTAAGAGGGGTAAGGAGAATGGAGATATACATACATATGCTTTAATTGCTGCTAAAACCATACTATTAGCTAGTTGAGGGGCAAACGCAAATGCGAACCAGCGGGAAGTAATTACATTAATTATGATGTTGCTCAGTTGTTAAACCGTAGAACAGAACAGAATAGCAGAAACAAATCGTGAGATGAAAATTACATACTATAACTAAACAAAAAAGAAAATTGTTGAATTCGAGTAGTGAAATTATTAATCAGGATTATCATAGCGGACCAATTTGCGTATAAGATTTGTGAAATCAATTAGATAATTCTCTCAGTTTGCCATAGAAATGGATGATCGATCTGCATCGTTATGTATGCCAGCCAGCCTTAGTTGTCACTTATTGGTAGCCTGCCGTGCTTTAGGTTTTTTGCTTAATGTTTCCTAGTTTTAGGTTTAGGTATGTTAAACGCTAGAGAGCAAACTGGTTTTGGTTTTGGCTAAGGCTATAAGAGTATGTGCCGTGTATTGGAATTTGCATATAAATTGCGTATTTTGTAGGTATAAAACAGGCCAGACAATTGTGTAAAAGTATACCTAGTTGCATAGTTATTATTATATTTATAACAATGAAGTGTAATTAAAGTATAATACGATTTAAGTACAGTGCATGATTTAAAATACAACGAATAAATATATTTACACCGAAATTCTTTTTCTAATTTTTTTCCTACGAAATATATACACACACCATATAGATCTATATACATAGATATTTAAATACGAGTATGTATATCAAATATATTAGTTGTATACATATTGAACTAGTTTTTACATGATTCGAAAACACCGAATACATTATTAAATTTCGCTTACATTCAATTAATATGCAACTCACACAGTGCGACCACTGCGAATATGAAAAATGAACGGAACGGCTCAGCGCCACATTGTAAATACAAAATGTTCAACAAATTACATAGAAAGTAAAATTTTTGGGAATGGCCCGGCCGGCAGCATATTAATAACATGCAATAAAATATAGACGATTTGGTGGCCTACTTAAAACGATCTTATTGTTGAAGATTTAAACTTAATTACACTTATCGTGAACAGGAGAATAAGAACACGCAAAATAATTTAAATAAAGAAACTTTAACTATGACAAATCAACTGCAAATTGAATTATTCTTATGCGCTAGGTTCCAATTCGAAACTGGGTAAAAAAGATCACGGACAATACGCTTAAAGTACAGAGTAAAGTTTGCAGCTAGCTGCTAGATATTATGAATCTCATCCTCCTCGTGGTCATCCACCACTGTGAATCCATCCTCCTCAGCGATACTTCGACTTTTGCTGTCGCTGCTGCTGTTGCTCTCGTCGCTGACATTTAGTTTTCCGTTTTTATCTGCTGCGAATGGAGCTTCCAGGGGTTCCATTAGCTCCTGGACTCCCGATACGGACGGTAGTTGTGGCCTGACACTCTGTCGTGTGTCGCTTATCACGTTCAACAAAATTTTCAGATTCTCACCCGATATACAATCTCTAACAGGCTCTTTCCCAGCGATAAAATGCTGAGCCGTTGGCTGAGAGTCGGCATGGCCTGGTCTGGTGTGAATTAGTGTAGCCCAGGCTCTGGGACTAATGACGTATTTAAAGGTAAGCTTGATTATGTACCCCACCAGAGCCACCAAAAATATGGGTGCAATTAGGTTAAAGGGGAAGGATAATCCAGCTGTGTGTGCACAAGAGGTGATTATCCAGGAACATTTTCGTTTGGCAGAAGGTACTTACAGGATAGCTTTGTCATGGTTTGCGACACCTTCTCCAACAGCATTTCCAACTGTTTGAGAAACAGATCGTTTACGTACATCATGAAGACATGATCCGGTAGGCAGTATGTTAGGTTGAGTTTCGAAGATTTTCTAAAAGACGAAATCAATTTTGTATCTAACGATTTCTCGAAGTGCGATCTGTGTACCTTAGTCTCTCTTTTTGTTCCTCCTCCGGTGATGACCTGACCACAAAATGCCTCAGTCGCTGAATCCAGGACATTTCATCGTAGCTCTGCGGCTGTTGGTTACTGTCAATAACGTTCAACATAGCCTCAACTTCCAATTTCTGAGGGGAGGTCGAAAGGTTGGCAAAATGTCACTTAGTTGCGATCTATTACTCACTCTATTGCACTCCAAATATGTGTGGAAGTACCCAATTAGAAGCATGCCGCCTAAAACAATGGTGATCAGCCCGAAACGGAAGCGTTTTTTCACAATGCAGCCAACTACGGTGGCCAGCGCCGCAATAAGCAAAAATTGCACCTGTGGAATATGTTTCTGCTGAGCAAATGCTACTTCTCCATAAACACCAATGCAACAGTCACCTCGGAAATTTTCAACAGTTGTATAAAATCCTTGAGAATATCCGTAATTAAGGCCCACACGCCCAGCCCCCCATGTGCATAGTTGCATCCGAATGCGCCTTCAACGAGTGGCGCTGCTTCCGCACTTTCCAGTATCCTGGTGAGCAAGATATCCAGATCGCGAACATCTTGCACGGATTCTAGCTCATCTATTTGCGACGGCAGCAACGAGAACAGCAGCGATCGCTTGTAGAGCGTTGTGCTAGCATCGTACTATTTACAAAAACAAGCCATGGTCATGATGTCATGCTGCCAAATTTGGTCTATAGAAGCAAACTTACCTGCAAACGTTTTCGTTGAAAGAGTAGGCTTACAAACTTCTTAAAATACGTTAGCGACAGTGCATCCTCAATGGCAACCGGCGACTTCTGTGACATTTCCGGGCATTCGCACTGGGGGCAGGATTCGCCAAGGGTCTGATCGAAATCTATTGCGAAATTGGACCAAGTGTGATGCGGATCTATCCATTTCTTTTCACTCCCGCTCTGGCAGCACACATTATTAAATATTAATAAGCAATAACCGATTATGGCAGTTGTTCTCATTGCTCTTGTTTCTGGACAGGCGGGCACGATTTAATTAAAAACACCTGGTTAAGTAAATACTAGTTGTTGAGTGAGGCTACAGCTGGAATTGCGCCTTAATGCCAGTGTTGAAAAGTTATGCATCGGTTGTGCAAAGCAGTGCTGACAAAAACATAGCTCTTTATTCTTAGCTCTTTTTAGCCAGCAAAGAATCTGAAAGGTGTAACAATCGACAATTAACTGGAAAACCGAGCCACGAGATGCAATATACATTTAAAGTTAACAAATGCTGAACTTGAAAAATAAAATGTTTAACTGTCTATAAAAGCTGTTTGCAAATTGTATAAGCTATTCCATGAAATAAGCTAAAATGGCAGCACTGCTATCCCGGATGGCAGAATTCCGGCCAGAGCTGTCTGTTCTGATAAATAGGGTTGCAAAACGTCCTACTAAATAACTGTTTGGCCAGGTCAGCGTTAATAAAATTGCATGTGCATATTTCTGGTCAGAACGGAAGTGATACATAATGCAAGAGTTTACGCGGCTTTGTTCGGTGCTTGCACTGACCTTACTTATAACCTGCCATTGCGTGGATGCTGATAAGAAGCAGAGTAAGAAGTACAGCCGGGAGGCCAATGACCCGCATTTCCAGCAAGTTACAGACGAAAAATACGACCCGGATTTTAAGAAAATCCAGCGCCCTTTTCGCATGGCCAAATTGAACCTCGTGTGGTCAAAGGCCCAGAATGTAAGTGAGAAATTATATCTAAGATAATTGCAATAAAATTGTGTGTGGTTTGCAGCGTTTAACCGAGCCTAAGCTTAAGTCGTTGTATATGGAGCTAAAGATCCACGACAAAGAAGAAATCGCTTGGAAGCAGCTTAACTCCCAGCACAAGGACAAGGATGGTTTAAAGGAAAACGAGCTTCGCCAAAAGCTGATTGGCATAATGAGCAGCTACGATCTCTTGGAGCACTTTGGAGAGACTGAAGATGTGGAGAAGATCAAGCCCTATAAAGTACGTCTAGAATTGCGTTCAACAAGTGTATTCATAACTCTTACCACTCGCAGAAATTCCACGACCCCGAGGAACGCCATAAAAATAAGAGCCTCTTTAAGGACAAGAAACTTAATAGGCTGTGGGAAAAAGCAGAAGTTTCGGGCTTCACATCGGAGGAGTTGAAGTCCCTGAAGCAGGAGTTTGAACATCATCAGGATAAAGTAGATGTTTACTACAGCTTGCTGGAAAACATTGGCTCAGTGGACACCGACAAGCATGAGAGTATGTTTCGACACAGTACATAAAAACAACGAGTGTTGTACAAATTTGCTTCCTCCATGTAGATGCCATTAATACTGAAGACCTGGACACATACAATCTGATTTCGAATAATGATGCCAACGAAAATGAGATAAAGACGCATGATCAGAATGTAAAGAAGTTTGAGAACGAACTGAATACTCTGCGCGGCCATCATGTTGGAATCAAGGATCACTACGACAGGTTGGAACGCCTGGTGTCGTCCGGACCGCACAGCCAAGACTTTATCGAGCCCAAAGTTCAGGGCTTGTGGCGCGTGGCTCAGGCAAGCAATTTCACGGTTAAGGAACTGGCTTCCATCAAGACTGAACTGAATCATTTTGAAAGTCGCTTGCTGAAGTTGCGACACCTGCACGCAGAGCATGCTCTGCACAAGGAGAAGTACAAGGTATGAGAGCAGGGATTAAAACGAATCGAATCAAAAATTATAGATGTTGCTCATATTGTAGGATGAGAAGCACAAGGACAAAAGCAACCGCTTCGAAGATATGGAGGACCAGCTGAAAAAACAAGCTCGCAAAGTGGAAAAACTGCAGGAGAACATTGAAAAAACTATCTTCAAACATTCAGAGCTATGATCCAAACGGACGATTTAAAGTGCCAAGCGAATAAATTAAATTTAAGCACATCCTGCTGTGGGCAGCACATTTGTTGAGCTTTAGCTTAGCATAGAATAAGTATAGATATGAGACCAAATATTTTGAATGAAATGAAAACTCATGAACATATTTCAATGTCTTTCAATGCCAAATTCCCATTTGCGAGGTCAAAATTTCAGGCTCCAATTAATGCAAAAACTATTCCGTCTCTGTTCTAAAGATGTTAAAAAAGTTTTGCAGCTCACGGGTTCCAATAATAGGTATCAGAACTGGGATAAATGTATACATAAAACAAAAAACATATGCATTAATAGGTAAAAAACATGTCAATCTAGGATAAAATCATAAATAATGTTTCAATGGAGCTTGGAACAAAAAATTTAACATCAATTAAAAGAAATAAGGTATACAAAAACCCATACGCATAAAAGAAACTTGGTTGACCAGCAACACTGACGTCACATTTAGTCAACATTTAAGTTTTATGCTTTGGCCGGTTTTGTTTGAACCTTAATATGTAAACAATCCAATGAAAAAGAGTTCTAAAAACTAACCAATCCTGAAGGAAATTTATGTATCTATCGGATAAAATTATTTGTTTAGGGCTGAGAGTCCCAGCTAGCTGGTAATATTAAACGGAATATCAATATCGAGGAATATCAACGTCGAAGGTTTTGAAAAAACAATCGATACTATCGTGATAGCTCTAATAATTATTAAAAAACCATTGAAACCTTTTAGGAACTTGTCCATTGTAAAAATTAGATCTTCGTATTTTATAGCAGCCAATCCAAACATATCAAAAGCGCAACGACTGTAGCTCGATAATATCATGATAGTCGCAAAACCGTCAATAGTAGAGACTAGCAGTAAAATATCGATACTATCGATAGTGCCCTCGATGGTTTGACACCTCTATGTTAAACAACAAACTGATAAGTGGCAAAAAAAGTATTAGTGGAAAAGTGTTTAATGGGTACATAGTGCATATGTATAGATATAGACATAGATATAAGCATGGGCATGGTCGAGACGGCGACGTCGGAGTATCGCTTGGAAGCCAACACCTCCTACACGTACCTCCTGGTGACGCTCAACCTGACGCTGACTCTCATTGTAATGTTAGGCGCGTGTCTCTGCTGCAAAAAGAAAATACCAAAGTAAGTCAGTCGTGCCGTGCAACGGTGCAGGAGTGGAGCCCCCGAATGGAGCTCGAGGTTCGCTCCCATGTTGGCTTTGCACCGCGAGAGAGTGAAAGTCGATCTCTCTCTCTCTCTCTCTGTGCCACCCAGTTACAGTTGGATGCACTCATGCCACTAATTACACATTTTTCCCCCCACTCTCTCTCCCCGTACTCACACTTTCAGAAATGAGTTGCTCGGGCTCGAGGGCATGGTCAAGCTGAAGAATCCCGATGAAGTTATTGTTGTAACCAGCCTGGTGGGCAACAGTGAGTCCCAGGCGGAGCTGAATGCCTCCACTGTCTCGAATGCTGACTCGGAGAAGCGGTAAGTCCCGCGTTGTTTATTTACTACAAATGAAATTATCGTGAACTCAATTGCAGATCAAGTACAGCGGCGCATCGCAGTTTGCCTGATATTCCTGTGGCCGAGAACAACGATAATGGCTCCGAATTATACGAGACTGTGGCGGATAAGCAGCTCGTGGATGCACGCAATGCTCGTAGTCAAAGTCGTAAGTGGAAACCACCTCCGATTCAATTGAATGTTTTGCACTTGCAATATCTTGCCTTTGTCCCCGTACCCATAGCCCAGCCAAGCCTTAAAAAGCAGACGAGCGTTTCGCAGCACAGCTCGATAAGCCAGGCGGATGATGTCAGCTCGCCATATTCGCGTGTCAAGGGATTACCGCATGATTATGCCAAAGTTCGTGGAACTGAGCATCCCTATGCCCAGCTAAATGCACCGTCCACATCCCACTCCGCCCAAGGCGCTGCGGCTGCCGCGGCGGCGGTCGTTGCCGGCTCTTCCAGTGAGGGTGCCGATCACCTGCATCGCAGCTCTCAGCACAGCAGCGGCTCGAGAGACCACAATGACGCTGCGCCAGCGCAAGCGGAAATTCCGGCAGCATCGGCCATTGCGGGCATGATATCAGCAAGCCAAGATCTGCCCTACATGACGCCGCCCATTGCAAGCCAGCACTTTAGTGGTGACTCGCAGGACTCGTCAAGTGAGTGTCCACCGTCCTCCCAAGTGGAACATAATTAATAAAATGCTTTATCACCATTCCACAGAGGGCTACACGAGCATTAGCGTGCGAGAGCCGCTGGCCAATATACTGGCACAGCAGCCACCGGGCAAGCCCCCAAACAGAAATGCCTCCCTGGTACGCGATGTAAATGACTCTCATTATGCCACCGTATCCGATGATTCAGGTGCGTACTCTTTGAATTATAATATGTTGAAGTGGAAGTAACAACAAACTCTGGATACTCTAGATGAAACGTATGCCGCCATTGAGGATCCCAACAATCGTCACCCGACGAATGCCGCCGACATTTATACCAGCGGCTCGGAAACCTACGCACAAATTCAGCCCATGCAGATCAATCCCATAGTGGTGGCCGTGGAGATCAACAACAGCAGCAGCCTGCCAGCGGCGAACTCTTCTGTTAGTGGGGTCAGTGGTGGCATCAATAGCGCAGCTCTGCGGCCGACTAACAGCAACATCGGATCAACTGATCATGCAGGGCCCGTCCCCCCGCCTGTGGATAGCTTACGAGCCCAGATGCACTCACGGCAGGCATCGTCCTCGTCAAATAATAGCACTTCTGTGTGTAATCTGGGATCGCCCAAGCCGGAGAAGCGGCAGGCGAACTCGCCGCTGCCGCCAACGCCCAAGTCGAGTGTCCATCTGCATGCGAGCAGCATTAGCAACCTCGCCTCTGGCCGTAACTCTGTAATTTCCGTGATTGAAGCTGGCGGCGGCGATGGTCATGAAGTGGAGGCATCTACCGAGGCATCTCCGCAGCGGAAGCACAGCAAAAGTCTTAGTCCCTCAAAGGATGGCGGCAGCGGCGAGGGCAATAAAAACATCGAGGGCATGTATGCCAAGGTAAAGCCAATTGAATCCTCAACGTCAGCTACAACCAGTACTTGAATCTAACCCCTTTTTTTACTCCTCCCTGCTTAGGTCATGAAGAAACACAAATTCTCTCGCAACTCTCCCACGTCGCAAAACAGCTCACCCATTCTCACGCGCAAGCAGCAGCAGCAGGATACGTTGGGGGTGAGCCCATTGGATAGTGCGGCAGCTTTGCTTGTGGACCCCCAGAAGGGGGGTGGTCGCGTGCGCAGCAACAGCTACTCGGCAAAGGATCACGGCTATGAGACGATCCCAGCAGATGGCCAGCTTATACACGAGAATCGCAAATCGGATTGCTATGCAGCCAATATGCTGCAGAAGGAGCGTCAACACGAAGGAGGTAAACCAAAGGCTACCTGACCCCCAGACCCTGTTATTTATCCTTGCCTAATCTGTAACCTGCGGCTTATCTCATCTCTTCCCAATGCCTAATCTGCCAATCTATCTATCTATCTGTCTCTCCTTGTGCCTTCCCCACTTAGTCGAATTGCCAAAATGAGAAATTTTCGTATTTGTTCAGTTGAAACGACGAAAATTTCATGAGTTTTTATTTGGAAGTAGCCGTGGTTAGTATCGCATCCAGGATACCCATCAACAATCCACAGAATCCACATGCATTCTATTCGATTAAAAACTGTCCACTTATTGTTGTCGTTTCCCGCCCTTTGCCGCCATTGCAGCGATTGCCCAGCCTGTGACGAAAGCGACAGCGACAGCGATTGGGATCAGCGCCAGCACAAAGCACTATGAGACTATTAGCCAGCCACCGCCACCGCCGCCGCCTCCGTCAAACAGCAACAACGATCCGGGCTACGAGCAACTGCAGCTGCATCCCGTACCCATTGAAGATGATGCCAAGAAATCCGACTATGATCCCAAACTATGAGGTGCTCAAGAGTCGCGCCCACTCGGACGACGGATATGCCAAGGTGCTGGAGAAGAAACGACCGCCCACTGGGGGTGATGCTGGTGGCTACAGTACCATTCCAGGGGCCGATGCCAATCACAACTATGCCAGCATTTTGGAAACGAAGGCCGCGGAAACGGACCACTATGCGAGAATAGCCGAGAATGTAGCTGCCAGCACACCGGGAAGCACTTCGAACAGCAGTCGCTTAACACTGACATCGCCCACCTCCACCAACTCCACTTCGCTGTCCCTTAACTCGTCAACAGTGGCAACCAGCACGCCGATATCGTCCCAGTACGAGTCTTTAACAGGAACGGGCAGCGAAACGGATCCCAACTATGAGTCGGTGTGCTATCTAACCACAGGCGCAACAGCAACTACCACAACGACTACTAGCACGAGTAGTGGTGGCGGGGGCTTCGTAGAGCATGCCTATGAGCCGCTTCAGGCGGATTTGGATTTGGAGTCGGACACGCAGGCGAGCAGTCCACTGAGCGGAGCCACAGCCACTTCCACGCCCAGTGAGCAGTTGCTAGTAGATGACTACTTCCACGTATAGCACACAGTCAGTAGTCCAGTAGCCCAGTAGCCAGTGAGCTGGATCTCCATCTGCCCCATCATCATCAGTTATTTTTGCTTAGCAATCTTTCACGCACATATCACATTCATTTGATGCACACTCATAAAGAAACGCATAAATCGTAGATACACACAGCGCTCGCTCAGCGACAGTCTTAGATTAGGCTGTGCAGGTCCATTGACCCATGGTGCGTGGACTTGCAGGCCAAGTAGTAACCAAGTACTATCTATCCAATATGACACACACACAGCTTCATATCGGTCTGCTCTTTAGTTCATAGCCCCTTAGATGATAGCCAGCCCCTTTAGTCCTAAGTTAACTCTGTGTACAAACTATTTGTATGTCCAGCTCGACAAAGTATTGTACCACTTCCACCAGCAGTACCCCAGAGGGTATATCGCTGCTCCCTATACATATGTGTATGTATGTACTCCAATATCTACAATATGATTATTCTATCTAAGTACCAGTGCGTCCTATTTTAGGTAAATTGAATGCGAATTGCAAGCAGAACAAAGAACAAAGAGCTACGCG